AGTTCAAAGTTTAAATTGTTTGCCCAGTAATTTTGAAGTTCCTGTTCAGTAATAATTGTAAAAAGTTCAAATCCGTTTTTTGCTTTTTTCACTTTTAAGCTGATTTTTAAAAGGCTTTAATAGAAATAAATTCTAAATACAAACCATACTCTAAAAGCTGAGGTTGTTCTGAAAAAAGGAGAGAGTTACACACACTTTGCGCTTTTTATTACAATTTTACAGCCATAAGATAAAAAAAATACCAGTTATACTGTTATAATTATGGTCATAAGAGGGTTATTAAGACGGCGATGCACAAACTGGAAGTGATTGGTAGTCATTCCACTCCAATCCAGTTGGTGGTGGTAATGCACCAATTTGTTGTTTGCCAAGTGCCATAAGACCACAAATAATAATAAGAAGAGAGGTAGACGCGCTTGTAACAAACTCAAAGCGATAGTCAAAACATGAAGCATGAAATTGAGTTATCCCAGTGGCTCCAATAAGAGAAAGAAGCAGCATGCTTAATAAAAGCTTTTATTTTCACTTCTGAAAGTGACGTCGTTTTTCGATGTAAACATCAAAAGGAAGCAGAAAGGAGAGACAATGGAAAATGTTTCAAGGGAGGAAAACAGACCAAAATGGAAAATAGAAAAAAAAAACTAAGGCTAAAGCACAGGAGCACTGACAGGAAGAGGAAAGCAGAGCAAATATTAAAGGCACTCAAAGGGAGAGAAATACAGGAAAAAAGAGGAGGACTAATAAAAAGTGAAAATAACTCGTGTCAGAAGAGGGGAGAGTTTCGCAAATCCAGTTAAAAGTAAGATTGTCGAAAATTTACTGTAAGGGGCCCCATGTCTGTGTTCGCCTTGGGCCCCCAAATTGCTAAATCCGCCCCTGCGTTCACCTGGACAACAGACTGGACTGGAGAAAGAACAGCGAAGCCGTTTACAAGAAGGGACACAGCAGACGGCACTTCTTGAGAACGCTTAGGTCCTTCAATGGCTGTAGCAACATGCTGCACATCTTGTACAAGTCTGTTGTTGAGAGTGTAATCTCTTCAGCCATCGTCTGTTGGGGTAGCAGCATCAGAAGCAGGGACCTGAAAAGGCTCAACAGCCTAATAAAAAAGGCTGGTTCTGTTCTGGGGACGACTGTGGAACCACTGGAAGAGATGATGCAAAGAAGGATTCTCCAGAGAATCAAGAAATGATGGACAACCCTGAGCATTCTCTTCACAAGACTGTCCGACAACGGAAGACGTCTTCAGTTATAGGCCTCTTTCAGTTTCGCTGCAACACTGACCGCTACTGGAGATCCTTCCTGCCAACAGCCATTGTAATATACAATAACTCTTTGATGACTTCATTATTATTATTATTCTGAGCTACTACAGCAATCAGTTTCCCTCTGGGATTAATAAAGTATTTTTGAATTGAATTTGAATTGAATGCCCGGGTTTTTGCCTTGGCGACCACCTGAGCTGCGTTCCATTTGGACTGCCGGTACCCGCCAGCTGCCTCTGGAGTCCCACAGGCCAAAAAGACCTGATAGGACTCTTCCTTCAGCTTGACAGCATCCCTAACTGCAGGTGTCCACCAGCGAGTTTGGGGGTTGCCACCACGACAGGCACCGAAGATCCTGCGACCACAGCTCCGGTCGGCCACCTCAACAATGGGGACACGACAGGCACCGAAGATCCTGCGACCACAGCTCCGGTCGGCCACCTCAACAATGGGGACACGGAACAGGGTCCATTCAGACTCAGTGTCCCCCGCTTCCCCCAGAACATTTTGGAAGTTCTGTCGGAGGTGGGAATTGTAGCTCCTTCTGACAGACTACTTGGTATAAACTGTTTACTAATTGGCTTAATGAACTAAACTGTATTGTAGAAAAATAAATAAACTTAATTGAATTGAATAAGTTGAATTTACAGCCTTATCTGTTAGTGCAGCCAGTCATGCAGAAAAACTGCCATTTTACAGTGAAATAAACTCAAAGTAGAGCCCTGCACGGGCCTAAAATCTGAGCCCGTGTCCAGCCCGGCCCGAGGGGGTGGAGCCTGGGACGTAATTTTGGGGGGGGACGGGTGGGACATGCCCCCCCCCCCACTTTTTCAAAAGGCAGTTTTGGTCCCCCGCACTTTTTTCTGTCCAAAAACAATGTTACGCTCCATTAAATGGATTTGGTTGAGCACTAGGACCGAAACGGAAACCGGTTTACTATTAGACCCGCCCAAAATCTAATCTATTGGCTCTGCTGATACTTGCTAACGTATTATTGTCTGTTGCTGCTGTCACTCAAGTTGTAAACAGTCAGAACGTGCTCACGTTGTTTTGCTAATTTGGAGCCGCTAGGGAACACCGGTACTGAGTCACATCGTCAACTAGACGCTGTGTAATATCAGAGCTCAGCTCAGCTTCCATTACATAACATTTGAATAAGTGTTCATTTGTGAGTCTTTGGTAGTTAGGCACAGCCAGGAGGCAGCATGTCAAGAAAACGAAAAGTGGATATAAGAGACTTCTTTCAAAGTCAAAACGTAAGTTGGAACATGTGACACCCCTGCATTAAGCTCAGACTCACCTCCTCCTTCACAAACATACTCAAAACTAACTTTTACAAACTCATCTTCTCCACATAACTGACTCCTCAGACACAATTTATTTGTATTACTATAATTATTATTTTTTTATTATTACTATTATCATCATAACTATTATTACTAGTAGTAGTAGTAGTGTAACTTCAAAACTTTTATCATTTAACTTTATTGTAAACCTATCTATTGCAATGTATATTTTCACATTAAAAAGCTCTGAAAAATGAACAGTATCATCATCGTCAACAGATTTTTTAAGCTTAATGTCAAAGATGTACACTTTTCATTAGATTTATCTTATTTTTTCCATTTATTTTTTGTGTGTTGAAATGCAACAACTGTTTAAACACTTTTAAGGGAAAAAACATATTTAATATGTTTTTATACACTCAAATGTTAGGGTGATGATCATGTGTAAAACATTAGTTCAGCATGTCCTCTAACACAGCAAATGAACAAACGGCCAGATCTCAGGAGGGACCGTTTATGTATAAATAATTTTTATACTTTTGACTAGGCCTGGGAAAGTAACACATTTTGCTGGACGATATATTGTCCAACAAATTGTTGATGATAAACGATATCATTGCCAACATTATCTAAACCAAAATAACCACTAATATAATGTTAATATATCATAATAATGCAAGTACACCCGTTAAAATGCAACAAATAAACCTTCATTTAACATTGAAATGTCCAGAACTTCTAAATGAATAAAAATAACAAACAAAAATTAAATAAAAAAGGAATCTCACTCCCTGTTAGAAAATGTTGCACCAAAAACAATAAAAAAAGACCCAAAATAATAAATACAATGGCCTATCCATTGTCAACAGCCAAAACTGCACTTCAATAATGATAATAAATAAAAATAATAATAGAGTTGTAGATTTTTTAACTTTGATATATATATATATATATATTGAGGATGGAAAAATTATTGAGATGGGCACGTGACATGTCAAGGGGTCTTTACATAACACCCCCCACCCCAAATCCGCACAAGCCTGCTGTGTCCCCCCCACTTCTGAAATCAAAATTTCGTCCCTGGGTGGAGCCCCAGCCCGACCCAGTCCAGAAAGGTTTCCAGGATTCTCTGGCCCGACCCGAGCTCGAGCCCGACTTTTTTTTTAACCTTTCATAATGTTTCAGCGTGATAGAATGCTCAGCATTCTAATTATCTGCAAGAAGCGTTCTGCAGTGAAAAAAAAAGAGAAAAGAAAGAAAAACAGCATCAATGCAGCTTTTTTTCCCAACAGTGTATTTTTCGAGCGGCAGATGAAATTTACGAACACTATATTAATTGGATGCGTTTGTAAATCTAATCTGCTCTGAAAATACGCTCTTGTGCAATTAGAGAAAAAAGCAGCATTCTAATTTTCTAACTGCAGAGCGCATTTTCAGAGCGGCAGAATGAATAAATGCCCCCAATTAGCATTTGTAAATTTCATCTGCCGCTCTGAAAATGCGCTCTCCAGTTAGAAAAAAAAACTGCAATGAATGCTGTATTTTTTTTAACTGCAGAGCGAATTTATTCACAGAAAAATAGAATGCTGCCGTTTTCATGAGAATAAACGAATGGTTTCTGACATATCAAAGTGGACATAAAATGGCATATTAGAATAGGGGCACATGTTTCAATCAGCAGTTTGAGAATTCGTTTATATAGGCGCATTTATAAACCACACAGACCTTAACCGAGTTAACGTGCCGGTGCATGAGAAGCAGGCAGGTGCTGCTGCGTTCAAGTGTTTCAGTTTTTTTTCATGAATTCGATTAAAAATAAAAGCGCCCGGTCCAGCCCTTGTCCGAGGTAATTACACAGTCGTTGGCCTGAAGCCCTCGGGCCGTCGGGCCGACCCCACCCGAGGGCCTAGGGCTTCAGTGCAGGGCTCTAACTCAAAGTGAGAAAAGGCTACAAACGTGCTTGTTTTGACTAGCTTCAATTGAGTTTAAATGTGTGTAAACAGTCTTTGTACCCTTCATAATGGCTAAGGGGGCGGTCCCATGAGTGGTGTCACTTAACATGCAAAGGGTCAATAGGAGCTTCTCATCTGAGTGCAGCCTGAGCTGGGACAGGTAGGCGTGGCCAGCTCCACCTTGTTTTCCTAAAGTCACAGAGCCCTAAAATAGCTTATTCTGGAAGGTACTAAAAATGTAAAAAAAACTGGTGAGATTGTTTTATGTGAGACTGCTGTTGTGCAAAGAACTTCCTGAATATGTTTTATATAGACCATAATACTATTAGGACTAAAGAAATTACTAGTTGTCCCCTTTAAACAAGAACTTTACATGGGTTGTAATATTTTTGGGATTAGAGATGTATTGTTAAATAACAAAAACCCAGTCTGTTAAATGTATGTTCTCAGAGTGGTTTATACATCTATGATTTTTTTTAATTGTCTCTGTGTTTTAGGCTCACAGCAGTTCAGTTCTTACTCTGGTTACAGTGACAACTTTGAATGGACTGGGCCTTATGAAGACCAACTCGATAGGTGTGAGCAGGTTATGTTTGTTTAAAACGTGAATTCTTTGGCCAGATTCTCTACTCATGCTGATCCTTGTAGAGACCACTGGCATCGGCTGAAGAGGCAGATCTTGGCCATCGATGCTCTACACTTCAGAAACCGAAGGGATCAGTACAACATGAGCCACATCACCCGGGAACTGAACAAAGTCAGCTCAATTTTTTCAAACATGCTAGTTTAGAGCTTATATTCAAAGCTTACTGTGTGTGTGTGTGTGTGTGTGTGTGTGTGTGTGTGTGTGTGTGTGTGTGTGTGTGTGTGTGTGTGTGTGTGTGTGTGTGTTTGAAGGCATACTGCGGTTTTAAAAAGCACCACAAACATGAAGAACCAGACATTGCCACAGGGAAGTGGGGCTGTGGAGCGTTTGGAGGAGACGCTCAACTCAAAGGTGATTAAAAAAAATTGTTCTGCAAGTTTTATTGTGCAGTTTTAAGATGTTTAAGTCAGTAGTCATCTTGTAATGATTAAACTCTCAGTCTCTCTCACAAAGCAGCCATCACTTTGGAGACACTCAGTAAAATCAGGCAGCTGTAGCTGTGTCTCACTGCTCTCTGTGCTGTTGTGTTCAGCTCTGATTCAGCTGATGGCAGCGGCAAAGGCTGGGAGAGGTTTGGCTTTCTTCACCTTTCAAGATAAAGGACTGACTAAAGAACTGCAGGAGATCTACCACCTGCTGACCAGCGAGGGGACCACAGTTGGTATGGGCTCTCGTGACAGAAGCAGCATTTCTCACATTTCCCCTGCTTTCTGCTTTACTGATAAACTAGTTTGTTTCCAAATGGGAGAAAATCTAGTTTCCTCAGCCCAAACCTTGTTTAGGTCATAATCCTGTTCAAGATTAAATACTGTTTATGATAAAACACTTCCAACTGACTCTCAGATTAGAAACACAGTTCTTGAAAATAACTTTGAAAATCAAACAGAGACCACCTGTTTCTGTACTCTAGGACATACCTTTCTGTGTGTTTGAGCCTTAATAAGACAACAGAGAGGAGAGGGGGGGGGTGGGCTGCAAGTAGCGAGACAGTCACAGGTTGTGTATTCCGCTGGAGGTGGAACACTTTATGACACAACACACTCTGTTGTCTAAATGTTCACTTTTTGGTGCTCTATTATATTCAGTTATTCAACAGTTCCGACCGAGTGATTTGATTGGTCAAGACACTTTCCAAGAGTGCTGATATTGGACTATAACAGCACTGAGACTGTTTGCAAACAGTATCACTCTGCTGTGCACAGGCGTTTTAACCGTTATTCTAGAAAATGTTTGTGGTGCCTAGCAACAGCCTTGTCTGAGTCTCCGATTCGTGTTCAGACTATTTGTGTTGGCGGAGCCTGATAAATGATTAAATAAATGAACAAATCATAATCTGTTGTTGCTTATTGTTGTTATAAAAATAAAATGAGCAGGTAGAACTGTTGTATAAAAGCAATATCACACTCGAGGTCGTGCGTTGTTGCTGAATATCAGCACTGGTGTGATTATCTGGGGAATCACACCAGTGCTGATATTCAGCAACAACGCACTCCCTCTCGTGTGATATTGCTTAATGATGAGTCCATGCTTGTTGCACACACAAACATTTACACCCTAGGGTTCTGCCTTTTGCATTCACTGACATTAAGGTATTACCATAAATAACATTCACAACTCCTCTGTAGATTCTGTCTTAGAAACGTTGATATTTACATTCTCCTTTAATTACCGGCATTTCTCTCAAATTTACTTTTCTGTTTTCATAAAAACTCTGTTACAGGCAAACTGTTCAAACTTCTGGACACCTACTGCACTCGGCAGCGGAGAGCAGAAGATTCATCCCAGCACCTGTTCGACTTCATCAGATTATCCATCACACCCTCCAGAAGTCAGCTTTGAAGACGTCTAAGATGTTTGCACTCAAGACTGAAGGATTTTTGTCATGAAGCAGTAGAAGCTACACCTTAACAATTTTTTTAAGGTTTGTTAACAGTGACCAAGTATTGATTTGTCTGTTCAGGTGAAAGAACTCTTTAAATTATGAACAAAAATTATTCATTTGGGTTGACTAGCAGGTAGCAGAAAGTGTATTTATAGGACGTTCTGAGGCTGAAAGCAGCAGGTTCAAACCAAGAATCAACAGTTTTATTTCTTATTCTATGGGGAGTCAAAAGGCTAACCATCAATCTGCTGATGCAGGGAAAAAAACCCACCAGAGTTATAAAGTTGGGTGTTTTAGTGTCACTATGCTGAAAAAAGTTTTAGCAACACTTTAAAATAAGGGTCCCTTTAGTGCATTATCAAGCATTAATAAACTATTAAATAAAGGATTAACTACTGCTTTACCTTTATATGTACTACTAAGCAGCAATCCCCCAGCCCCAGAGTCTTAATAGTTAATAACGGCAATGTAATAATGATACCCTTGTAAATTGTAAAGTGTAACCAAGGTTTCAAAGGAAAAAAAAATACTGTTGCTATAAAAGATGAATGATTCTGTTTTTCTTTAACTAACTTTCTAAATGATAAAAATGGATCAAACTTGAGCTGTTTTCTGTTTGTGCTTCATCATGCAAACGTAGACCAATAATCTGACATGTTGCAAAAACTTTTTTTCCTCAACAGCATTTAAACAATCTTTATTTGATCAAAACAATGAAACATGCAGCAGCATAAAAAAATAAATAATCTTACAGCTTATAAATTGTGTTTTTAGAACTCTCCGTTACTGGTTTGATTTTTAGTCCCCAAAAGTAAGAAAACCTGAATACAAGTGAACGGGGCTATAAAAGCGATTTTCGGATCCCACTTATTATGTGCCATGACATAAAATGTCTCTGAATTTTAAAGACATTTTGATGCCAAGAAAGATTTTATTTTAGAACGTCAGACATAGTCAAAACTCACATAATTGATTTTCATTTACAACATATGTGTAATTCAAGGTGTGAGGCAAAGCGGATTCGAAAACAACTTTTATAGCTCCATTCATGTTTTCTTTCTTCTGAGGGGACCCATGAGCAGACCGGAAGGCTCCTTATGGTGACATGGAAAGGTGCTGACTAGGTGAGAGTAGACGGTTAATGCTGAGCAAAGTGAAATCATGAAGGAACAATGTGCGAGAGGTTTGAGACATCTGGTGTCCCTCTGATACATGCTGAAAAAATCATTACAGGTCAGATAAAAAGTGCAGAAATGTATCCTGTAAACTGTTTGGACTTTAGGAATAATTTCATTTTGATCCATGACTTAATGACTGATAGCCTTTGTTTTTTTAAACCAGTGCACTGTTTCATTAATTATTTGCCATGCTGGAGTTAAGAAGCTGCATCTGTTCATTAAGCATTTGGTTAACCTTCAGCCAATTAGTTACATCATTCCCTGTAAAATCACAATTACACGAGTTTGTTGAATGACTGGACAGAGCCACAAGCTCATTCAGATTGTTTAAATTCCTACTTTGAATGCAAGTTTATTTCCTTCAATGTTTTCATTGAGGTCTGCATAGTAACAATGTTCAAATCAGTTGTAGGTTTTGTCTGAACAAATCTGTGCAAACCATGGAACCAGTAGACCCTTAAGTCCATCATCCAGGTCTGATGACCAGGTTAGAGAGGATTTTAACATTTCCCTGAGAAAGCATTCAGATCGAAGGCCGTGTCCAGTAAACGTTGCAGCTCCACCAGGTGGGTGTGTTTGTTTCCTGTAGCTGGTGCTGCAGCGGAGTCCCGACCAACATACCTACAGACACACAAACAAGCCTCTAAATATGAGTTGCTTACATGTACAAACATTACAAATGTGTTGTAAGATCAGTGCTGACTTCTGTCAGTCAACGAGGCATTAGGATAGCTTTGTAATTTGCGGCCCCCCCCCCCCCCCCCCCAATCATGCTTTGAACACCAACTCCCATAACTGTCCTATGGGGGTGACGTGGCTCCGGGGTTAGTTGTTTGCCCTGTAATCTGGGTTGCTGGTTTGAACCCTCTGTTGGTGTCATTCATTGTGATTGATGGTGGTTTAAAGTGCTTTGGAGTCCCTGACTTAGAAAAGCACTACACTAATGCAATATTGTTTTTATGTTCAATCAGAATAAGGCTTTCCTGTCTTTGTGGGGACACCTTAGAGTAAGAGAGGAGCTGTTGTTCCTGTAATGAAGCTACACACTTTGTTCTTTATGTCAACATTTCTTTTATCTGCTTTGATCAATGACATTTTTAATGGACATCAATATCCAGATGAAGCACAAAGTGAGATAATTAATTTACTCTTTTTGCATGCTACCAGCTAAAAGTGTAAAACTGGTTTTACAGAGATCCAAAAATGAAGAAATTAAATGTTCCAAATAACCTGAGGTGAAACTTACCAGATGGGCCGTGTACGGTTGATTGTGGTACGGAGGCGAGGCTTTACATAGTCATAGTAACCCTGGTTCTTGTGCTCTTCTTGACACCAGACCAGATCAGCATTCAGGTAGCGATCAGCCTCTAATTTTATCAGGTCAAATGGGAACGGAGACAGCTGCAGAATCAAAAAGCTACTTTAGATATTTCAGAAGAGCAAGTTTTATTCTTATTCTGTAATATTAACACAAGCATTTATGGTGTAGTCAGATCATTTTGTACTTGTATCATTTACCTGTTCGATGCAAACAACAGCAACAGCAGCATCCATGTTTCTGTTCCTGCGTTCTCGGATCAGTTCATAGTAAACTTTTCCAGAACAGAAAACAACTCGCTTCACTTTCTCTGGGTTTTTGGCTGCAGGCCCATCATCCAGGATGATGCGCTTGAAATGAGTCCCTTCAGAATCAGAAATAAGGAAATAAATTAACACACTTTACTGATACTTATTTGCATTTTGTTTCTCAGTTCCCACCAGGCAGCATGTCATCAAAGCTCGACTTGGCCTCAGGGTGGCGCAGCAGGGACTTGGGAGTAAACACAATGAGCTAGAGGATCAGAAATAAAGAGGAAGTAAAGAATATGTTAGGCTTGAACTGCATCATCTTGTATGTCAGATTCAACATGTGGGTCACTTACAGGCTTCCTGAACGGCAGCAGGATCTGTCTGCGGAGAACGTGGAAGTAGTTTGCAGGAGTTGAGCAGTTCACCACAATCCAGTTACAGTCATGAAGTTGATGCACTGCAAAATCTTCAGAGTGTTTCTAAATAAATGAGGTTAGAATTTATTTAAAGTTTGGAGATTCTGATCAAAATGGCTTTTATGTATTTTTTTAGGGCCGGGACTTTAACGCGTTAATTATGATTAATTAGAAAAAAAAAACGCGTTAAAAAAATTAACGCATTTAATCGCAGCTTGCATTTCAAGCATGGCGGAACCTTTGTCCTTGCACGACTTCCTCGTAGACTGAATATCACTGACGCACACAACAATGCACAGTGCTAATGGCTACTAAAACGGAATAAAAACAGAAAGAAGTTGCCTTGCTTGGACTGATGCATGATTTAGGAAACACGCCCGCCTCTTTTCTTAACTTGGGAAAAAAAACTTCCAGACAACAACGGAGTCCGTATCGCGAACATTTTTCAGAGATCGTCTCTGCTGCAGCTGCCCGGTGGCAACGGGAACTTTACAAAAGTTGCGGTAAGCTATATTTTTAACATTTACGTAACATCTGTGCAGCGCTGAAAGCACCAGACAGAATAATTCTGTGCCCTAACAGTAGTTTATGAAAGTAGTCAGACAAACGAGAGGCACCTGGCTGCCGCTGGGAGAACGCTCCGTGTTCTCACTACTCTGTAAACAATAACAAACAACATGTCAAAGTTGAAAACTGAAGTTTAAGTTAAAACAGAAACACTCTGAAACTTTTCTGATGATTTTCTAAACAATGCTGTCGGGGAACTCTACGTTTCTGAGACGAGTCACTGTCTAAACATCGCATGCATTACTATCATTAAGCAGCAGGTGTGTTGAAGATGTCATCAGCTAAGGGGTGGATGCTTAAGTGCATCGGGGCAGCGAGGAACGAGGAAGTTGTGATCAGGCTGGAGATCACACCAGATTCGCTGCAGCAGGCGTGAATCTGCGGGGCTGCAGCATCCCCTTCTTAACGTGACATCAGGACTTCCCATGTAAGGAAGGTCCGCTCACCTGCTCGTCAGATCATTATTTCCTCGCCATGATCTTTTATCTTCCCATCAACCTCCAGTCATCCAACTGGAACCAGTTAGTGTTCCTGATCATTCTCAGAATTTGCCACGCCTGCTCTGGTGTTAAAAGTTAGTTCATTTAAGTCCTAGATCATATTTGTGCCTGTTCTACTGTCATTTTGAAGGATTATTATTTGTGTTTTTTCTACATTATGAGTAGAAATGCTAATAAAAACTCCCAATTATACAAACAAGTGAAAATGGAAAAATTAGAATCTGGTGCAAAGTCAAATTTATTTCAGTCATTCAACTAGACAGAGAGACTATTTAAAGGCTCAGGAACACTTTGCAGGTGTTTTCTATTTGTAATTATAAATTTTAGTTGATTTGGATTGTTTCATATCACACAGTGACATTTGAATAATTAAAATGCATTTTTTTATTAAAAGCTTTAGTTTACAGTAATAACCATGCCTAATGTTTGATTCTCTGTCTCATAATTTTAATTTTTTTAGTTTAGTTTATTTCAAACAAAGAAAACATACATAATTTTTTTAAATACCACAAACAGAAAAAATACATATCATCATCCCTTCTTCTCTGTTAATTAAGTTTTACTTTGAGAGCACATTTTCCTGGATGATTAAAATGCGATTAATTGAGATTAATTAATTACAAAGCCTGTATTTAATTAGATTAAAATTTTTAATCAAGTCCCAGCCCTAGTATTTTTGTGAAATAACTAATCTGCTTTGATACTCTGGTAGGTTTACACCATGCTCAAATGTTATGCTCTTACCTGTGCAACAAATGTAAGCCTTTCACTCTTAACAACGATCTGTCCCTAACCTAGTTTAGTTGTGGTGTACCACAGGGTCCATTTTCGGTCCCTCTATCTTATTTAAGGTACAGATAGAGCACCTTTCAGCCCTGTTTAAAGCCTTTCTTATTCACAAGTTCACTGTGTTTTCTCTTTGTTCCTTACCAATAAATGGGGAAAATTAAGCTTTTTGATTGCCTGAAGCTGCATTCAACAGTTTTAAATGATGTTTAAATGTGTCATATATTTCACCTGTTTATATCTGAATGAAGAAATTCACTAATAAACTCACAGGAAAAACATCTGGGTCATCATTGCACATTTGTAGAAATCTTTCAGGGCGGGCAGACGAATGCTCTGGACCCTGAAAAAAACAGAGTAATATAACAATGAAGACCTCAATAAACATTCACCCATCCATGCTACTAATGACTTATACAGCTTTTCTGTTCCTACCATCCCCTCCATGCCATGAGGCAGAAGCAGCACGATGCCATTCTGTCTGACCCACTTGGCCTGCCCCGAGCTGATAAACTGGTCAATGATGCACTGAGCTGTGTTGTGAAAGTCTCCAAACTGGGCCTCCCACAGAACCAGAGCATTGGGACTGGCCATGGCAAAGCCCAACTCAAAACCTGCTCACAAAGGAGGAAACTTTAGAAGTCCAGTACAAAGTTCTGATCATTATTATGTTGATGCAACAAGGTGTAATAAATGGCGTGTACTAATTAATAAACTGGTAGTTTAGCTTGTGTTTATCATACAGGTATGGTGTGACACTGGTCCGTGATTATGGTGAGGTTTTGTGACTCACCTAGAACTCCGTACTCTGACAAAGAGCTGTTGCAGACGGTGTAAGGAGCCTGATCAGGCGAGATGTGGTTCATCGGGATGCAGGTCCTTTTATCTACATTCTGGTCGTGAAGAACATGGTGTCGATGACTACAGAACAAACAAACAAAACAAGCTGTTTTTGTATCTCACTGGGTTATACTTGCATGGAGAATGACAAAACAAAGCTGGAGACGATGCAAGTGGTGAATGTCTACAGCGACAGAAATCACATATTCCTTAATCCAGATAACTGAAAGCTAACTGAAGCCTAATATTTGACATTAGGTTTGTTATTTTTACTTAGAATAGCTTTGTGTTACCTGAAAGTGCCCCTCTCTACATCCTGTCCACTCAGACGCACATGAACCCCGTCTTTCAGTAGAGAACCGAAGGCCATGTACTCTCCCAGGGCCCAGTCACACACCCGCTGGCCCACCATGTTGGCACGTCCTTTTAGGATACGACTCAGCCCTACAGCATGAACAGCAGAAACCAGCTTAATGGAGTTCCACAACTCAATCAGAAGATTTTCCTAACAATCGGAGGATGGGGATAGAGTGCACCTCCATGAATAGTGAAATCCTCCACTGGGACGGAAGCTGCGATGCTTCCTATGTGACTGAGGTCATCTTCACTGATTCCAGTTGAAGGACAGCTCATAGTTTTGGGTTGACCCTCCAGAGTGAAAAAATCTGAATATACAGACACACAAACCATTTCTCCCCACAGCCCAGAGAACACCTTGTTCTGTTTGTTGAAAACCCAAATATATTGGGCTTAGAAACACATTTAAATGATGAAGTTGGTATTACCTGGCCAGGGAGAGTCCAGCCAGTGCTTGATGTGTAGGATCTTCTCATCTTTGGAGCGTGAGTAAGCATCCTCACAGATTTTATCGTACCTGACCACTTCCTCCTGATAGAGTCCCAAGCAGACAGAATCAGATTGAGACCACAAGTGGAGAACCTGTTAGCTTCTGGACACTTTAGCTTTAGTGTTTTTGATGTCCTCATTTGTGTGGCTCTTTTTTAGGTGTTCAAAGACTTTTTGATACAGGCTCAATAATTATTTTCAATTATTTATCATTTATAATCCAGATTTTTGCCCATAAATGCTCAACATTTATTTCAGTTTCAGGCTGAAAAAACAATCTTCATCTGACAAAGAAATTTAAGTTTGTAAAAGCTATTAAAACAAATTAGATTTATAAAAATATGTGAAAAAGTCATATTAACACACTGACAATGAATATGCATGTCACAATGTAAGCCAGGAGGAGGTTAGGACCCAAGATGCAGAACCAGGATGACACAAAGCAGGAGTTGTAGAAAATGTAAAATCCTTTACTGGGAATAATAGTCCAAAAGTAAAATCCAAAAGGGGCAGGTAGCCAAAAACCAAAAATCGTAATGCACAAACAAAAACCCCAGAGACCAAGAGACGAAAGCTCCTTTAAAGAGCAAAACTAGAGACATCCAAATAACCTAGAGACCAAGAGAAGGAAACGGGACAACGCTGACACAAAAAATGAACCGACAACACACTTAGACGCAGACAGGGTTATATACACAGAGGGAACATGGAGAGAAACAATCAGGGAAACAGGTGACAGGTGTGTGGAGAGTGAGATCAGAAGGGATCAGGTGAGACTAATTAACTGAGTGGGGAAACTGTACTAGGTAAAATTAATCTACAGAGAACTACAGATAAGTGAACTAATAAACCTGAAAACTACACATCAGAAGAAAAACACTAACAAGGATGGGATAACTAAATCTGAAATCGCAAAGGGGGAACCTGAGGGAAACCTGCAGGGAGCTGAAGACCTAAGGGACACATAAACCTAAGGGGAAAACCTGGAGTGGGCTGGGGAACACAAGGAAGCACCTGAAAGGGGGGGGGGGGGGGGCAGACAAGGAGACACATGAGGAAACCAAGGAGACATAAAGGGGAACCTAGAGAGGGCAGGAGAACACAAGAAAACACATGAGGGGGACGCAGGACGCAGAACATGACAATGCAAATGTTTTGTGAACTAAACAGAAATCTGAAGATAAAACTCTGAGCTCAAACTGCTTATTTCTCTTATTTTGACCTGAACAAAATTGTCATTGTTTAATTTGTTCCATCATCTTTGAGTTTTTATGGATGATCTTCATCTTTTTGCATGAAATAAAGCTTCTCCTGCTTTAACACACATATTGTAACTAAGAATATTAAATGTGGTCACTGAATTAAACAAAATACAATGGTAGAAAACCTACCAGGATAAAAGAAAACCAAACTAAAGTTGCTAAGTTGATTAATTACACATATTTTAGACTCTAAACTGCATCACCTGGTAGTATTGTGTTGTAACGACTCCTTCAGCAATAAGTTTCTCTGCAAACTTCTGCAGGACTCCCTTCTGCTTCTTGATCTGTTTATACATTAGTGGCTGGGTGAACATGGGCTCATCCATCTCATTATGGCCGTTTCGTCTGTAACACACCTGAAAACAGCAGCCATGTCATCAAAATCATGAGGTTTCCTCACCATCAAGTCTGACATTTCTATTTGAAACTTGTAGACATTGCAACAAAGAAATAAAGGAGATTATCTCATTTTATTTAAATTAGCTTTCTTTGTTCTAGCCTCTTTTTCAAAGATTGTGTCAGCTTCCGTTAATACATTTTCTACATTTATGCTTTTTTGTTACATACTTGAGACGAGTCAGAGGCTGGCTCAGAAAAAAATGGCAAAAGATCAGAGAAAATGACATTTCAAATGCTCCCAATGTTTCATAAGGACTTTTCCAGGCACTCAAAGTACTTTCCATTATTCCTTAAGTTATAATAGTTTTGTGGAATATATAAAACTTGTTAATGAAGAGACGGTGGCGTGGCATGGTGGAGTTGACCTCGGTGCAAGTGTTGTTTGCTTCCAAATAATCAAATACTATTGAGAAAAGAGTTGTGATATTGCAAATTTCGGTGCTGAGTACTGCTACTGATAAAAGAATGAGTGAGGAAGATGTCATTTCTAGTGCATCTTAGCAGGGAATTGAATTGTCATTACAAAAGGACTACCAGGAAATGCCATTCTGTGCAGTATCTTTTCTGGATTGAGATGTCTGATGTTTTTCCTGGGATCTGCTTTAGCCACTCCTCCAGTTTGGTGATTACTGCCCTAATGACCACAGGCACCACTGATGTCTTCACTCGCCAGGCTTTCTCAAGTTCTTTTTTGAGGCCCTGGTACTTCTTTAGTTTCTCGTGCTCTTTTTTCCTGATGTTGCCATCACTTGGTACTGCCATATCAACAGCAATGGCTGTCCTCTGTTTTTTGTCCCCAAACAAAAGGTCCGGTTGGTTCTCCATCACCATTTTGTCATTCTGGATCTGGAAGTCCCACAGGAACTTTGCTCTCTCGTTCTCAACCACCTTAGAGAGTGTTACCCACTTTGACATTGGGGCTTCCAGTCCATACTCTGCACAGATGTTTCTGTACACGATGCCAGCCACTTGGTTGTGGTATTCCATGTATGCTTTCCCTGCCAGCATCTTACACCCTGCAGTTATGTGGTGCATTGTCTCAAGGGCCTCTTTGCATAGCCTACACCTTGGGTCTTGTCTGGTGTGGTAGATCTTGGCCTCTGTTGCTCTGGTGTTCAGAGCCTGTTCCTGTCCAGCCATCATGAGTGCCTCTGTGCTGTCCTTCAGACCAGCTCTTTCTAGTCATTGGTAGGATTTCATGATATCAGCCACTTCAGTTATCTGTCTGTGGTACATCCCATGTAGGGATTTGCCCTCCCATGATGGTATTTCCAGTGTCTCCTCCTCTGTTTGCTATTGTCTGAGACATTCACTGACCATGTCATCTGTTAGGGCTTTGTCCTAGTGTACAGTCTCAGGGTGCTGGATTTGGGATGGAACCCTGCATGCATGGTTAGGAGCTTCCATGTCTTAACATCTGTGATCTGTATTTCTTCCTTTAGCCAGCTTATTATTCCTGCAGGATATCTGATTACTGGTAGGACATAGCTCTTTCTTGCCCAGATCTCAGGTGTGGACGACCTTCCTTTTCTTTGTCACCATCCGACCACACTTCTCAATTCTGAATGACATTCCAATATTTGTGCTGTAGATCCTGGTGGTGTGGATCAGTGAGTCGATGTTTTGCTCGCTCTTGGCATACAGCTTCATGTCATCGATGTAGAGGAGGTGGCTGATTGTGGCTCCATTCTTGAGTCAGTATCCAGAGCCAGTCTTGTTGATTTTTTGGCTGAAGGGGTTCAGACCGATGCAGAACAGCAGTGGGGACAGGGCGTCTCTTGCTCTTATAGCCGAGCATCTCAAGGATCACGGCTGCTGAAGTGTATATCAGCTCTTTGGTTTCAGTGATGGTGGTTGTAGGATTTATTCTCAATATAGCATTCACATCTGATGGTACTTCCCTCAGCCATTTTAGTTGGTGTCAGGGTTGCCTGGTGTTTATTTACGCCATTCACCTATATCTCAGGTCATTTGCTGCCTCATTCAGCGTTGTTTTGTCTATTCGGGCTTCGTACCCAATCTCCGGATGGGGAATTGATGTTAGCTTCCCTCTGACCTTGTGTCCTGGCTATCCCTTGCCAAAGCATTTGTGTTGTATCTCGTCAATCTCAAGTTGTGATAGCAGTTGCCGTTTGTGGATGTTGGAACACTGAGCTACTAGTTGTTTGGCTGTTAGTGTGGAGTGCGGGTTTTGAAGTAACTTTTCTTCCCGCATTCTCTGCATGTAACCCCTCTGACTAGGGTTACTGGAGTAGTAGCATTCCAACAGACCCAGTTTCTCACATCTTGCCAATTTCTGTTTTGTTCCAGTAGCCCACTTTTCATCAGGGGACTCTGGTTCCCCAGGACCTGACGCAGACCTTGTTTGGCTGGGCAACATCTGAGTCGGTACCTCATTCATTTTGGTTGCTCGCATCATTGTATGAGGTAGACAAATAGCACCAAGGGTCTTGCCCGACCCCTGGACCACATCAGATGCAGAAACGCGACGATGCGCCCAATGTGTAGTGAAACGAAGAGTGCTTCTATTCTGTGTGATGGACTTAAAGATCTAAAATTCATTCCAGATACACAATATTACCATTTCTCTCAAACATTGTTCACAAATCAGTCTAAATGTGTGATAGTGAGCACTTCTGCTTTGCTGAGATAATCCATCCCACCTCACAGGTGTGCCACATCAAGATGCTGATCTGACATCATAAGTAGTGTACCTTATACTGCCCACAATAAAAGGCCACCCTGGAATGTGCAGTTTTGTCTCACAACAAAATGCCACAGATGCCACAAGCATTGAGGGAGCATGCAATTGGCATGCTGATAGCAGGAATGTCAACCAGATCTGTTGCTCGTGCATTGAATGTTAATTTCTCCACCATAAGCCGTCTCCAAAGGCATTTCAGAGAATATGGCAGTACATCCAACTGGCCTCTCAACTGCAGATGACATGTAACCACACCAGCCCAGGACCTCCACATCCAGCAGGTTCACCTCCAAGATCGTCTGAGACCAGCCAGTCAGACTGCTGCTGAATCAATTGGTTTGCATAACCAAACAATTTCTGCACAAACTGTCAGAAACCGTCTCAGTGAAGCTCAAATGCATGCTCGTCGTCCTCATCGGGGTCTTGACCTGACTCCAGCTCGTCGCCGTAACAGACTTGAATGGGCAAATGCTCACATTTGATGGCATCTGGCACGTTGGAGAGGTGTTCTCTTCACGGATGAATCTCGGTTTACATTGTTCAGGGCAGATGGCAGACAGTGTGTGTGGCGTCGTGTGGGTGAGCGCTTTGCTGATGTCAATGTTTTGGATCGAGTGGCCCATGGTGGTGGTGGGGTTATGGTATGGGCAGGCATCTGTTACGGATGAAGAACACAGGTGCATTTTATTGATGGCATTTTGAATGCACAGAGATACTGTGATGAGAATTTTTGTGTAAGACTGGAGGACTGTTCATCTGATACTGCTGATTTGCAGTGTGGAGTGCCTCAGGTATCAGTCCTGGCACCTCTCCTCTTTTCCCTCTATCTGTTGCCGCTGGGTGACTTGTTTCATCGGCACAACGTCAGGTTTCACCTGTATGCGGATGGCTGTCAAATCTATGTACCTGTATCATGCAATAACTCAAGTTCTTTTAAACCACTCTTGGACTGCTTGGAGGAGGTCAAGTTATGGATGGCTCAAAATGTATTGTTCTTCAACCAGAATAAAACTGAGACTATCCTGTTCTGCCCGAAATACAAACATGGATGTGCACAAGGGACTGTCTCTCCTTCATTAGCGCCTTTTGAGAAGGCTGTGGTCACCAACCTGGGGGTGAAGTTGGATGTAGAGCTCACACTGGATACCCAGGTCAATGGAACAATCAGATCCTGCTATTTCCATCTCAGGAGAATAGCTAGGATTAAGCCGCTGCTATCACGTTAACATCTGGAAACTGTCATCCACGCCTTCATTACCACCAGACTGGACTACTGTAACTCGCTTTATGCAGGCATCAAGCAGGCCTCCATAGCAAAACTACAGAAGGTCCAAAATGCGGTAGCCAGGTTACTGACTGGTACCAGGAGATCTGAACACATCATGCCTGTCTTGGCATCCCTACATTGGCTTCCAATCTCTTTTAGAATTTTGTTTAAAGTTCTGGTGTTTGTTTTTAAATGTTTAAATGAGTTGGCTCCGCATTATCTGGCAGATCTGATCCATCCTTAAGTTCCTGCAAGGAACCTTCGGTCAGCACAGCAAGGACTGTTGGTCGTTCCTAAACACAGACTACAATCTCGAGGGGGTTGTGCTTTCTCGGTGCTGGGGCCGAGGCTCTGGAATGAGCTACCTACAGGTGTTAAACAGGCCACCACGCTCGGCAAGTTTAAGAGCCAGCTCAAAACTCACTTTTATTCTTTAGCTTTTATTCAGGAAGAGTCCCGTTACCTGATGGCTTTACACTTTTTGCTGCCCCACCTAGATTTTATCTGCATGTTTTTGTTGGTTTTTAAATGGTTTTATATATTTTTTTATGTTTATTTATGCTGTGCAGCGCTTTGTTTGGTCCTTCGGCCATGTGAAGGCGCTATATAAATAAAGTTTTAGTTAGTTAGTTAGTTAGAGATCCTGAGGCCCATTGTTGTGCCGTACATCCATGAACATCACCTCATGTTTCAGCAAGATAATGCACGGCCCCATGTTGCAAGGATCTGTAAACAATTCTTGGAAGCTGAAAATGTCCCAGTTCTTGCATGGCCAGCATACTCACTGGACATGTCACCCATTGAGCATGTTTGGGATGTGCTTGACCGGCGTATACGACAGCGTGTACCAGTTCTAGGGTTGTCACGGTAACCGGTGTAGCGGTAAACCCCGGTAAAAAAAAAGTTGACAATATTAATAACCATCTTGTTTTGAAAAAATGTATTATCTCGGTGGATTACTGTGGCTGCGGTGTAGGCGTGGTGATCCTTACCAGCCACCGTATCATCTGCTGAAGTTGCCGGCGGCACATGCGCACTTTGTTGTTTACAACCAAAACTTTCTTGAAGCTAAAGCTGAAATAATGGCCAAAGGAGGAGATGGCAGTGCTCATGACATTTATTATCCCTCAAAGAAGACAAAGTCGGAAGTATGGGCACTTTTTGAATATTTGAAGAATGCCGAGGGACAGTTGATACAAGACGGCTATCCTGTTTGCAGCACATGCAGAAAAGTGTCTGTGAAAGGCAGCAACGCTTCAAATCTCATGACACATCTGCGTGACCATCACCCACAACTCTACAGTCAACGCAAGGCAAGTTAGCGTTAGCGTTTTAGCTAAAATGCGTGATCCGAGGATTTGGGTTGAGGGAGAATGCAACGAGTCGCTATATAAAGCAGCCGCAGCACCCACTACCTGCATATAAACCGTGTCACGGACACCCCCATATTGAAATGATGCTATGCATTACAGGGCTCCCAGGGGCAGATAAGAGTTGATCTCTCTCCAAGAATAATTATGAATTTAACAATGATTACTGCCTGATGACATTTTCCCAAATCTGCAAAGCTCACCGGAAGGACACAAACCGAAGACAATATTTTCCTGATATAGGGTTTATTACTCAAGTAAGGGTAAAAAAGTATCAGATTAGAAGGCTACTTGAGTACTGAATATCATCTGATCTAATATTTTTTAAATGATGACATCAAACAGACAAAAAATAAGAAGTTATGGGCAAATATTGGTATTTTAAAGACTAAAGGGGAAATATGTAAACAGATAAACTACATAATTGCAAAATAACACATTTTAGGCAAAATTTAGACACAAACTGAGGACAATATTTTCCTGATATACAGTGTTTATTTAGTTGTCTGAAAATGTAACACGTTTAAAAAAAATACCGCGATAATACCAAAAACAGTGATAATTTTGGTCACAATAACCGTGAGGTTAAATTTTCACTCCGTGACAACCCTAACCAAATCCCACTAATATTCAGCAAATTCGCACAGCCATTGAAGAGGAGTGGACCAACATTCCGCAGGCCACAATTGACAATCTGATAAACTCTATGCGAAGAAGATGTGTTGCATTGCATGAGGCAAATGGTGGTCACACCAGATACTGACCGGTTCTGAGTCCCCAGACCCCCAATAAAGCAAAAAACTGCACATTCCAGGGTGGCCTTTTATTGTGGGCAGTACACCTGTGCACTACTCATGTCAGATTAGCATCTTGATGTGGCACACCTGTGAGGTGGGATGGATTATCTCAGCAAAGCACAGGTGCTCACTATCACACATTTAGACTGATTTGTGAACAACGTTTAAGAGAAATGGTAATATCGTGTATCTGGAATGAATTTTAGATCTTTAAGTCCATTTCATGAAAAATCAGAGCAGAAACAAAGGTGTTGCATTTATATTTTTATTGAGTGTGTGTGTGTGTGTGTGTGTGTGTGTGTGTGTGTGTGTGTGTGTGTGTGTGTGTGTGTGTGTATATGTGGTGTGTGTGAAGGAAAACACCTCACACATTCTACGAAACTGACCAGCAGGTAGACTTATAGGCCAATTATGTATAGATGTTCTCTCTCTTTCTCTCACACACACACACACACACACACACACACACACACACACACACACACACACACACACACACACACACACATTTCCATAATAGTAATAATGTTGATAACATGGACTGAATTGTAGACATTAGACAGAGGTGAAGGTTTATGCAATTAACAAGGTATTTAATAAATGATTATCAAGCTGCTGTAAAATGCAATCTCCAGTCCATGCCCAGTCAGCACTATCCTCTCTTCTGTCTCATGATTAGCAGCAGCTCGGATGTTTATGCCCACAAAGAGACCTTTAGTTTCCAACAACATTCCCACTTTCAAATGAAGCACACTCCTCCTCTTGTTTTTGCTTTTTCTTTCTTGTGTTTACTCCCGATCTATATTTCTGTTTGAAGGCCATCTCTCCTCCTCCATGGATCACCTGCCTGTCGACACATTTAACCACTGGTTGGTCAGGTGTTGCATGCTGCCTTTCATTGCAGGAACATGCATGGTTTCAGATTAACTTGTCTTTTTTTTTTCACTTCTCTCGCCTGATGACAGTAGCTGATGGGGCCGAAAGAGCAGCGTGCCTCACTGCAGTGATTGCTTCCATGGCACATGGAGAGAATGCGTCCTCTTGCACAAAATTAAGCGCTTCTTGGAAAAACGTGTTGAGGAGGCGCTGGTGGGGATTGTGGATGGCTGGTTGAAGTCGGACAGATTTGTATTTTATCTTTTTTCCAGAAATCATGGAGATTTCAACTAATAAATAAGCAGAAGAAATACCAGTACTCTCCGTACTCTAGAAAAAAAGTCAAGGTTCCCTTACTCCAGTTGTGTTTCATTAACGCGTCTTAACAACACAGATCACACTATGGACGAATATTATCCACGTCTGAGATGCATCCACAGCTCCTCTGTTTTGCTCCAGAGGAGCCTCTCTGGGCCTCCTGAGGTCCGTGGGTCCCGGTGTACTGCTCCGACTGCACCAACGGACCATACGCCAGTGGACGGTGGCTCAGGGGTTAGGAGGTCTCCTTGTGATCAGTGAAGTGCAGGTTTGAGCCCAGGCTCATGTCAGCAGCTCCCTCTTGCAGGTGAGAGGTGGTTCTATTCCACTTTACCCATTTGTGATGTCACAAACGGGGAATTTTTGAAACAGCTTTTTTAGGCATATAATTTCTAAAACCAAATACTGACAGAAAATGGATGGATAGATTTTTGTTTACAAATGGGGTGTTCATTGAGGCAGTAGAGACCCACATGGTGGCACAAAATGTGAGTTTTGTGCAAAATGTCCTCTTAACAAATCTAAGGCTGTCTTCTGATTGTGGCCAAGACAAATTCAATGACTGAAAGTTGAAATAATGACTGTGGAAACTTTGGATGCACCAAACAGCAGAGTTTAGTGCACTATTAGAGAATCTTCAATTACTATGTCCTCTGACTTAATGGTTAAACCCTTCATAATTTCCTCTTACTGAGAAAATAGATTAAGAATGAGAAGAAACAAGTCCTTAGGAAGGGTCAGAGCTGTCGAAATAAAATACTAAAAATCAGAGAACACTTTTTAGAGGCGGTTTGACCAGAAAAACTAGAGCACATTTTATCTTTAGTGAGATTTTATCAAAGAATATTATTTTGTGATTAATTATCTGCATTTGTGTAAAACTTCCAAAAAAAAGAAGCTTCTGTCCTAACAAAGACAATGAATTCTAATAACGGGGTGTCCTTTTTGTTTACCAGGTCGACGACGACATCTTTATGAAATGTGTTCCTCCACTCTGCCGCCACGTTGCACACATACATTACAGCCTCTGGGTCATCCGCATTAACATGGAAAATGGGAGCGTTGACCACTCGAGCGATGTCTGTCGGGTACGGAGAAGAACGAGCCATCCTGGGATCTGTGGTGAATCCAATCTGTGTGGGGAAAAGAACAATGTCAGCAGCCACAGTCACTTTGACTAATAAATAAATATCTAATGGATAGGGATTTTTTCTAAGTTACCAAAAAGAAGTAAAACAATTCGACAGGAGCAGATAAATCTAACACTCATTCCATGGAATGAGAACCTCTGATAAAATAGCAGCAAGTTTTCTTATGAGCAGCTTGAAAACAACCCTGAAAAGAGGAGATTTCCCACAGCATCTGTTACCCCGGTGTCACACTGAAAGCATCAGCGGCGCAGACTGGCAGCGGAACATCACTGCTTCAAATAGAATCCATTATAGTCTATGGACTGTTTCAAACCAGCAGCGATGCGGCAATTTCCAAGTGCATTCCAGAAGCGGCATGCCAGATAAATCGCAGAAGAACAAATACTTCTAAAAGGTATAGATTTTAACGTACATTTAATGTGTAAAACCTAAAAATATTAGTATGGGGGGGAACTAGAGGGAGCATGGCTCCCCAAAAAGGGTGTTGGGTTCCCCCAGAAGCCCTCAACTGGCACACCCAGGGGCAGCCTATCTCACCCTATGGAGGTGATCGGATGGACCACTTCACTCCCCCAAAGCCTACTGGTTGTGCAGCGCACCAGGCTAAAGACCAAAGGTGACAGATCATTTGCTGCTGTGGCCCCCAGACACTGGACCTCTGTCCCCCTGAGCCTGAGATCAGTAGACTCAGTGGTCTCCTTTAAAAAGCAGCTGAAAACTCACCTGTTCAGGCTGGTTTTGGTGTGACTGTCTGCTCATCTTCTTCTTTCTCACTAACTTCCTTTCATGCTGATGTTTGTCAATTTTGTATATTTTCAGACTCCCGTTTTCATTTTTGTTTTTAATCTTAATTTTTATTTGATCTTTTAAAAATGCTTTCTTTTTTGAAAATTTTACTGTGCCATTGCTGAGCTGTTATTGTAGCCTGGCAAGCCAGACTAAATAAATATATTATTTAAAAGGCAAGAATTTGGTCTCGTTCACTAGACTACTGTTATTAAGCACCATGTGACTTTTTTCATTATGTGAAAAAAAAACGTTTTTCTTTTCCTTCTTTTAAAAAGTACATAATCTTATCTACCAGTCAGAATTATAAGTGAATACCTGGTTGTTGACCACCACATGGATAGTGCCGTGGGTGGTGTAGGACGGCAGGTCAGACAGGTGGAAGGTCTCATACACAATACCCTGACCTGCAAACGCAGCATCGCCATGAAGAAGAATAGACATCACCTTTAAAAAAACATTTTTAAACATTTAGAAACCATCAGAGTGACTTTTTAGATTTACACTTCCCTATTTAGCGTACCTTCTTGCCTTCAGTGTCTCCGGAGTAAAACTGCTCAGCTTTGGTCTTTCCCTGCACCACAGGGTCCACGGCTTCCAGGTGGGATGGGTTTGCCATGAGAGACATGGTGATATACCTGTCACTGACCCGATTCATCCTCCTGTGGTACATTCCCAGGTGGTATTTCACATCACCTGAACCCTGAAAACAGCAAAAGATAAAGATCTTCTGCCGAAGCCAAACTCAAATTGGAAATCAGCTGAATAATCAGACTGACATTTACACTGCTAAAAAGAAAGATTTTAGAATAACATAAAGTATGGTTCTGATAAAGCCTTACCAAGTTCTAATTAACAAACATTATGTCGTCAAAAGGCCCAGTAAGAAGTGCAAAAACACATTAATATAATATAATATAATATAATATAATATAATATAATAATAATATAATTTATTGATCCCACAGTGGGGAAATTCACTTGTGGGGATGCAAATACTGTATAAGAGAAAGAGACTCACTTTGTATGTTTCTGTTACATCAAATATGTTAAAGGTGTCACCTTTGACCCTTGGTGCTAAAATTTCGTTTTGGGTAGCCAAACAAAAGCTTTCAGTAGATGGAGCCTTTATAGTCAGTTTTGCTAAAAATGTGAGCAGGTGAAGTTCAGACCTCATCTACAGCCTCCAACTTTGAGTCAAATTGACAAAATATTTGTTCCAGATCCTTCCGGATGACATTTGCTAGCACATTCAGCCTGCCTCTGCAGATACACAAGAGTATAGAGGACATATTGGTGAAGATGGTGCATGCATGATGGGAACACAAGTGGAGTGAAGGAGCTGTGCATTAGTCAACTGCACCTGTGAGACATTCCCATGATTACGCTCTCCACTCCACTCTGACTGGACTTGTCAATGACAGTCTTAAGGGCTGGGATAAGAGACTCACAGCCTTCCAGACCAAAACGTTTCTCTGAAGACCACTTCCTCTGAAGGAACTCCTCAAACCTGTAAACAGATGTAGGTGCTACAGTTTGTTGGAAGCACAGAGCATCTACCCTGTTGCTGCCCCCCCCCCAGCCCCCCCCCCCCCCCCCCAGGCTCAGAAGGAAACAACAGACATACCTGGTGGACCGGATCATTCTGGACAGCAACGTCCTCTTCTCCTCCAGAGTGAACTGCATGATTCCTGGAGTCTCAAACTTCTGCCTGATCCACTTGCACTGCTCCACATCGTTAATAAACATGAACTCTACCCCGATGTGTTGACAGTAGGCCGTCTACAAGACAGATGGATGGAGCACCAGGTTCAATTGTCAAGAAGAAAGAGTTTCTTGTAACACTTAAAATGTTCTTGATCAATCAAAATACAAGTTTTTTTTTACATTCTTTGCTTTTTCACGTTTACAGTGCATTTTTATAAACATGACTTATTTGGATTGTTAAGCCATCAGCTGATTTATTTAGAGCCTTTTGAGTAATTCAGGGATTGAAAAAGATTGTTGGACAATTAATTAAGGCTGTAATCAGAGAAAAGAAGGAATAACGAGCATTTCACTTTATGGAAAAAAAAAATTACGTAACAGACTTGATGACTTGGGGGTGATCTCAAAAACTGAACATTCAGAAAATTTAAATCCCAAGGCTACTAATTACATATGTACAGAGAAAATAACAAAGAAGTCATTTTCACTAAAACATCAAGACTGAGACAAGTGGAAAAATCCTTAACAATTTTAGCATTCAAATTATGAAAACAACAAGCCAAGAGAACAATGTACATAATAAGAAAGAGTCAAACACTAACTGAGCATTTTTTGATTGGAAAAATACCTAAATAACCAAATATCTTCAAAAGTCTTCTTAAAACAAAGATTAGTCATAGACAATCAATATGACATCTGTATTAAAACACATTTTACTTTAAGTCAAAGTTCAATTTGCAGCAGCATGGTGTTTGTTCACTCTGCACACAGATATATTTCATTTTAAAGAAAGTGTACCTCAAGGCGGCGAATAATCTCCCTGAGGGGCAATGTGGTCTCGTTGCCACCTATGAAGGTGGTGGTGGGAAGTCTGAACACTTTGTCCAGATCACTCTCAGCCAGTCCATACAGACCTGTAGAGAACAGAGACATGAAAAAAGGCAGCACAAACAAACACTATTATGGATGCAATGGTGGGTGCTGTTTGAAGACTGAACATTAACTATGGGTCTAAATCTGAAAGAGAGATTAGGCAAAGATCAACAAGCGAAAAGTGGAACCTGAGAGAATTAAAATCAACTCCCAGAAACACAAAACAACAGATGAGATAAAAATAGAAAAAAGCCATCAGGGTAAAATGTGTGTTTTGATTTTAATCTGTCAGACTATATTTATCGAGAGGAGCCAGTTGAGGTGGCTCGGGCATCTGGTTAGGATGCCTTCTGGACGCCTACCTGATGAGGTTTTCCAGGCACGTCCAACCAGGAGGAGGCCTACAGGGAGACCCAGGACATGTTGAAGGGACTATGTCTCTCACCTGGACAGGGAACGCCTTGGGATTATCCCAGAGGAGCTGGCCCAAGTGGCTGGGGAGAGGGAAGTCTGGGCCTCTCAACTTAGGCTACTTCCCCCGCGACCCGACTCCAGATAAGCAGAATAAAATGGATGGATGGATGGATGGATGGAGATAATATTTACTCCAGGTTACTACAATCAGACCTCTAGTTGAGACAAAATATTTAAATAGAAATTCTTTCCAGACTCAGTTTTGTCCATCACAGAATTTACAAATACAGTTTATTACTCCACAGACTAATTTCTGAGTGAAAGTCTCTTTCCGGAGTATTTCTCTTATTCGATGGCACCTTCTAGTGGCTGACAAGCATTTCACACAAATAGTCTCTCGATCCGTTTTTTAAGATTGCGACTTGTTGTTTCTGTAGCCAACAAACAGAGCTAAAACACATTGTTTTAAAAGTATTACTCTCATGTATATTGTGTTTTCATATATTTATATTTTAAAGACTTACTCGTCCGTGGAAAGTTAATCTCTGCTGAGGAACCTTCTTAAATTTGAAGCATATAATTTAGCGGTAGTCTAACGCTATTGGTTAGTTCTGGCCGGCGCTCTGATTAAAAATCAATACAGAGCATTCACATGCAACAGCTGTTGAAACAGCTTTTAAAAAGCCACAGGCATCTGTTCTAAAGAAACACTAGATAACACCCCTGCTACCTGTGAAGATAAACTGTCTCCCTGCACTGTGATCCTTCACAGACACTCAGAAAAAGCAGAGGGAGCGTCAGAAGAGTTTACTCTCTGGCTGTGGAAAACTCCTTTTACAGGAGGTGGTTGATGGCTCAGATTTACATTGAGTTAATATCCTGAATATAAACATCCTGGGATGATATAAAAAGCTGGTTTCATCAAATAAAGAAGAAACCTGGGACTGTACTTTTAAAGCCAGTTATTGTGAATGATGGGAGGAGTATAGGACAGAGTCTGCTGCCTGAGCGTGTGGTTTTTACTGTTCACAGAAAAGAAAACACACAGCTTCTCTTTGATGAGGAAAGTAATGCAGTGAGCCTAAGGTCTAATCACAGTAACAGTTTTATGATGCAAACAAAGATAAGCCAGGAAATGTATTGTTTGACCCCATCAGCCACTGAGCAAAGGTTATCTCCAACCAGTAAACACACGCACCTTTCCCAGAAGAAAGTTTGGTACCGTGGCACCCCTGATAGTCAAGGAACAAACCCACCACTATGAGATAATATGGTAATGATAACATGCTGAGGTGATATAGCCAACTACCTTTTTTCTTAATAACTCTCAATGAGCGTTTCCACTTTAAATAGGCTGTTGGCCTCCTTAAGCCCTTGTCCTGCTCCTGATGAACAACTGTTCTTTTCTCTGACACAACATAGAGTCGGTAACAGTGTTTGACAATAATGTAAAAATATTCTAACACGTGTGTAATATCAATATTGCAAAGAACTGTCTGAACTGCACCATCTCATTAGGCGCCATTCTAAATGACACACATCTGTATATCAGCCTGAAGGTCTCCCACTGCCCTTAATGCCCACATCTGCTCCATTTAAATGCTACATCACACACAAGTGTTGTGAGTGATGTGGTGTTTACTTTGTGATAATAGAACACAGACGAGTAAGGAAAAGGTAGATTTATCAAAACCATCATCAGTGTTCAAGAATAACATCACAAACAATTGTGGAGCCTGGCTGGTGTCATATTAGAGTGCGGCTGAGGTCCAACCATAAACAGTAGGTCAAAACAAAAAATTGGGATGTAAATGTGTTAGCTTCTTAGACTAATAAAGCCTGGCAAAAAATGGACTGGAGGTTTAAAAGTTTAAAACATCTTTTCATGCCTCTTAACAATTTTCTAACATAGTATGGTAAAAGGCCTGTATTTGATATAGCGCCTTCTAGAGTCCTGGAACCCCCCAAGGCGCTTTACAACACAATCAGTCATTCACCCATTCACACACACATTCACACCCTGGTGGGGATGAGCAACAAAGTAGCGACGGCTGCCCTGGGGCGCACTGGCAGACGCCAGTTTGCCACACACAGGCGGTACCGCTCCCTCCGACCACCACCAGCAGGGAAGGGGGTTAAGTGTCTTGCCCAAGGACACAATAGTGACAAACTGAGTGGGGCTCAAACCTGCCACCGTCACCCTGTAGTATAGCTATAAATATATTGGGGAGGTCAAATAAACATGAAAATAATAAGTGGTTCTCTCACATTTGTCTAAAAATCACTGCCAATAACACTTTTTGGACCGAAAGCAGCTACTAGACCCTCCAGTTGTCAGCCTTGCCAAACCACCACACTTCCCTGGGTCCTCCATTAATTACACACTCAAGTAGCAGCAGAACACTGTTGCGCCACCATGGGCTGCATGGTGGCGCAGTGGTTAGGACTGTTGCCTTGCAGCACGGAGGTTGCAAGTTCGAAACTCAGCTGCGGCCTTTCTGCGTGGAGTTGCGTGTTCTCCCCATGCATGCGTGGGTTTCCTCCGGGTACTCCGGTTTCCCCCACAGATCACAACATGCCCTATAGGTTATAAATTGTAAGTCGCTTTGGATAAAAGCGTCTGCTAAGTAAATAAAGATAAACATAAACATGATATGAGAGGTTTGCCACTCAATATCAGAGACGGAGAAACAGCCGGCTGCTATCACACCAACTTTAGGACAAACTACCAGAGTCCTACAAAGAAACCAATTTGAAGTCCTGAACAACAAAAGAAGCTCGGATCTAGAAAACGGTGGCGGGTATTTAACACTCTCTCGTTCCGGTGGACGCTGATCCGGGGAGATAACCGAGGGGAAGAGTGAGTGTTCTGTGATCATGTTTGCAGTAAAAACCTAGCTTGTTTGCAGATTTGCTATAAGGGTCTTGTCCTGCATCTATTAACCCTCTGACCCTGCTGAACCTCTCACTGACACTTAAACAATGCCAAAAGTAACCATGGCAGCACCCTATTACGGGTCACAACAATCACCTGACCTCAGGGGCCGAACCTTTTCATCACACACAATGACAGAATCATACCACTATGTCTGCCCCCCCCCCCCCCCCCAACACACACACACACACACACACACACACACACACACACACACACACACACACACACACACACACACACACACACACACACACACACACACACACACACACACACACACATAATACCCTTTGTTTGCATATGTTAACACAAGAGTGAGTCAAATAGACATTTTGTTCAATAATTAATTACGCAGCAGAAAGACTCAATAACCATAAAACATATCATCTGATCTTGTTTCCTTAGAAAACACAACATGCCATAAAACTGTGCTGATACAATAATGTGCATGTTCAACAGAAAACGATTAGGGCATGGATCAGTGGCATGCAGAACAAGTGAAGAGGTTTTAGTACAGATGAGCCTGCATGAATTCTAAATGCTGACATCAGCATGCTACTTTAGCAGGCTAACATGCTAACCTGAAGCTATCAGCAGCCTGTCTTATCTCACAGGGGACACAAATCACTGTACAGCATGTCCTGAAACATGTGCAGAAGGCACAGCACCACATTTTAGGGGAAGTTGGAAACTCAATTTTTGTCACAGATACCAAACAAAAATTTATCATTTAAAAATTACTCTTTGAAAAAACGAGAATTTTTCATATGTTTATTCTCTCATAAATATTCTATCTTGGTTCTTATAGATCTCATTCTTGGACAGACACAAACACTCTCACTCACTTTCTATGCTGTTTTTTTCCTGAGAGGGGTCACAGTCACAGGGCGAGAGGCGGGGTACACCCTTGACAGGTCACCAGTCCTAAAAACGCTCTTGCGAGACAACAGTGCTGCAAACTGTGCTACCATTCAGCCAGTGACAAAAAGAAACCCCCTTATTAGTAGCTCACTCCTACAGTTATTCATGTGACACAATCCTCTGTCATGCTTTAAAATAAAAACAGACAAGTGACATGGGTGATTCATCTGACCTTTCTCCACATAAAGGTAAAAAACTAGCTCTTTTTGAAGCTTTTCACTTTCCTGCAGAGATGTGACCAAGTCACTGCTTTGCAAGTCACAAGTAAGTCACAATTCTGTCCAACAGTGTTGGGCAAGTTACTTCAAAACTGTAATGCATTATTTATTACTTGTTACCCTCATTTTAATGTAACTGATTACATTACAATATTACTGATTTTAAAATGTAAGGCATTACACTACTTTTGCATTACTTTAAGTTACTTTCACCAAAACAATTTCAATATGAATTAGGTCGTGTGATGCTCAGTGAACTCATGACACACCCAGAGGAAGGTGATGTGGTGTCTGAGCTTGGATTGCTGTTAAAACAGTCAGATATAATAACAGTTCTTTATTAAATAAATGCAACAACAATCTGTACTCTCAGCACGCTGCCATCTTAGGTTAACTGAGCAGGATGTGAGGTGGTGGGGACTCCAAGCCTATTTTGTCTTGGTCCCCAAATGCCTTGGTACGGCCCTGCATGTGGCACTGACTTCTGGGGTGATCTGATTCTATCACATGTATAAATATTAAATGCTTATATATTAATGCTTTTCACTGGTAAAAATGTGTATTGGGGATAAATCTACCTACTTTTTTCTTTTCAAGCACTTTGTCTTGTTTTCTTGATTTTATTTGAATAATTTACTGCCCTTTCTCTCTCTAACCTTCCTGCATGCTGCATGTTTTCTCCGTCTTCCAGAAAAACTGTTTCCTAGACTTCCTACTTTCTAACTTATCAGCCAAAGGGATCTACCGAACGCAAAAAAAAAAAGTTTAATGTGTGCTGCGCTCCAGCAGCAATGAGTTGAAATCACCCGGCGAGGGCACAGATTATGAACTCAGCTGAGGCAAAGCACGTCAGAAAGGTACAAAAAGTACAGAGAATATGGGCTGATATGAACGATCGCAAGTGAATTACTTTGTTTTGGTGGAGTGATTTTGTGAGTATAACAGCGGCCGCGCGCAGGACGCAGCTGGAGTATTTGAGCCATTACCGCTGTGTCCTCTCTGCTCATAGAATGCCTGCAAAGCGGAGTCCACGTAATATATGTAGATACCGGATCTTGATTTTGGGTTTAAAAATGCAGGGGGGTTCATTTTGCCTTGGCCCCCAAAATTCCTTGAAACGGCCCTGGGTGTGTGACTGAGTTTTGAAGGTGATCTGAACTGTATCAGATGTATAAATATTACATGTGTATAACTTATTGTTTTATACAGGTAAAAACGTGTAGTGGAGATAAATCTATCTACATTTTACTTTTCAACACTTTGTTTTGTTTTCTTGTTTTTATTGAACTATTTTCCTGTCCTGTCTGTCTCTCATCTTCCTGCATCTCCTCTAAACTCTCCAGAAAAACTGCTGCCTGGATTCTTACTTTTTCACCTCATCAGTTACTTTTGAGCAGATCAAAGGGATCTCCTGACCGCGAAGCAGAGAGGCGTGTCGATGCTGCGTCAGTGAACATCACCGCAGCACAGGTGATGAGCTCCACAGTAGCAGAGCGCTTCAGGCACAAATAAGACAGAAAATAGAGAACATGTGCGGACACGAACAATCGTGTGTTCATTATAGTTTTTTGGTTGCACCACTTTGAGAATGGACCGTGCGCTGGACGCAGCAGCCTGGAGCGCTGCACAACAACGATCATCGCTCTACCGCTCTCTGTGCTCTCTGCTCAGAAGAGTCCATAAATGATGTAATATAGGTAGAAAACGTTTTTTCCGGCTCCCCTGGGCCTAGGCCCTTTAGAGTTCGTGGGCCCCTGGGCAATTGCCCAGTAGCCCATATGGTTAATTTGGCCTTGGTTGGAACCGGTTCCAATCGATGCTCGAATCTCGATGCCCAACCCTATGATAATAAATACATTTCAGAAATAAAGCTTCTTAAAGCTTAATTTTTTTTGCTCAAACAAGCAGAAAGTGCAACTGAAACTGATTATAAAGAAAGTGCTGCTGCATTTAGCAGTACAAAATCAGACCCAAATTTTTGTCCATGTCATGTTACTTTTGGGCTAAAATATCAAATATGCTCAAGTTATCATCAAGTCAACAGTTGCAAGTCGATTCAAGTTGCAAGTCATTGGCATTCAAGTCTGAGTCAAGTTGTAAGTCTTTATAGATTTTATCAAGTCAAGTCAGAAGTCATTAAAATAATGACTCGAGTCTGACTTGAGTCCAAGTCATGTGACTCGAGTCCACACCTCTGCTGTCCTGTTATCAATAGACCAACAAATAAAAGCTGACTCATTAAGTTAAAATTAATTAAAAAATATATACAAAAGAAAGAAAATGATGTGGTCATGAAGGTTTTGACCAACTAATCAGTCACACACCCATTCACACGTTGGTGGGGATGAGCTACGATGTAGCTGCAGCTGCCCTGGGGCGCACTGACAGAGGCGAAGCTGCCAAGCACTGGCGCCACCGGTCCTTCCGACCACCACAGCAAGCAAGGCGGGTTGAATGTCTTGCCCAAGGGCACAACAGCAGCATTCTCTGGTCAGAGCCGGGATCGAACCTGCAACCTTCCGATTACTGGACAACCCGCTCTACCGCCAGAGCTTCTGCTGTCCCTATGGTAATCTATGGGTTGAAACTGGACCATCCAGATTAACTTCACTCATGCATGGGAAGAATATGCTAACTGTTAGCCACATGCCAAGCATTTAACCAGTGATGTCCTTGTTATGAGGCAACAGTGCCAACTGTCGCACCTTGCAGCTTCTGTTTGTTTCTCTTGGATTCTTTATTCTAAGTACACAGCTATGATCTACCTGCCAATCCTCTGGTTGTAACTGATCCACCAATCACTCATCCAACTGTTATGTAGTCCTTTGGTTCTCAGATTCCAACTCTGCTGTTCCTCTGGTTCGTCCTAAAGGCTCTGTGCCTGCATCTTGGGTGAACTACTACTCACAGAACATGACATCCTTCCATGGAACTTTAAAAGATCTGATCTATATAATACTATATATTATTATTATTATTATTATTATTATTATTACAAAATCAGGATTTAGAAGTAGATATAGATTTACAACAAAAAAAATTTTTTTGAGGCCCTAAAGGGAAAAGAGGAAGGTGAGAATTTTCTTCATTTTCCTCACCAACATTCTGGAAACCAACGGTACATGGTGTATCATCAAAGTCCACACAGCTGATGCCCAGGGGATCCAGCTTTGCTATGTGATGTCCTCGTACCTAAAAACAGGGTGAAAGGCTCAGTGTGTTTGTGTCTCTAACAGATTAGCCTTTCTGAACACTTCAGCAAGGTCATCACCACTCACAATGTGTGCACAATATGTCAATGTAGGTTAAAGGTTGTTAGCTTCCTGCCTCAGTTAAATAATTTAATATTAAAAGAGTGACAAACACACGTCTGGTATCTAAAAAAATCTATCATAGATAATCATATTCTCCCATTTTACAAAAATAAAACAGTCCTAAATCCACAGACACAAAATTACATGCAGTAATTTTTTGAAAGAGCAGGATGAAGATAAATCTAATTAAAACAGCTATTTTCTTAATTATTAGACAATTACAACATCTGGTCATACTTAAAGAAACTTCCTTAACAGATACAAATACAAAATCACAGCAACCATTGTCATCAGTCCTAAATATTATCCCATTGGTTCATAAAATCTCATTGAAGTCTCCTAAATTATAGCTCTTTTTCTAACTTCATTCGATGTTTCACTGTGGGAATCGCCCTGGCGTGACCAACTACGGTCCAATGACATCACGTTTGTCCGTGACAGACCGGTTGTGCCATACCCAGGCTTCGCCCATCCAGTATATCCATGGCCAACCAACCCCTCCTACTCATTCTCGCTTTCTTCCAGTGAGAAACTGCACTTGCTCCCTCAGCGATTTTCTGGCTATCTTTGGCTAGCTGCTTAACTGTTTCCAGGCGTACCGTGAGGATACGTCGCCGAACGCAGTCCAACGTGGTCTGGATTTGCGCTGAGTAAGTGCTTCTAAGTCACTTGATACACTTCGCTAGGAACAGTCACCGCGTCACGGTGAACTGCTCCCACGGCTACTCTGTTGTCATTGACGGAGTAGTATTAGCGAGTGTAGCTCAAGCTAATGCGTTGAGGCGAGCTTGTCCTTTGCTTATTATGCATTTACTTGCTAATTAGCTATTTTGGTGCAGCTAACGTGTCACGACAAGTTGCCCTACATATAAAATAGAACTTTAGTTGCAGACTTACCTCTGCTTACTAGCTTGCTAACGCTCTTTCAAGCTAACGTGTCACGGTGAGTCGGATTTTCAGCGATGGCTTCCACACCTACCCCGACCAACGGGTCGGAACCGAAGGCTAAAGAGGCTGCATCCCGCCTGTGTCCGGCATCATGTGGGGCTTCTATTTCAGGCAGGGACCCTCATCCTATGTGCATAGCGTACATGGGTGCTGCTCACGCCCAGGCTGGGCTAACTGGCAGACATGCCCTCACTGCTACTCCATGCCGGAGAAGATGAGGGAAAGGAGGCTGAAGGTTGGTTTATGTTTGACGTGTCTGCGAGGTCCGCACGGCTCCGCGCGGCAAAATTGCATCATTTTAACAACCACGCCCCTCCACCGCGCCTCCGCACAGCCCAAAATTTCAGCAACGTGCACCTAGGAAATTTTCTAACCATGCGGACGGTCGGACGTGGAAAAGCATGGCGGACCGGCAAGAACTAGTATGGCAGAGGTTCGTAAATACAGACATTTGTATGATTCAGCTCCCAGAGATCACCGTGATCAACATGTTGTTAATAATTCTTGGAGAGAAATAGCTCGCACTGTCGTAAAAGACGAGGACGCTGTTAAAAATGCTGGAATGCCATGTTGTAAACAACAGTAATTTCTACTTCTACTATGGTGTAGTGTTGGATGCATGCTGTAGAGCTCCATGCTGCCCCGTTCAGTTTGGGAGAATATTGGCTCACCGCAAAGACAAGCCGCATGAACCATAAACGCTGCGAGTTGTGAAGCGCGTTCCATCCGCGAGCCGCATCACCAAGCGGAAAGTGAATGCGTCAAGCATAAACCAAGCTTTAGAGTGGCAGTGGCTAATGGCCGGAACCCAGGCCTCAGCTTGGCCACGCCTGTAGATGAAGGTGACAACCATCAGCCGCGAGCCTCCACAAGCTGGGCGGATATGATGGAAGAGGAGCCCCTGCTACCACCTCTGTTCGAGGGGCTGGTTGACAGCGGGCTGCTCGATGCAGGTGATGACGAAGCTGACGGTGATGTGAACTCAGACCTCCTCGACTTGGACATGGAAGAGGAGGAAGAGGATTCCACCTTCCCAGCTCAACACTCCGTCTAGCAGCACTGGGGTGGCATTACAGGGGGACGCCGACCTGTACTAGGTTTGCAGACAAGCAGCTGCAAAGCTCAACATTCAGTGGCTGGCAGCCCAAGGGACAGAAGGGGTGGAATGAGACTTGTATGATGGTAAGAGTCTCCCACTATCCTCCTCTCCACCCAAGCAGCTCTTGCCAGCTGTCCCAGCATGCATGAGAGAAATGAGCCATTACTGGTCTAGCCCATTTAAGAGCAAACTCCCCACCAAGGGATGCTCTAAACTGGAGGTGCATGGGATGGGGGAATTGGGGTTGGCCGAAACCCCAACGGTGGAGCCTTCAGTGGCATACCACCTTCACCCCAACCGCAGAACCGTGTCAGCATTATCTAGCATCGCTCTCCCATCTAAAATGGATCGTCTCACGGCATCCATTTTTCAGAGGTTTAAATATGCTGGCCAATCTGTGTGTTCTCTCAATGCGGTTACTCTCTTGTCAGCTTATCAAGGAGAAATCCTGGAGGAAATGGGTCGTCAGCTGGACTCCGGGGCGCCTAACCCTGTTTTATGGGATGATATTTGTGTGGTGAATGATCTCATCCTGCGTTCCTCTAGAGGAGCGGTCCAGGCCTGTGGACATGTGATGGGATTGGCGGTTTCAGGTGAGAGAGCCTTGAGGCTAAACCTGTCAGGCCTAGAAGGCACCCAGAAAGCTGATGTCATGGATGCAGCATGTACTGTACCAAAGGTCTCTTTGACCCTGCCTTGGAGAAGATGACAGAGACAAGTACCCGCAGAAAGCAGGAAGGTGAGGCCTTCAATCTCTGCTTGCCTCGTAAACATAACCCTCAGCCAACTCAGGTACCCAAGCCTGGGTTTGCAGCAGCTGCCTCAGCTGCAAAGGGTCGACAAGGTGGGGCTAGACCACAGCAATCAGCAGGTGGTCAGCCATACAAGGCAGAGAACCTTGCCCGTGGGGGAAGCACTCCTTTGCAGCAGCAGCCACCAGGAACCGCTCGTCTCACCCCAGCGAGGGCAAGAGGAAGAAGACATCCTAGTTGCTCTTGCTTCTCCTCTCCAAAAGAAGAGGATGTTTTCAGAGGAAAAAACAGACCTCTGTGTTCAGGGTTCAGACACTCCTGTGGTTCCCAGTCCAGCAGGAGTTTTGTTCGCTCCTCCCTCTTCAGTTCAGGGAGATGAGTGCGTGGAGCAAAAAACCCAGTGTCACCAAACACTTTTCAGTTTTCAAATGAGCATACAGTCAGTGTCACCAAGAACTTTGTTCCCAATTGTGTGCAAAAATGTTCATGGGGATCATTTAAAAATAAAGACAGCTTTTCTGCAGCCAGTCAGTCAGCCAAGGGCAGACAGCTCCCCACAAAAAATGATAAACAAGCCCCATCAGGGCCCTCTGCGCCCACGGGGCAAGTCGAGGCTACTCTGGTGACGGAGAAGACGTCACCCAACAGCGGTTCGCTTTCGGCTCGGGTCGAGAGGTGGCGTGCATGCGCAGCTCCCTCTTGGGTTTTGATGACAATTTGCCGGGGTTACAGGCTTCAGTTTGCCTCAAAACCGCCCCATTTCAATGGGATAATAACGTCAGTGGCAAAAGAGGATTCGGCGCATATCCTGGAAGATGAAATCGCTTCACTGTTGAACAAAAAAGCGATCAGGATAGTGCCGAGCGATGAGGCCCACCAGGGTTTTTATTCACACTACTTCCTCATTCCAAAGAAGGACGGGAAATCTCTCCGTCCCATACTCGACCTGCATGTGCTAAACAAACACTTTACGCAAGTACACTTTCAGAATGTTGACTCACAAAACACTCTGCCGTTCCGTCCGCCCAGGAGATTGGTTTTTCACGATTAATCTCACGGATGCCTATTTTCACATCTCTATTTATCCTCCACACAGGAAATTTCTCAGGTTTGCCTATCAGGGCACAGCCTACGAGTTTCGAACCATCCCGTTCGGGCTGTCATTAGCACCGAGGATGTTCACCAAGTGTGTGGAGGCGGCGCTGTCCTCACTGAGGACTCGCGGGATCAGAATTTTCGTTTACATAGACGATTATCTGATTTGCGCTCCCTCCCGGGAGCAAGCAACCAGCGACACGCTATTAGTGTTGAACCATCTGACCGACCTGGGGTTCAAAATAAACTGGACAAAGAGCAGTTTATTCCACAGACAGTGCACAGAATATCTGGGTCTTCAGATAAACTCTCTCTCTTATCGCGTCTTCCTGTCAGAATAGAGGATCGAGTCTTTCACACAGTGTGTCGCATGTTTTCAGTTAGGAAACCATGCTTCGTACAGACTTTGCCTGCGTCTTCTCCACCTCATGGCATCAATGATTTCTGTGGTGCGACTGGGGCTTCTTATGAATAGAGATGTTCAGCGGTGGGTGAGGTTGTTAAGACTGTGCTCCCACCGTCATCTCCACCGCAGAGTGAAAATAACTCCCGCGTGCATGTCAGCTCTCTAGCCTTGGAGAGACCGAACAGTTCTCACATCTGGGGTTCCGCTAGGGGCAGTGGTGTCCAGAGTTACCATGACGACGGTCGCGTCCCTTAGAGGTTGGGGGACCACCTTGATAGGGAGAGCAGTGAACTGCGTTTTGTCACGCAGTTTGAAACGGGTTCACATAAATGTGCTGGAACTCCTAGCCATGTTTCTAGCTTTAAAGCACTTCCTGCCCTACTTAAGGGACCATCATGTCTTAGTGAAGACAGACAACACCACAGTGGTAGCTTATATCAACCGTCAGGGTGGGACAGGCTCCCTACAGCTGCACTCACTCGCCAAGGAAATAATTGTGTGGTGCAGCTCCAGACTCCTCTCAGTCCGCGTAACACAAGTGATAACAGGGTGAGGTGTTTCACCAACAATTCCCTTCTTGCATTAACAGTAAGAAGTCTTCCGAATGAGTAGGAGGGGTTGGTTGGCCATGGATATACTGGGTGGGCGGAGCCTGGGCATGGCACAGCCGGTCTGTCAGGGACAGATGTGATGTCATTGGAGCTTCCATAGTTGGTCACGCCAGGGAGATTCCCATAGTGAAACACTTCACTCTGTTATCAAAGAACCAGGGTTTACATAACATAACCCTACGATTTTTTAGCAATTTAAAGGTTGAATATGGAACACAAACACCAAAGCGACATCTGGTGTGTGGAGATTGTAGTTGCAACAATAGAACAAGGTTTCCAACCATAGATATAAACAAATAGATGTGAACATAAACACAGTGTCGTGCCCATCAAAATAAGTATTTGATTATTTTTTAATTAAAATATAGCTTTTAAAGAAAATACTGTACCTTCATTCTGCACACCTCTAAACACCCTGTGGAGGTATTATTTAAAAAGAAAATATAGCTTTTTAAGAAATTGTTCCATATTCAACCTTTAAGCCATTTATCTCACACACCACACTTTCTGTGATCATTTTAAATCAGTCCAAGAGAATAAAATGATATAATCTCTTTCTACCTTAAAAGGGCTGAAATAGGTGGCCTGTTTTTTTTTCTGAATTCTTTGAACTGAATGAATTTTATGTAGTGACAGAAAAGGCTTTTAGTCTCTTTGAAAATCAAAATGACATGCGTCATTACATTGGTCATTGTGTCATTGCCAAAGTCAAAGTCAGTGAACATTATGGTATAAATAAAAATGAGAAGAGTGTGTTTCTAATGTACCTGGTAGGCTCGGATCAGTGACTGCACTGCTAGATGATCCTTCACCAGCTTCTCCACATTGGCCTGGGCTCCCACCAAACCCTGGATACTGGCTGTTCCCTCAGAGGGCCCGAGGAGTGGTGGAGGGCTCTGATAGGCTGCACCAGGTACAGCTCCAGCATTTGCATTTCGGAAAAATATATCCCAGGACTGAAGAAACAAAAAGAAATTATGTCACGCCTGCTCTCTGGTTTAATCCTCTTCTGCTAAGTCATACAGACTGAAAATGTGCTAAACTACTTTTTTTTACTTGTTACAGATTCCTAACATCAAAAGAAGACGGGGGTTAGTGTTTCTTTATTAAGAAGCTAACGGTGACTTTAACCGTATAGGATTTAGAGACAACTAAAATCGTCATCAGATTTTATGATCATATTATTCTGGCTAAAATGAGTGGATGAATGGGAAGTCTAATTATATATGACAGTAAGGTCTAAAGCCTCACTGCGCATTCCAGGGTGGCCTTTTATTGTGGGCAGTATAAGGTATGCCTGTGCACTACTCATGATGTCAGATCAGCATCTTGATGTGGCACACCTGTGAGGTGGGATGGATTATCTCAGCAAAGCACAGGTTCTCACTATCACACATTTAAACTGATTTGTGAATTTGTGATTTTTCTTGTTTGATGCTTATCATTTTTGTCTTGAGTTGCTTGATTTGTACCCTATTGGTCCTTATGACTACTGAGATGATCACCCTTCCTGGTTTTACCCCTTCCCTATTCCTTCAGTCGTGACTGATGTAGCTTTCATAGATAATGGTGACAAGTTATGGAAGTGGATAAAATTCCTTTTTATTTTTAACTTATTTTTTATTTTTCCTTATTTTGTTTTGCTTTTGTTAGGTTATCCTATTCGGATAAACAGGAAGGAATGTTATGGAAATTTTATGTTTAGTAATTCTTGATCATTGAATGTAATATGTATTGCTCTCTGTCTCTCTCTCTCTCTCTGTCTCTCTCTCTCTGTCTCTCTCTCTCTGTCACTCACTCACTCACTCACTCACTCACTCACTCACTCACTTTCATTCCTTTCTTATCTCTTGGTATAAAAAAACTCTGTGACCGGATGTTCGGGGCATTTCGCCTCATGCATTGTGCCACAGTTATAACTGTTTGACTTGTCTGTTCATTGTCTCCTTTTTCTCTCTGACTACAGGAAATGGATTATTGATAAACATATTGATAAAATCCATGACAGATGTAAAAGGCCACCTTAATTAACTTATAATGGGTTTAAAAAAAACAATAACGCACCAAGGTAATTGTATTTGCTCAAAGGGACAATACACATAAATGTTGAATACGTTCATGATTGGAGTGTAAGGTCCCAGCTTTACTGGTGTCACAAACCTACATGTGAAAAAGCTCAGATGCTCACATTTAAGGAAGTACAAGTCAGCTTGAGGAGAAAGCAGCTTCAGACAACAAGATTTGGAGTCTTATTTGGACATCTCGCCTCTGACTGGCTAACAGCAATACGACTTTACCACTAACTCTGTATGCTCTGCAAAATGTATCTCCACAAATAACACACACCTGCAGGAGTTCTGAGGTGTGGAGAAGGTGCTCATGCTAACGGTTAGCTTCTACTAGTTGAGACGTTCTCTGCTGATTCCCAGATGCTAAACCAATATCAGCCATCCCCGTTGTGAGTCAATATGGGTGAGTCCATGAATGTTAAGTAACACTGTGATGTAGATCTGTCAGGCTTTTCAAATCCTAGAGTTTCACTGTCTATTTTCTATCAGAAGCTAATGCAGGATATAGGTGTAGGAGACTATTTTCAGGTTCAGCCTGCATGAAAAACTGAGAATGACTGATTATTATCTGCTCCTAAAGCAACTACAATAAAGTATATTCTATTCTATAATTAGAAATAATAATTTAAAATAAGTAATTCAGTGTTCCACACCTTTAAAGATCAAAGATGATAAATCCATCATTATTAAATGTTAGATCTCTTAGCTAAAAGTCATTTTTACTAAATTATCTCTTCTCACAATCTTGATTTCATGTTTTTATCTGAAATTTGCACTAGTTCTCATAGAATCAACACCACTAAATTTCACTTCTCTAAACGTTCTTCGATCTGACAGGCGTGGTGGTGGTATAGCTACTATTTTCAGAGGCTCATTCCTCTGTAAACTGCTAGTGTGTGGTGCTTATGACTCTTTTAAGCATCTTTGTTTTGAAGTTAAAGGTACACCCAAGATATTGGTGTTAGTAATTTACAAGCCTCCAGGGTCATGCTCTCTTTTCCTAGAAGACTTCACTGAGCTTATTTCTGTTAACACAACAGACTTAGCAAATCTTCTCATAACTGGTGACTTTAATATTCATGTTGATGAGGCTGATGACAAATCTGCAGACCAATTCCTTGGGTTGCTCGCAATATTTGCTCTTCAACAAAATGTCCATTATCAAACCCACGATCTGGGACGAACTCTCGACTTAATCAGAACCAAAGATGTGTAAGTGCTGAACATTGTTTGTTAAGGATGCGCGTCTATCTGACCATTTCTGTGTTTTTTTCTGAGATATCAGTTTCACCTGCTACACATCACACCTCAGTTGTTCTCAAAAAAGGTATTTGGGCGATCACACTGCATCAGTTTTTATAGAACGCATGAATACATCAACAAGTCTGACAACCACCTGTGCTCATTCACGTTTAAATCACTTCAACTGCAAAACTCTTGAGGTCCTTGACACCATTGCACCCAAAAAGGTCAAACTTATCTCTAGAAAACATAAAGCTCCATGGAGGTTCACTAAATCAGTTACAAATAAGAAAAGAAAATGCAGGAAAGCTGAGTGTCATTTCAGAAAAAGTAACCTACCAGATCACTAGGAAGCCTTCAAAATGCAGCTGCGCACTTAGAACTCTGAATTAAATAAAGCGAGACAAGCCTTTTTCTCCAAAGTCATTAGTGACAATGTTAACAATTCCGTATTCGGTTTGCTACTATTGAGAGGTTCACTAATCTCCCAACACAGTTAAACCCTGATTTCATATAAACTAAGTCTAATGAGTTAGCATCCTTTTTCAATGAGAACATCATAAACATCAGATCAACCATTTATTCCTCCTCCAGGTTAACTAACACAACCAGACCACAGCTACAGCCACACAGCAACAATCGGGCTAGAATGCTTTCAGTGTGACTAGTGCTAAAACGCTGGAGAACATAGTTAAGGCCTTAAACTCATCTACCTGCTGTCTGGACACCCTGCCAATTAACTTCTTCAAAAATGTTTTTAGCTGCTTAAAAGCAGCTGGTTGTTCCACCTCATTCAAATGAGGATAACTGTCGTTAGCACCAGAGCTTAATTTCAGCCTTTTGAAAAGACGCGTTTCGGTAACTGCTAGGATCAGAAGTACAAAACAACAAAATCAAAAGTAGAAGTGGCTGTATGCAATTAAAAAATTTCTTGGATTATCCTTTTAAAACATTCGCTGTGCTGCGGCGGTATTCTGAGCGGTTATGTTTCGGTTCCATGTGCTGTCTGCATCCGAAAATCTCCCTGCTGTGCAGAAGAAACAGCGCCTCGGTGATTACAGCCTGCTGTGTGTGTGTGTGTGTGTGTGTGTGTGTGTGTGTGTGTGTGTGTGTGTGTGTGTGTGTGTGTGTGTGTGTGCTTGTCCAAGTCCAAAGCAGTTGTACCAGCCCTGTCTCAGACAGTCCTTCGGTGAGATGCCAGCTTTTATCTTTTTTTTTTCCTGAGACAGATTACATGTGCTGCTGTGGCTCCAAGATTGCTCACTCATTTTTGTATTTGCTGGTTTGTAGGGTCCACCCCATCTTCTTGCTATTATAATCCGTGCATGTGCACGGACACACAAGCTAGTAGTCTTTTAATTTGTCTAAATTCTAAGGAACAAAACCACTTAGTTGTGACTTGTACAAAATTCAGCTGCAAGGCTCCAAACAGGAACTTATTAAAATCCATCCATCCACTTCCTGTTCCCGCGGGGTCGCGGGGGTGCTGATGCCTATCCTCCAGCAGTCTCCAGGCAAACAGCGGGGTACACCCTGGACAGGTTGCCAGTCTATCGCAGGGCACTCATTAACATTCACATATTACTCCCGTCCTGGCCTCCTGTCACTGGCTGTGAAATTTGGAGTATATTTTAAAATTCTTACTTCAACTTTTAAAGCCTTACAAGCTCACCCTTACTTAACTGGTGTGCTGCAGATTTACACTCCTGAAATCCACCTGAGATCAGAACGCAAGATATTCCTGGTGTTCCCAGAAACCCATTTAAAGTCCTGTGGAGATTGCTCCCATGGTCCCGAGGTTGTAGAATGCTCCTCCTTTGTCCCTCAGCTCTACCGACTCCCTTTGGGTGTTTTAAAAGACTTGGCTTTTTAAACTTGCTTTTAACTAATTAAATGTCTTGTTTAATTAAACAATTTTACTCATAATTGTTTGACTTTGCATTTTGTTTTGTTCTACTGTAAAGCCTTTTGTGATTTTCATCTGTGAAAAGAGCTGTACAAATAAAACTTACTTGGGCATCAAAAATTGGATCAACAGACTAGTCTGTGTAGTCAAGATGTGTCACTAACAAGACGAGCCTCAACAAAGATCCAGATAATATTCACAATAACACAAAAACAACAATTTAGCGCAAAGATAGAACTTTACTATTGAAGTTCACATGGGTAACTTTTTAAATTTGAAACAAAAATCAAAATGATTGTTTTAGTTGGAATTTTTGACCTTGTTCTAACCATTCTGTCTGCTCCTACAAATCCCAAATGGCATCCTAAAGGCTGCTGTGAAGACATGTAGAGCGGATTCTCGTTTTGGGTGACTTGCTGTCTACAATTTTAACATAAACAAGGAGATCAGAGTGTCTATTCACCTAAACGTTGCCTGGGTGAAGGGTCACTGATAGTGCACAACCAGAACTAAAGAGCTGGACTGGACGTAACATGTAACGTGCAGAGCTAACAGCAAAGGTGAACAGGTGCCTGGGGGTTTACAGAGCTCATCATTCTGAGGTAATGACCCATAACAGACCTCTTTCCCCCTCATTTCAGCCTTAGTGTCTCTTTAGGAAACACAAGAAGCTGAATGTGCTAAAAGTGCTGCCATTAATCACACTTCATTACACACATTTAGGCTGTAAACATGCTGCTGCAAAATTAGATCTGCAGACTCAGAAACTCCTAAAGAAGATTCAGTTAAAGTGGTGTGTTATGCAGAAAACAGCTGATGTGGAGTTACTGATGATTCACGTGCTGTCTTTATCTAACTGGTCTACATCAATCCATCTACCAGATCTGTTAGCATTCACATGAAGTTATAAAAAATTTGTCTGATCCATAAGTTTTGACATTCATCAAACATAGAATACCTTGTGCACATTCCTGGGATTCTCCAGCCACGCGTAATACATCTCCTCTACATAGTTGGAGCTGGTGCCGTTCAGAAAGGGCTCAGCAGCCACAGATGTGCTCAGGCACCTCACAGGCTGACACATCCTTAAGTCTCTTTCAAGCATCAGTGGCCTGGTCTGGGACAGGTTCTTGGCCGTCTGTGCAGTCCTTAGAGGCTGTAGCCTTGTAACGGTAGTCCTTAGGCAGTGCATGGCTGCAGATCAGCCACAGCTCCTCACCCCCACCTCCCTTCCTGGACGGAGAATGTAGCAGCAGCAATATTATCCCAACTGAGGAGAGACTCTGAGCTCCTCCTGCCAGCTTCAAATGATGGAACCCCTTCCCTCACCAATCCTGCTTCTTGTCCTCTTCCTGCTTTTCTCTGGATCCAGTTGAGGCTAAAAGTATAAAGAGTTTGTTAAATATAATAAATTACACAATCAGACAGCTGAACAAAACCCAGCCAACCAGCAGGTTGGAATTGAGTTAAAATTATGCTTTAATTTATCTGTTAGATGTTTTCACATCTCCAGGCTGAATGTTGTGAAAAAGTCATGGTGTCTCACCCTAATAAACTACCGTAATTCACTCAAAATACCTGCAAAGGTTTCCGGAGCCTGTAAATGGCCTCTCAGTCTGGGTCAGTAGACCACACAATCCTGGGGAAAACGGCCAACAGTTATGGACACCCTCCATAAGGAGGGGATGACACAAAAGGTCATTGCTAAAGAAGCACAGAGTGCTGTATTCATGCATTTTGCTAGAAGGTTGAGTGGAAGGAGAACGTGTGGTAGGAAAAGATGCTTCAGTAACGGGGAGAACGGCAACCTTGAGAGGATTGTCAAGCTAAAGATGTGACAGAGCATCGCAAGGAGTTGACTGAGGCTGGAGTCAGAGCATCACGAAGTGCTACGCACAGACCAATCCTACACTTGAGCTGCAAATGCCACCTTCCTGTGTCAAGCCACTCCTGAACCAAAGACAACACCAGACTGTTGCTCAGTGGTCCACAGTCCTCTTATCAGATCAAAGTGAAGTTTGTCATTCAGACATCAGAATCTGAATGAAGAATGGAGAGGCTCAGAAGCCATGTTGCTGGATGTCCAGAGTGACGTTTCCACAGTCAGTGATGATGATTCAGGGCACCATGTCCTCTGCTGGAGTTGGTACACTAAATGTGCCTTCTTCCTTTTTTTCTCTCTCTCTTTTTCTTTAAATTTTTTTAGAGACATTTTGAACCAGAACATCATCTTAAAATTTATATAAGATGATGCAAACCAGAATAAAAACAAAGTAAAGCAATTTACCGTGTAGAGGTATAAATGACTGAATATTAAATATAGAACTTTTTAATTGCTTTGACTTTGGGAGTTTGCAACCCGTCTTTTCTCAACACCATTAATGAACAGAATTAGGTGAATATTCAGAATATTTTTAAGCAGATAGTGTTCACGTTGAGATTTTACGCTACTGTGTGCTAGACAAACGGAAATATAACGGTAATACTACTTTAACTTAAAAGTCCATTTTAGACTTTGCATTAGCATGTGAATCAACTAAACTTTAAAGAAAAGAAAAATTTACTTAATGTAAATATTCAATTTGCTTTTGACATCATCAGCTGATTCCTGCACCCGACTGATCTTCTAAAACGTCCTCCCATTCTCCTAACTTCCTCCCCAGGCCACCCGGCGTTAATTAAAAAGCTGTTTCAGTTATCAGCGACTCTGGAGAAAAACTCGAGTTCACCCTTAAACTCAAACTTAATCAATTTTTGACTCAAAATGATAAAGAAGAGATAAGAATGTAACGGCATAGCATCAACGAACTCAACAATGTTGTTATTACAGATGCTAGAGTGCAGCAAACCCAATTGAAGGCTCACGCGCGGCATTCAATCAGGATATATTTGTATTTAACGGATAAATAATTAAACATCAGCTCAAACATGTAAAGAATATTTGGTATATATACCTTTTGAGGTCTCCCCGCTTCTCCCCTAGAGCAGCAGTGAATGAAACTCAGCAGTTTCCTGTGCGCGCGCGCGCACAACAGCCATTTGTACAGGAGGAGAGTGTCGCGCGCTCAATGTGTTGCAAAGTGCCAGGTCCGTCATCTGGTCATGTGACACCAGTGAAGTAGCAACTGCTGAAAATAATCAGTTGTTTAAACTACGCACGGTCAAGTAAACTGTCACAAAATTTATACAGATGTAATTTCCAATTTTGAAACTGCAACCAATCAAAGATGAACGCAAGCCTCAGGTACGTGAATATTTAAAGAAGTCCATGTGTGTGTGTGTGTGTGTGTGTGTGTGTGTGTGTGTGTGTGTGTGTGTGTGTGTCGCTATCCAGCATAGAAAGCCTATGGGGAGATTCAATTTACTTATGTAGCGCCAGATCATGGTCCATTCAGATCAGAACCTCTTGTCACAAGAACCACTTCTTCCCCTTTGCTGTAGGACCTCTGAACACCAAAATACCAGAGGTGTGACCACGTCGCTGCTTTGCAAGTCACAAATAAGTCACAAGTCTTTCCAGTCAAGTCTCGAGTCAAGTCCAAGTCAAAGACAGCCAAGTCCAAGTCGAGTCCAAAGTCAATGATGTAAGTGCAACTGAAAGTGATTATAAACAAAGTGCTGCTGCGTTTAGCAGAACAAGATCAAACCCAGAACGAAGAATGAGTTATGGTGTTTGTCCATGTCGTGCCACTTTTGTGCTAAAATATCAAATATGCTCAAGTCATCATCAAGTCAACAGATGCAAATCGATTCAAGTCGCAAGTCTTTATAGATTTTATCAAGTCAAGTCAGAAGTCATTAAAATAATGACTCGAGTCTGACTCCAGTCCAAGTCATGTGATTCGAGTCCACACCTCTGCCAAATACTCACTATAATCCTACAAATCTGTACTAGTCTCATTTTCTTTCTTATGTTTATTATTCATAATCTTGATGCATCCTATTTTTCCACTTGCTTCACTTGTATGTTTACAACATTCCACCGAAGCAAAGTCCTAGTAATGCAGACTCTCACGTACTTGGCAATAAAACGCGATTCTGATTATGCAAATCTTATCCTCCTCTCCTTGATGACATCAAGCTAGCGTAATGGGTAGTATATGACTCATTTAAATGAAAGTGAACTGCACCAGAGAGCTATCATACTGTTTGGTTGGCAGCACAAAACGTGACATAAATGTTTTTGTTTAAAGGCTTTCCATTGAAACAGTTTTAAATGTAATTTCCTGAGGGAGTGAAGTGTAAACCTTTCAAATCCAGTTTGCCTCCACTGGGTCAGAGTGTGTGACCTTCTGGACTCTATATTTAGATAAAACAGGATTTGTGACCTGTTGTACTTTTACACTGTGTACATTCTGGCCCATTGACAGGTGTCCTTCATTAACAGGAGCACCCTGAACAGAGCAATAACCACCAACCTTTGTCCTCATCATGAGTACACAAAGAGCAAGTTATGAAACCCAAATCGTTTACATCATTGTCATGCTGCATTATCTCCGACCTGCTGTCTGAAAAACAGGCTCTGATCCTTCATGAAGAAGACGTATGCCAGTTTAAAATATTTACCATTTTGCCTGACAATTATTTTACTGTACAATCTTTGCTTATATAGTCCAACACATTTATAAATTAACTCAAATTGAAACATTAATAAATAAATAGATGAACAATCAAATAAATAAATACATAAACAAATAAATAAATAAACCATTCAAATTCATTGTTGTCAGTGGGTGCATTTTGATCTCATTTTAGTGACCTCATTGTGACCTTTTTCAGAATAAACTTCAAACATTTTATCACGTGGACCTGTTCCCATTTCTGGAGCTTTTACAGTATTTGATTAGATCCAGCGCAGGGGTTTGCACCCTGGTTGGTGCCCAAAGCGAATACCGTCTCTACACCCCCCTCTGTTATCGTCTCACTTTGAATACCTTAAGTGTTTGTTTCCAAGAATGACTGATTCTTAGAACAGGTACATAGACTCAATTCCACTAGAACCAGAATTCCCAAAGCAGGCTATAAACTTGTTTAAGGATCTTGTTAGCAATGAGGCGTTGATCCTTTGGAAAAGAGTGACGTCATTGTGACGCATTGACGGGGCTGGAATAGTTGTCAGGATGGTCCAGTTGTCTTGAAACGCAAGAAGAAGATATTCTGTTCCTTCTCTCGTATGCTTAATAATGCACTAACAGTACTGAAGGGACTCTTATTGTGAAGTGTTACCATTTCCTTTATTGTCTACAGTGATTTCTGACTTTACTCTGGTTTGTTCTCATGGAGAAAGGCCTTCCACTATGCCTCCTGTCCTTGTTGTCCTTGTGTGTGTTTTGAATGTGAAATTAATAATTATGTACATGTTGATATACTATCATAATGAGTAGCTTAATTTAATCATTGTTCATTCACTTATACAAATTAAACAAGCTAAAGGTAATTCCTAAAAGCTTGTGGAATAAACAAAATGACTTTACCTGGATGTGATCATTTCTCCGCTTTGAAAACAAACGGTGCAGGCAACCTGAATAAAGCTGCTTTAGCTCCTCAAATAAAAAACACTGCAAAAAATTAAGCTGAAAATCATTTTTTCACTCAAACAAAACAAAACAAAACAAAAAAAACTTTCAAAAAGAAAAAAAATATTTCAAAGAAAAGCCTTTGGATAAAAACTAAATATAAACCATTGATCGGGTCAGTAAGTCAGTCTATAAAAAAATAAAATTTTTAAGGTAAAAATTTGGATTTTTTTGGTTTACAGCATTTTCCAAAATTTGTTTAGAACTTTGGTTTTTGTTTGAAGTACCTTTTTTAATTGACTAATAAAGAAACGAAATAATCTCCATATACAACCTGTGGTTCTCAAGAATTTTGAGGCACTTCAGCCTCAGAAGTGACCAAAAGCAACATGAATCCATTAACCAGATTTTATGGTCCAATTTTTGGATTATATCATAGGATTTCCAAAAAACGAAGGATATAGAAAATACAAAATGAGTGGGATGCAGGCATTAACTTGGTTTAAAGAGGAATTAGCAAATGTATCACTTATTGTAAATGATTTGAGTACACAGCTTAACAAATCTAGTTTCTGCTTAAATTCATGTTTTTATCCCATTCTTTGTTTCCTTTCTGCAGCCTTCTTTTATAACTCTGTATGTATGCATAAAGTTTAATGTGTGTATGAGTATAGGAGTTGAGGTGGGGGGGGGGGGGGGGGGGCGCTCCTCAAGGGGAAAAAAAGTGTATAAAAGTAGCTTGGGGTTCCTACGGCAACAACAAGATTAGGCCTTCTTGACCTCCCACGCTGCTGATAAAAGATAAAACTATGTAGGCACAACAAAACTAGAGTATAAATGTGACAAATAATATTATTTTCATAAAAAGAAAGACTCAGGAGGCATTTGGTGTAGAACCGGACACCTCCTGCAGACAATTGCTCTGCCACTGAGAAATTACCACAGCAGCAAGTGTCGGTAGAATAGAAAAGTTTTACAGCGATCTTAAGTTAGTCATCGTCTATAAGTGATCTCTCAGTGTAAATGGAATGACTGAATTGAATGGACTTTTGCATCACATTCTAATTTTTAAAGTTTCGCCTGTATTTTGATGGAATTTCTGTAATGTTTATTCCACTATTCTTGTAATAGGTTAGTAAATAAAAGTTCAACAAATGTTAATTTCTGGTTCACCCCTGCTGACCCCCCCCCCCCCCCCCCCCCACACACACACACACACACACACACACATCAAAAGTAGAAAGTACAAGGAAGCAATGAGGTTTTGCGGATTTCTGGCTGTCTTTCTTCCAGCTCTTATGTTGTGCAAAAACTTCTGTTGTGGAAATAAAGTGCACAGGAAGTGCGACTGGTTCTCGTGACAGCTTATATTTATTTTTTCACATCCAGAAAGTTTAAAAACATCCTTTCTGATCATCTTTGTGTTTTTAACCCAACAAAGTACATTTGATGTCTTATGAAAAAAGGTCACCTGTTTTGTTTCTGAGAAAACACTCCAGTCTGATGTTTGTTGTCACTGACGGAGGATTTCAATAAATATCATTAATTTAAAAAGAGAACAGAATGGGCTGTGTGTGTGTACAGTAGAAGTTAATGGGGTGGTTTCTAATATCAGCTTCCAGTAGTGTCTGAGATTATCACTACTAACAGTGGGCTAGTAAAAAACCTGAATTTGCTTATTAAAATGATTTAACCAAAATCTAAAAACGTTAGCAGAATAAAGCTTGCAGCTGCATGGTGGTGCAGTTGGTAGCACTGTTGCTTTGCAGAAAGGACACAACTTTCTCCTACAAACCAAAAACATGCATGTCAGGTTGGTTAGACTATTTGTCCCTAGTGGTAAGTGCATATGGCTGTTTGCATGTCTCAGTTGTCACTGTGACGGCCTGTTGACCCCTGACAAGCACCCTCTCCTTGCAGAACCCTGCAGCAAACACCATCATAGATTTGGGATTTCTGATTTTGAGAGCTGGTGCAAATACACGTTAGGTTATATAAATAGATGGAATCCCCTGCACCAAGTGCACTCTCCCTTTAAATATGCATCATGAAAAGCTGAAAACATTAAAAATGAAGACATAAGAATCCTTACATGAAGTCGTCAGACATACTGTATAAGAATCTGCTTTGAAACTAAAACACACACAAAAAAAGACCAGTTGGGATTTTTTTCTTTATGAAACAGTAAAGAGCCATTTCAAATCAGATCTGGAGCCAGCAGTTAGTCAGAAAGGCTTTCATGTTCCACAACAGCAACTTTACCACACAAATGTATCATAATAACATTTAACACAGCCCAGGATGCAGGGGCAAGAGCTCATCAGCAGCTCAGCCCCCCCAAAAAGAAAGCCTGTCAAAATGCACAACAACATCCCACTCAGCTATGCATTAACTCTGAATATCATGCAATAAATACCACCACGATAAAACTGGAAATGTACATGAACAGCAGGATATTGTATGGTCAACCGTTGTCATAGCTTTAGCATTAGTAATGTTCAGCACACAGAGAATCATTTAGGACAGAAATATCTTAGCATGCTGGTTTTGACTGTCTCACAGAGCAGCTTGGACAGGTCCAGAGGACGCACGGAGGCATCGGTTCAGGGTCAACAACACTCCAGAGAGATAAAAGGCTAAAAACAACGAGAAGTAACAAAACAAAACAGATTATTGAATACACCCATCGGTCTCTGTTGGAGAGAAACGAAGGTCTGCTTGTTTGTTTTATACAGGCAGCTTTAGTCGTGCAAATAAACAACCACAGGTCATACCAGGAGTACAGGTAGAAGCCATGCTCATCATAAAAAAGAAGAGATTAAAATGGTTCAGAAATATACAGTACAGTAGAAAGAGCACAAGGATAGACGGTAGCTATAATGACACTGAGAGTAATGATTTATAGGTGTGAGTATGTGGAGAAGGAAAAGCATCAACAGGAGAGTTCCACACAGGAGGCTGACAGAAAAACGGAAAGGTGTTGTCCAGGTGAGCAACCACATACAGGCTAACCGGAGATAGGACCCAGGTGAACAGTCTCCTTAGTGCAGCTGATTGGACTCCTGCTGAGGCGAAGATTACGTGTTGGTGTAGAGAGAGAAGGGCATGGTGGGTTAATAGAACGCAGGACAGCAATCCAATCTTCCATCCACCTGCACCACTCTCTCCATGCTGGATCAGTCGCTCGGATCGTCGACTCCTCAGCTACACTTCACTTCCTTCTGCTGCAAAAATAGAGTCAACAAGTTTTATTTGTTATTTTTAGTTGTAGGTAATTAATTTGTCTTAACTTCTTAAAGTTTTTAAAATCCAGTAAAGTCTTATCAGCCATCCTCCCTCAAGGATTCAGCGGAGCTACCCTCCATGATGCAGCTCCTCACCTTATCGTTATGCTGAGCCCATCCACACAGAGAAAGCTCTTTCAGCAACTCCTATCCTGGATCTAATCTTTTTTAAAGTTAAAACCAAAGTCCCATGGTCATCATCACACACTGGTGAAATTACATCTCTGTGTTTGACCCATCCTCGTAGGGAGCGGCGAGCTGCAGCAGTGGCTGTGCTCTGGAACTATTTGGAGGTTAAACTCCCCAATAAAGCTGAGTGTCAAGCAGGGAGGCATTAGGCCCCTTTTTTAAGATTTTTGGTATGACCTGACCAGATTTGAACCCCATTATCCCAGTCCCATGGAGGACACTCATACCACTAGGCCACTGAAAAGGTCACAATCCAAATCCCATGAGTGTAGGAGTGGGCTAAAAACACAATGGACCATTAAATCCAGAACTTTGACCCTCAGCTCAGCTCTGTGTCCATCCTGCAATCACTGAGGAAGTAACCAAGATACTTTCTTGCTTGAGGCTCACTCATCCCAGGAGAAGCATTCAACCTTTTCCATGGCTTTAACCTCGGACTCTCTTTCAGACAGCCGTCAGCCATCTACATACATGCTGAAGGCCTTTGCTTGAAGACACCATTAGAACCACATCATTTGCAAAAAGCAGATAAAAACTTCCTCTCTATAACTGCAGCTTGAGATTATGTCCATAAAGACCAGAAGCAGAATCAGAAACAAGGTGTATCAAGGGGCCAATCCTCTGCGCCTCTTGAGAGGGGGCAGGGGCTTTTCTGGTTACAGTCTCCCTGGGGTCCCTGCGTTCTGGGGGAGCTCCTGGATCTCTGGGACTTGGTCAGAATCAGAAAAGCTTTATTGCCAGTGCTCCAGCATCCCGAAGCATAGGAATTTGACTCCGCAGCACAGCCTGACCAAGGTTACACACACACACGTAGACAAAACAGATACAGGCAGACCACGAGAGCAGTCATGAACAGCACTCCTTTCATTTAGATGAAAAGGGGATTACATGAAGATAAATTTGTAGGGAAAAAAAGGCATTCCAGAGTTACTCCCGACAGGGCGTAGCTTTGCTATGCAAAAACACCTCAAACATATAAGCACAAACATCAACAGTTCACAACATCAGACTCCAATAGGAAGGTGGGGGGGGGGGGGGGGGGGGGGGATCCTGTTTCCCCCAGCGAGAGCAGCCATCTAAGGCGCTCATCTACTGTACAGTCATAGGCGGGAGGGAGATCTTGGGAGTAGCGAAGAGCACATTGACTCCTCTAGCTGATGATCTCGCCAGGCTGAAGTCCACCAATCCGAAGGCGGGGGGTGGGGGTGGGGGGGGTTAGGTCGGGTTTTCACAGCATCTGTCTACATTGCGTCGTGGGGGTTTTTAGTTGCTTGCAGCTCAAGGCTACCAGGGCGTCAGATTCAGATAACAAGAATTTCGGGTCAGACTTAGATAATTTTCCTCTCTGCCTTCAGTCTTTAAACTGATCATTTCCAGTCCCTCAGTGAAGCCAGTTCTGGGTTTCAAACATGTCCATACCGTCCGGTGACTCTCTGAGATGACATCCATTTTGTGCACTAATACCGGTATAACAGCTAGAACATTGTCCAGCTTACGATTCACCTCGAGTAACGTCCCAGTCTAAGAAGTTTTCACACGGACGGTGCTTTCTGCGGGTGAGGGTTGCCCTCCAATCGCTCCCGCCTTCCCAAATTTCCAGAAAACCAGATATCCTCCCACTCCATTCAAGAGAAATCCAGTGATCATCAGACCACATATCCACACGTCTTCGATGTCCTCAATGGACAGTTGGGAGAGGCATGTGATTTTCCACTCCTTCCAGGAATCCAAAATATATCCCACCGGGTGCGTCCCCTGTTGACATGTCGGAGCCCCCTGCTCCGTTGTCATTGTTGAAAAAATCTTATCGATCGCATTGAATGACCAGTTTATCAAATCCATGGTTAGTAAAAAATAGAGTTTTCAGAAGAAATGCAGAGAAGCGCTCTGTGGGCAGACAGGACAAAGAGCCTTGGGAATAAAAAGATAAGGGAGAGAAAGAGGGAAGTGTCTGTACTCCTTGAGCGCCAGAAGGTAAGTGCTCCCTCCATTTCCTACACATATTTGGGGGGCACATCTGTGGCCCCTCACACTCTCTATTGGACGCTCCTATACCTTACATATACAAGCGCGTGAACGCACACAGATGCTCACATAAGTATGGACTTGGGCATTTTCAACACGTCTTCAGGCTGTGGCAGGCACTTAATGCACTGTGATTTATTATCGTTTGATTGTTCAGTAAAACAATGTTGATTTTATATTTCCTCATCAAGTTGATGCAGTGATAGGTTTCTCAAGTTGTATTGTTGTGTGTCCCTTATTTTGTTTGTTTGTTTGTTTGTTTTTTCTCTTTCTGCAGGTCTAGAAGCAGACTGTTGTTCATCATTGTATATTTTTGTGGAACCCCTCCTCTTCCTTTTGTCTCTTCCTTTCTCTTTCACCTCTGTCTCCGTTTCTGGTCGGAAATTTAAAGCGTCCAAAAACAGTAACAATAGAGTTTTAAGTATCAGGCATGACATTAAAGCAGAAGCTGTCATGTTCCACCTGAGAGTAAATCTGTAAGGATAGTCACCAGCATTCAGACACCAATTCTGTTTGTTTCACAGCCAGACAGGACAGGGGGGGGGGGGGGGGGGGGGTGTTACAAGGGCTATCCCTGGTGGAGTCCAGCCTACATCAGAAATTATCTCAAGTTAATCCGGAGGATGTGCACATGACTCTACAGCTTCATTATACAGGGATCCAGCGATCTTGACACCACCGGCACACAGCATATACAGGTCATTTACAAACATCTTTATTTTCTGACTTCAATTTGAATTGTGAAAAAAGCTGACTTGTTTGTTGTCGCATTCAGCTAATGGTTAGATGATGAAAACTGGTTTTAAATTTAGGGTAAAAGCCTCCTCCCTGGAGAGAGAGTTCATAAATTAAAACCTTTTAACATTTCATAGCTTTAGATTTGGCGACATCAAGTGGCACAACAGAGAAACTACAACAACATTAACTCCAAAGCTTTCTAAAAATGCCCAGAAAAAATAAAGACAAATTATTCAATGAACATTATAGAAAACTTTTCCAAAACAGTTTACATAAAAGAAGATATATCTGCCAAATTGTGTGTGTTAGGAATTAGATGATTTGAATGACTGCAGGTCAGTTTGTCTCCTTACAAAATCTTAAATCTGCTGTTTCGTTTGTATGTTAAAAAGTTTTTCGACAAAGGTAAAACATTGATGGTTTAATCTACTAAAACATACTTTATAGTCATGTTTAATGAGTAAAAGAACAACTGGATCCTGTGGAGGGTTGACTGGAGCAAGTGTCTATTATGATAGATTACTTATTTATTCCCTAATTCACCCAATGCTTCAGGCCATTTCTGGTCCCCAGGAGCTGAAAGATTACACTTAGAAACATCCTTTCAACATCCTTTTGGGCAGATTCAGCTTATGGTTTATTTAAGCCAGAATTTCAGGAAGAATGGCGGAAAAGGTTTAAAATGTGTAATAATCTAGATCATAATCTGGTACTGGACATGCAAAACATCTCAGCACTCAGAGATTAGTATTGATAGCATAACAGAAGAAAAAAAGCTAACGCTAAACACGAACAAATCCTGTTCTGATTCCAACAAAAGCAGCTTACTGGATGCAGCTTTGCCATCTGAAATCCACAAGCACGCAGAAAATACATTTTTTTAATAAATGAAGAAAATCTGAAAAAGTTTAAACATTCATCTGATCTTTTCCCATCAGACTCAGTTAAAACAGCAAATGTCAGAGAGGAGGAAAATGTTTTTAGTCATAGGCAGAGCTGGAATATTAAATTATAAAAAGCTGAAGTACTAAATATTTTATTCATGTGCGCTTGTTCTTTTACCACTTGTCTCCAAAGGAGGGAGGTCTATTTGTAACTCCTGGATGCTTAATTCAGGTCACACGTGAATCCATCAAATGAATTATGAGTGTTTGTGCTGCAAAGTCACATTCAGAGTGAAGTAAGGTCTAAATGTCGGTATCAGCTGTGTCAGTTTACAGTTTACCTGTAAGTCTCTTTTTTTGTGGCGTACCTCATCCCTGCAGCGGTGCAGCAGGGGCTCCTGAGCAGTGAAAGTGGACGTTTTGCCACCGGCTGTCCCTGCGGTGCCATACCCTCGTCTCTTCTGATTGGCTGGAGCAGGGACGGCCCTGGTTGTCCACAAACTGCGTCAAGCGGATGTAGGCGATGCAGGCTGCGTCGTCTCCGATCATGTGGACGTGAGGATTGAGGATGGTGGTGTGGATAGGTTTGCTGTTTTTGGAAAGGACTGATGGGAAAGAGTAGTGTCACTCAAGAGGCACATTTTGAATATGAGAGAAATAGAAAAGTCAAAAAGCAGGTGAACATGTGGACTTACGATTGTCAAAGTAAAATCTATGGAAGTCCATGCCCTCCACCAGGTTTCCCAGCCCCTCAGGCTCAAACGAGGTGAGACCAGGGTCACAGATCTTCCTGGAAGGACGTGCAGCTCAAAGTCAGAATTCTTACTAAATCCTACTAACATTGCAAAATGCACTTGCTGTTGACCTCAATTTAGTGAAAAGTAAAATAATAAAAATAAATATTAAAGTTATTTTACTAAAATGTAACTTCTGGGAAAACAACCAGTGATCTATATGAACCAGATAGATATTTAAGCATGGCAGATTGTACGGTTATGCTATTTATACAGCACTTTTCACAGAAGAAATCGGAAAGTGCTTCACAAAAATGCTAAAATCTGGATAAATGAGAATACAAAACTATCAGCGACAAAGTAAAAAGTACATACACATAAATAATTTCTAAAATGATTGCAATAAATGGCACAAATTGATACAAAAGCACTGCACGAACCGGCTGAACTACGTTTGTAAAACTTTCCTATTATAACAGAAACAAATGAAGAACCTCTTTGAAAAGACATCACCTCTGTTTGTTAAAAGTATTTTAAAAGTTTTACTACAATTGAATACGTACATCCTAAGATCCTCGTTTGATTGCTACACTCAGAAGTTTAACGGCTCAAACTTAGATAAAATCTTTCATCTCTGAACTTCTGATTAGCTTTGTTCTGAGTTTATGTTTCACCCCAAAATTCACAGCAATATTATTTAGTTTGTTTTCTAGTTTCAGAAATAAAACTGAAATGTTGCACAATAAGTCTGGAAGCAGCGAGAATATATGAGGGTTCTCTTCTGATCTTCAAACAGCTTTTACCCCAACGTTTCAAAAGATAAATGATAAACGACCCGCCTTGTACAGCGCCTTTCAGAGTCCGAGGACTCCAAAATACTATACACTAAAGTGTATCATTCATCCATTCACACACTGTTGAGCTACAATGTAGCTACAGCTGCCCTAGAGCACACTGACTTAAACCATGATGGAAATAGAATTAAGACATTTTTGTCATTTATTGGCATCATTCTGGATTTAATGTTTAGACTTTCATCTCAAAAATGTATAATTGTTATGTAAATAAAACAAAATTTTTCTCAACATTTTATCTTGTTTTTCTACAAAATACTATAATGACATTTTTCCTAAACTTTAGTTTTTTTTTGTTCAAAATCAGAACTTTATTGCATAAAAAAGTAAACTTTTTCCTTCAACAATATTAGAGTGGCCCTAATATGCCAGACACACACACACACACACACACACACACACACACACACACACACACACACACACACATACACACACACACACACACACACACACACACACACACACACACACACACACACACACACACACACACACACACACACACACACACACATACACACAGCTAAGCGTTATTCTTAATTATACAGTAAGCTGGGGGATGAAACAATGACTGTAATTGTAAAGCTTTAATGCAACACATTTGCGTGTCAATCAGAGTAATGGTTCCTCCTGAGTGATGAAGCTCTAGTGTTTGCTCTACAGGCTCCTGGTTGAGCTTCAATCTGAAATGAAGGATGAAGAAGGCGAGATGAACTCACGCGTAGGCCTCAAAGTCTCCATTGTTGACAGCTTCGATCAGCTGCTCCGTGATCTTTATGATCTCCTGCTTGTGGGCTGTGGAGTGGAAAGGAGACAGTCAGAACGTTGTGGTCAAGCATGCAAAGTCACAGTTAGCTGGAGAAAAAACTTAATCACAAAGATCAAAGGCTGATCACAGTTCAGCTCCTAATCACGGCAGAGCTGCTCACTCCTGTAAGTCTCATAAGTTCGTCTTCCTCTGACTTGATCTCCTCCAAACATAGAAACCACCTCACAGGCCAAGCTTACCCATTGTCTGTCCAGGTGCCGCATCCCCCTCTACCTCCAGTTATCATCCATCATATCTCCTGGTTGCATGTGAGGCTGCCTGAGCTCATCGTGCTATTCTTGTCCCAGCCCTTCGGATGAGATTTACTGTGTCCTTCTCCCGTCGCTTCCTCCCCACTCTGAGTGGAGGGCTTAACTCACTCGGATTGTCTCTTTGCCTCCCTCCCTCCCGCCACCTCACCCTCACTGTGTTCTGCTGTTCATTTCCCATTCATGCATTTTTTATCATTCAAAACTTCATGGAAGTGCTCCTCTGCCTCAGAGCTGCATGTTGTTTTAAAATCAATTAGAACAATCACTATGTCTATTTAAAGTTTTTAAAGAGACAACCTCCAGCATGAGGCATCGGTCTCAGCTTTACCATATGTTTATACTGCAAAACTCTGGCAACCACAACAAAAATGGAGATGAAATAATCTTCGTCTTAAGCTGCTTACAGTATTACATATCATATGTCAGATCATAAGCAAAAAGGCTGCACACATAATGATTTTGTTTTCTGCAATCATGTAAAAAACTAAAATGGTGAAATAAGAAAAACAAAATCAAATAAATCAAATATAAACAAACTAAAATTTGTTTTGTTTCAATCGCAGCTGTGCACTTGGTTGTGTTTATGTGTGAGCCTCGTCATGAAAAGTCTGGTACGAGGACAAAACTTAATATAACAGAGGGTCATTGTGTGTGTGTGTGTGTGTGTGTGTGTGTGTGTGTGTGTGTGTGTGTGTGTGTGTGTGTGTGTGTGTGTGTGTGTGTGTGTGTGTGTGTGTGTGCTAAATTCTAAGTTAATCTGAGATGAGTTCAATGGGTTTCTGTTGGTAACTGATTGGTCAGAGAGGAGACTGTAAAAACTAGTTCTCTCACAGCTCCCAGTTACATCATCATCCTGATCAGTTATAGGAGGGGGAGATCATGACTCATGGTTATTTAACACATTTACTCACTGAGAATATATTTCTTACAGGTGTGGTTCACTTGTTCATTACATTTGCAGTTTCTCTAGTAGGAATGAAAACCTTGTCAGTTGCATTCTGGCTACAAAAAGCCCTGGTGTGCCTCTTTCAGGATCTAGATCAGAGGAGAGCTTCAGACTACAGGATTTGGAGTCTTCCTGATATTTGGACTTCTCACCCCTGATTCGCTCTACCGCTGACTTGCAACGTTGATGTTTAATCTCCACAAATAACACAAGCCTGGTGGAGTTTTGTCATGTGGCAGAGTTGCTAATGCTAACGGTTAGCTTCTACTAGGCCAGGATGTTCTCTGCTGTTTCCTGGAAACTAAACCAACAACAGCCTTCCCCGTAACGAGTCAAGATGGGTTAGTCCACAAATGTTAAAGATTAAAGTCCCATAGTTGTCACACACACTGGTGTGGTGTTGTGAAAATTGTCCTCCACATTTGACCCATCGCCCACGTCTTAACTGTGTTGCCTGCTGGTGATGGTCAGAGGGACCGGTGGGGCCTGTGCATGGCAGACTCGCCGGTGCGCCCCAGGGCACCACCAGGGTGTGAATGTGTGTGTGTGAATGGATAAATGACTGATTGTGCCTGGGGGGGTTCAGGACACTAGAAAACTCTACATCAAATACAGGCCATCCCCGTGGGGAGCGGTAGACACGGCTGCACTCGGGAACTATTTGGTGGTTAAGTGACAGCGTGACGTAGATCTGTCAGGCTTTTCAAATCCTAGAGTTTCACCATCTAGTTTCTATCATAAGCTAATGCAGGAGATAGGTGTCGGAGACTATTTTCGTGTTCAGTCTGCATGAAAAACTCAGAGTGACTGATTACAATAAGAAATAATCATAAAAAAAATTTTTTTTCCAGTGAACCACACCTTTTGAACACACTGGTAGTGCTGCAGTGAGGCTTTTCTTGATAAACTGACCCTGACCACATGGAGAACTCAGAGCTCACTGAACTGTATAACATGATTGGTTTTCATTTTGACAAACTTTTCCATCCTTATATCTTCAGATTTTGGAAGCCAAACTTCACAAATGTATAATTTGATCACCAGTAGGTTTTTGGAGCAGACATTTCAGATTCTGTAAATAAACTGGGGCCAATTTATGTCAGCAGGGGGCAGAGTTATGCTGTTTAAGAGAGACTAAAACTTTATCTATAATGCATTGTTATACCACCACCACCACCACTACTACTTTTACAGCAACAACAACAACAGCTACTACTAATGCTATCCCAGCAAAGAAAGGCTGCTCATTAAACCTGCAAACTTTGTGTTTCACTGTGGCAACAGTGTTACCAACTGTGGCACCATGTAGTCAGTCACATTTCCATAAAAATATAATAGCTTAATGTGAGAACGATACACACAATGCATCTTCTGTCATATCCCTGGTCTTTATCTCAGGGTTTTAAAGTATGTTCTTGTTTCCATTTGTTCCTGTCTTTTTTAAATCCATCAGCTAGATAATTTTTGGGTTTTATTGTATTTTAGATTTTTTTTTAATATTTAACCTTAATTTAGCAGATCAAAAACATGATTGTTTTAACTGTGGCTAGACAAAAGGAGAGAAAGAAAGGCTATTAAACAAGGCAATCAGGACTCAGTACCTGTGTGCAGAGTGAGTCTGGGGTGTGGCCTACCTTTTACATCTTCATCTTCAATAGTGGTGTTGCTGCTGTCAGATGACTCCTGAAATTTACATAAAGCAACTTTTTGATCACGTGCACAGAAAAAGACATCAAACACACTCAGCTGTTTATATATAAAAAAAGCATGCACACATTTGCACAACACGCTCAAACATCTACCATCATATCTACACCACAGCTCTGTGTTCACTCCTTAGCAGCAATGCAAAAACACAACAGCTGTACTCTGCATCTCCAGCACAATCCTGTCTGCAGATTATGCTGAGTCAGTGAGGAAGGACACCGACAACACTGAGTCACATTTAGCACACCATCTGAACGGGAGAACGGGGGTTCATCTGGCTGCTTTCCTGCTGACGTATTTCTCAGCCAGTGGCAGAACCACTGAGCTCCGAACATCTGAACACAGAGAGGCAGCACAGGGCAAGGAAGCACCCAGTTACACACGCACACGCACACACACACACACACACACACACACGCACACACACACAAACCTTTCATCTATCCCATGCAAAAAACACACTGAAAAAGTAGACTAATATTCAACAGAATACCAAAAGTGTTTAAGCTGAGCCCACACAGGTAGAGGAAGTGTCAGATGAAAGAAAGGACAAAAAGATGGAGATGAGGAAGAGGAGGAGGATGTACCTTTATCCCATCTACTGGGTTATGAATAACAGTAGTCTGTGGCTCCTGGAAGAAGAATGGAGAGAAAGACGGGAAAAAAGGAGAAAATGGAAGTGAATGAGGGCAAAAGGATGAATGTTATGATGAAAACGAGTTTTGGTGAGGAAGATAAGCAGAGTTTAGGATGTAACACATGAGAGAAAGACACGCAGATACTTTTGAAAATGTGAAAACAAGGCAAATGTTTTTTTTCTGGATGGTTATTTAAATATCTACAACATACATTTTCCATGCATAACGGTAGTAAAGGAAAATATTGTGGGGTTTTTCTAAAACGAGTTGGATGTTTGCATTACCTGGTTCTTTTTAACACAGAAAAGAGTTGTTTTACCCTTTTTTCTGACGTTTTGACTACTATAGCAGTCTTCTTCAGAGCTCCTCGCTGCTGACGGCATCACTTCCTTCTCCGTTTATCCATAGGCAGCAGAGGACGGTGTCGCACTCTGCTGCCCCTGCTCCCCTCGCCAATGACACAGTCCCAATGCCTGATCTAATGTGGAGACCTTATCATCTCTGTTCATGGTTCTGTGTCCATGCCTCCTTATTTCTATAGCTTCCTTTGTCCATTTTTTGTATTTTTGTTGTGAGTGTGAGAAATAAATAAACTGAAGACACACAAGAGCAACGAAACAAGAAGCAGAAAGTACAACAAAGAAATCAGCCATAACAGACCACAGCACAAGAGACAACCATATAATGGACTGGGAGAACATAAGTATCATAGACACTGAACAACAAAAATACAAATGATGGATTAAGGAAGCCATAGAAATAAGGAGACGTGGACACCCAACTATGAACAGAGACGACAGGGTCCACACATTGGATCACGTACTGGACTGTATCATTGGCGTGGAGAGTAAGGGCAGCAGAGGGCAACACCGTCCCCTGCTGCGGCGAAGGAAGTGACGCTGCCATTTGAGGCTAGTTCTGAAAAAGACTGCAGCAGTAGTCAAAACATCAACAAAAAAGATAAAGCAACTCTCTTCTGGGTTAAAAAATAACAAGTACTGCAGTTAGAAGAGACACACAGAATGAACACACAGAAGAAGTTGCGTATTTTTTTCATGTAAAAACCAAAACTGAAAAAACTAACAACACATCAACAGTCCACATAGATGTTTGATCATTTATCTATACACACTCAGTGTTGCAGATTCACACACCCACCACAGCACTAGATACACTGCTCCAAAAAATAAAGGGAACACTTAAACAACACAATGTGATTCCAAGACAATCACACTTCTGTAAAATCTAACCGTCCACTTAGGAAGCAACACTGGTTAACAATCAGTTTCACCTGCTGTTGTACAAATGGAATAGACAACAGGTGGAAGTTATGGGCAATTAGCGAGGCATCCCCAATAAAAGAGTGGTGGTGACCACAGACCACTTCTCACTTCCTCTGCTTTCTGGTGATGTTTTGGTCACTGTTGAACGCTGGTGGTGCTTTCACTCTAGTGATAGCATGGGGTGGAGTCTACAACCCACACAAGTCGTTCAGGTAGTGCAGCTGATCCAGGATGGCACAACAATGTGAGCTGTGGCAAGAAGGTTTGTTGTGTGTCAGAGTGGTGTCCAGAGCATGGAGGTGCTACCAGGAGACAGGCATGTACATCAGGAGATGTGGAGGAGGTCTTAGGAGGGAAACAACCCAGCAGCAGGACTACCTTTGTGCAAGGAGGAACAGGAGGAGCACTGCCAGAGCCCTGCAAAGTGTCCTCCTGCAGGCCACATATGTGCATGTGTCTGATCAAACAAACGGTCAGCAACAGACTCCATGAGGGAGGTATGAGGGCCTGACATCCACAGGTGGCGGTTGTGCTTACAGCCCAACACTGTGCAGGATGTTTGGCATTTGCCAGAGAACACCAATATTGGTAAATTTGCCACTGGCACCCTGTGTTCTTCACAGATGAGAGCAGACTCACACTGAGCACACGTGACAGTCTGGATACAATGGAGAACGTTCTGCTGCCTGCAGCATCTTCCAGCATGGCCAATTTGGCAGTGGGCCAGTAAGGGTGTGGAGTGGCGTTTCTTTAGGGGGCTGCACAGACCTCCGTGTGCTCCTCAGAGGTAGCCTGACTACCATTAGGTACCGAGATGATCCTCAGATCCTTTGTGAGACCATATGCTGGTGCAGTTGGCCATAGGTTCCTCCTGCAGGGCAACGCTAGACCTCATGTGGTGTCAGCAGTTCCTGGAAGATGAAAGCATTGATATCGGGACTGACCCACCTGTTCCCCAGACCTGAATCCAAATGAGCACATCTGGGACATCATGTCTCCTCCATCCACCAAAGCAACATTGCATCACAGACTGTCCAGGAGATAGTGGATGCTTTGGTCCAGGTCTGTGTGGACCATCCACCACTTCATTCACTTCATTGGCATACAGGAGCATGCCCAGATGTTGTAGGGAGGTCATACAAGAACATGGAGGCCACACACTGAGCCTCATTTAGAGCATGACTCCAAGTCCAGATCTACATGGGTTGATAAATTTGATTTCCATTGATCATTTGAGTGATTTTTGTTGTCAGCACATTCAACTATGTAAAGAACAAAGTATTTAATAAGAATATGTAATTCATTCAGATCTACGAAGTCTTATTTTTGTGTTCCTTTATTTTTTTTGAGCAGTGTAAAAAATTTACCTGCAACTGAAATGTTAACTCATGTAAATCATTAATAATTATATATGTGTGTGTATAAATACATATATAATTATTTTAGCCTGGCCAGCCAGTCCCATGCTTCCTTGTGTGAAGTGGTTCTCTGTGTTGAATTAAACAGAGGACGAGTTTGGCAAGCCAGGCTACATTTCTTTAGCGGCATTTTTCAAAGACTCATTCACTCACTGGGAACTAGAGGACTTGTCAGCAATATAATACTACATGGAATAAACTTCAGTCAGTGCCTATCCTGTACCAACCATAGTTAAAGGTTTTGTTTGCATTTAGATGAAAATTCTGTAGAAATTTTAATAAGTCAAACTGTATATGTTTTAATTAAGTCAGCATGCCAATGGAAAGCCTGCAAACTACAATAACCACGTTACATAAACATTAGTTTTTCATTACCTCACCTGTTCATCGTGAATTTACAATGAAGCATAAGTAAATCTTTTTTCACCATCACCATTTCCTAATCAGCTAGCCATTAGTTCATCATTAACAAAAGCACACCCAAAGATCTGTTTACAAACAGTAAGCAAGAAATGGTGTTCTTTACATTTAAATTATGTAAAGTGTGTGAAGACATTTAAACAATCTAAAGTGTGTGAAGACCAGATGCATTCCTCCAATCACTGTGAGAGCGTCAAACCCAAAATCTTGAAGTGTTCATGTCTTATCCAGAAATGTAAAACTGGGTTTAGTTAATGTGGCAGCATTGCAACCATCTGTCACGTCACCGCAGCAGGACCAACCCTGCAGTCTAAATGTTTAAATGAACATCTGAAGTCAAACATCCTTTAGCCTAGCTGCTTTGGGGCGGTGTTTTGTTATTTGTTTTAGATCAGTCATGGTTTGCTCTGAATCTTCTAAAAACTTAATGCAAAAAGAAAAATCTACATCAGGTTTTGGGTTCTAGTTTCTTATAACACCAAATTCAGAACTGATTACTTAAGCTCACACTAAGATTCACAAATACTACCACACTCCAACTGTCTTTCACACATCCACACACTCTGCATTTTGATGTGTTCTGGACAGACAGATGGACGGACACAGAGCTGTGTACCAGTGCAGCTGAGGGGACGTTGCCTTTGGGGCTCGTGACTATGCTGTTTCTGGCGCTGTTAGTCTGCGGCTGTGCAGGAAACACAAAGTGTTGTATTAGTGCTCAGAAACATCTCAGAGAGGAGCCATCTGCTGGCTGTGAAGTGGGTGGTTACTGTAAAAAAACAGACAGTGTAATAGAGGGAAAGAATAGATGATGGGAGAGTGCTTCAGACAAAAAATAAAACTGTGGGAGGATTAAACCAAATGTGGTCACAGCTCTTGATATTCATTTCTATATGTAATAAAATAAAAAGAAATGAATCCAGCTCAGGTTCTCCAGCCTGCGCGTTTCCATTTTCATCTACTTTCAAACACTATAGATGCTGTTTGGCAGGTGGAAAATTAAGGCTGCAGCAGCTGTGCACCTCTGTAACATCTGCCAGAGACGAAGAAACAAGCAAGCTAACAACATTGTAACTCTCATTAGAAACAACATTCAGCTGTTTTACATCAGCAGATCACACACGCACACACGCACGCACACACACACACACACACACACACACGCACGCACGCACGCACGCACGCACGCACGCACGCACGCACACACACACACACACACACACACACACACACCATATTAAATATACAGACATTCAGTTTCATAAGTACTCAGACATAAGAGCTCAATTTAACAATCAGAAACACTCGACCGCAGGCATGATGCACTGATTTCACAGCAGGACTCTGTGTTCTCCTGCTGTTCAAAGGTGTGCAGGACTAAAAACAGAAAACCTCTGTTTATTTTTTTAGAGACAGAATAAAAAAATAGAAAATGTCTCAGAGGTGATTTTAGGGGGAATGAATCTCAATCAGCCATTTGAACGATGTTTAGTATTTTTAGTGTTCATGAGTAAAAATGTCCAGTGAGCTGTTAGGCTACCAAGTACCTGTGGTCAAAGCAAAAATGGAGTAAATCCAGACCACTATGAAATCCCACTGATTAAAGCAACAGCAGACCAGCACAGACCAGCTTCATGGTGTTATATTAAACAATCGGATGAGTTTAACTTGAAAACACCTCATCAAGACAGTTCACGTGGGAAACTATGGACACGGCGCCGCTTTAAAGTATTTTTCCCCCTACAGACTCTGTCTGCCTTCAGATTGTTGTTCAGCTAAACAGTTTCAGATAAACACATTAAATATCAGATTAAGATAAATGTACTGAGTTCATCAGTGATGCGTTGTTTGGGTTGATTATTACATCACAACGATTTAACTGGATTACTCTGAGTTGGAAGACCATCCAGAGCTCATGTTTTAAGGACACTGCCAACACCAATTTGCATCAGTAAGTGGCAGAGTTGGGCTTAGTGATGGTTCTAAACTATGAAGATAAACTATAAAGTGACAACATATTGTATTATACTTGAATCAGTAGAAACTACTATAAAAATGTTCAGACCAATTTAGACAAAATAGAATAAAACATGTCTCTACTTGATTGATCAGTCATTTGATGAGAACCTGATCACAAAAATCTGCTAAAAAAACAGAGAAGAACTGAAATGGGAGCCAAGATATCCAGGCAGACAGTCAGTATGCACATAATATTTTTAGTTATTAATTTTTCTTCAGGAGCTTCACTGCTTGGAAAGGTGAGTAAAAATATGCTGGATGACATTCTATGATAACCCTTTACAATAAAAGTCCCTTTGCTAACGTTACTTAGTGCATTATTAAGCCTTAATAAACTATTAAATAAAGTATTAACAACTGCTCAAAATTGATGTTAATGTAAGTAATGCATTACTAAACAGACCCTTCCCTAACCCCCTCGGCCATTTGACCTAACCTTAACGACACTTAATATCTGGAGCGTTAATAAAATTATCCTTTGTTAAAGCTTCTTTCCGGAGTATTTCTCTTATCTGATGGCACCATCTAGTGGCTGACAAGCATATCACACAAAAACTCTGTTTCTCTGTTTTTTTATGATGGCGACTTCACGTTTCTGTTTATAAATGTGTTTCTGTAGCTGACAAACAGAGCTAAAACACGTTGTTTTACCAGTATTATTCTCATGCCATGCTGTGTTCTCATATATTTTAGAGACTTTCTTGTCCATGAAAAGTTCATCAACTCTGCATCAGCCGAGGTATTCCTTAAATTTGAAGCATATAAGCGGTAATCTAACGCTATTGGTTAGTTCCGGTCGGCGCTCGGTTTCTTATTGCACGGACCTCTGCGGGGCAGGGGGCGTACTTAGCAAAAAAAAAAAAGACGTATCTCTTACATTTTATCACAGTACATGAGACAATCACTTTTACGGATTTCTGAAAAATCATACATCATTTCTGAAAGGGGAAAACTCCGGAAAGCAGCTTTAATAATGCACTAAGTAACATTAATAAAGGGACCCTTATTGTGAAGTGTTACCCATACTACCATGTGTATGAGGGAGAGTGTGTGGGGGTCAGATTTGAACATAATTGAGGAACTTTTTTTTAAGATTTATCTGACATCGCCAGTGTGTTTTGCCTTTGTTCTGCCAATTATAATTGTGCTGCTGACTTTTAAAAACAAGACAAGATTGATGTGATTTTAACCTTCAAAATAAAAGCATGTCTGGAAGCAGAATTAAATTAATTATTAACATGACTCATTTAGTCTATTATATTGTTTTTGTGATCAGTCTGAGCTCAAATCAACATTTATGTTGCCAAATACAGCTCACCTTAACCAGGTGTCACTGAGTCAGCGGGTCAAAGGTTGGTGAGTGGCAAGTGGAATCACAAACTGGTAAATTCTGCATGTAGGGTAAAATGAATCATTTTAGGCTATTAAGGCTTGGATCCAACTGCAAAATGAAATAATTTATTTTAACCTGCTTGACAACCATTAGGCTTCACTGTAGCACTTTTTCTTTTTAAAACGTTTTCTTTGCTAAAAGATGATTGCATAACTAGGGGACAACATTAGTGTGAAAAACCTGCCTGTGCCATGCCCCACAGTAGCAACAGTCAGAGTTATCAGGGTTTGTCCTAGATGTTTTTGACCCCTGACCTCTGAGAGGTTTTAAGGTTCAATATCCCCCTGCTGTGAGAACTTTCATCAAACAAATGAAGAGGAATTATTAAAGTAAAGATGCAATGTACAGGAATAGGAAAATAGTTCGCTGGTTGTGTGCCATCATGTAAAACTGTGGTGCTGCTAAATCAAGCCTGTGCTTATGCAATGGCAGATTAATCATCTGGCAGGAAATAATCTGAGATTAGCATCAGTCTACCCTGGCAGAAAGGACAGAGCTGGCAATCCAAGAGAGTAGGGACTGGAGGAGGAAGAAAGAAGGATGTAGGTTAAAGAATCAGGAAGAGGAGGGAGTCACCCAGATTTTCCATACTGCATCTCACGGGCTTCTCATCAGAATTCCTAACCTGGATCACCGGAATGTTGGATGTTCAGAAGCCACTGTAAATGAAATAATCAGCTGCAGGATTTCCAACAGGAACTGCAGTCTCTGACTCGGTTTGTTGGATTATTCCAACGGTTTGAAGAGCTCACTCATGCATTCACTCTCTCTCCAGTAGACTCATCAGGGCAGAGAGGTTACAAGGAGCCACTTCACAAAGGCTGACCTTCACCCAGAGCTGCAGGTTATAGATACCTAACATAGGGGGTAGCCCCATGTTGTAGCATTTCAGACAATGCTTAACCCTCTGGAGGCAGGCGTTGCAGATTTGCAACGTTAAAACCTACCTACCTCGATACTCCACACACGTATTTCATGAGCATTTTTTAACTCAGAAGTATCTCTGAAGCACTTAGTTGTTCGTCCTTTTATCAAAACTTATTTTCAGCCTGAGAGGGTTAAACATAGCAAGCATCATCGTTGTGCACCAAGTTTCCATAGTTACATATTGATTGTGGCAGATTACCTAAAGACATGTCTGAAATTATGTGATAGCTGTTTTGGTGATTTTCACTTAGAGAATGCAATTAACATAAAACTTAACTACACCTACTACTACACTACACATACATGCAATGTAAACATGTAGGCTATAATTTCAAGTTCAGCTGTTAACTTTATTTTTTCTCTAAGTGTTTTCTCCCCAGAAGAAGCTACAATGATGTTCTGCTGATGTTCTGTCTTGAGCACAGCTGCTAACCACTTAAACATTCTCCCTCTCCTGATAACATTTTACTTTCCTTGACATTGAATGTGCTACTGCTAGTTTACCCGTTTAATTATGGATTCACTAGGACAGTGGTTCACAAATGGCGGCCCGCGGGCCACATCCGGCCCGCCAGCCCTCTCTTTGTGGCCCCCAAACCCCCCGTGCACCCCCCCCCCCCCCCCCCCCCCCCCGACGGCCAACCGGGAGGTGTAGGATAGATAGAGCTGAGGAAAATAATCAAATAATCAATGCATCAAGATGCGATTCTGCATCATAGAAGAGTAGCCATAATCAATTATAGTGGAATGTGGTTGTGTTATTTTAACGGCGGCACCAGCGCAGCATCCAGATCTGCCAGAGCGGGTGTTCTCACATTTACCGGGTAGGAAGCTTTGGTCTGCCTTTATGTGGTGCTGCAGGGCTGAGCGCTGGAGTTATAACCTGAGACCGAACCTGAACCGAATCAGCCCGATCTGTTCTGTTGGATTTGGGCCATGAATTATGTTAATTGAGCGGGTTGTCACGCTGCACACTCCGCTCGCTCGATCAGCGACTGAGAGAGAGAGAGGGAGATTGTGTGCTCACACAAGAGAGAGGATCGGAGGACGCTCCTCCAAACATGTGTTATTATTTTCATAATTTCATTATTGTTTCTCCTGGAAGTGCTCAGTCAGTCCGAGTGCTTAGATGTCGGGAGATCCGGTCTAGGGGAGGGAGCGGAGTGAGTGACGGCAGCTGCAGCGTAACCTGTCTCTTATTTAGGGACACGGAGAAGTTAAAAGGAGAGAGAAATAGAAGACAGAAGTTCTAGTTCCACTTTATTCTTTTGTTTCATGATGATAAACTGATGTTAAATTCAGCTAAAGAGAAACTGGGAGGAAGCCTTGGTTCATTTTAAGTTACAGGAGATCTTGTTTCCTATCTGCTCCTCCAGAGACAACATGGACATGAGGGTTACATAGTGAGGGTCCCACAGGACAGGTCAGTGCAGTCACACAGCCCAAGCTGGAGGGGGACAGGCGCTGTTCTTCTTTATATTGCAAGCTTGTGTGTTATGTGCATTACAGCCAGCAATCCAAACAGCAGCAGCGGCAGCAATACCCCCCCCCCCCCCACACACACACACACACACACACACACTGCATGTGGCGAGTTTTGTCTCCTCATGACTGTCATACTATTACATAACACACTTTGCAACGTGATGGACATTTCATTTCCTCATTTGTGTATTTGTATTTATATTTATTATGTATTAATTTATTGTTAGTTTTGAAAGGATCTGTCCTTCATGATGCTACACTCAGATGTTTGCAGAGAAATCAATTAAAAACAATTGCAACGTCAGCTGAAAAACAGGTATCTGACAGTGGTACACTGGTGATGTCAGAAGTCTAAATTACTGCAGTTTCTGCTTCTAAAGTGTCTCTTCAAGAAATTAAAGATCACACAAACCAATTATTTTACGAGCTTTGCTCTGGCACGAAATGATTATTCAGTGTGTGTAACGTCTGCGGCAGAGTGGTGCAAAGTGGTGGCAGTGCCAAAACGGAGAAACGAGTCAGAATGAAAAGACTCTGATCTGAATGAACCGACTGCGCTAAGAAGTCAGGGGATTTAAATCATTTTTAAATAAATGCAGATTACCTCCATGTTTGATCCTTCACATTTCATAAATGCACACGAGTAAGTAATTTTGCATCAGTGATCTTCACTAATTGTTGAAGTACATTTGCCCTGGTTGAGTTTCTTTTCTGTATGAATCCATATCCAACACTGAACTATATATGGAAAATATCATACAACTACAGCTAATTAACTTTTGGAGTCAACTCAGATCAACTTCTTGTTTCCCCATGTCCCACAATTTGGCCCGATGTCCCTCATTTTGGCTGACCCAGCCACTGCCTGACTGAGACTTACTTGTCTAACCCTAACATCATTGAGCCTGTTTATGGTGTCAGTTAAAACAGAGATCAAGATAATTTGGCTACAGTCTGGACCAGTTAGGAACACCAACTGGGGCTTTGTAGAGGTCATTAAAAGAGGTAGATTTTGACATCCATGTGCTATTTTTGAAACCTGCATACTTTAGCACAAATGTAAATGTCAACATTAACGTATAAGTTAAGATGATGCTTGTGTAAAGCAGAGGACACCAACACCAGTCCTTGAGGGATACCAGCCTGCAAATTTTAGCTCTCTCCCTACTCCAACACACCTGATTTAAATAAATGAGTAATACGCAAAACAACACAGCGAGGAGGTTAAGTAATTTGATTTAAACGTGGAATTCTTAGAAAATTGATTATCTCCTTTCTTGATGCACAAACAAGGGCAATTGGTGTTTAGTTTAATTGTATTTAGCTGGTGTTGGTTTATGAACTTGTTTTGTTTTTATTACTTTTTATTACTTGGATTTAGTTAGAATTTTAAATAAACGAGGTGAAATGGTCCCCAAGACTCACTCTGCCAGTGTTTGGGGCTAGTTAATGAATGGATACAATCAAACTTCCTCCAGTTAAACAAAGACAAGACTGAAGGTATTGTCTCTGGAAATAAGGACGGGATGGAGGTTATTGCTCTTCTTGGCTCCAGAGGAATAAAGACAAAGACCCGGATTAGAAATCTTGGTGTCATAACTGGCTCAGACCTGAGCTTCACTGGTCACATTAAGGCTGTAACCAGATCAGCATTTTATCATCTTCATCATATAGCATGACTCAGGGGTTTCATGTCCAGACAAGACCTAGAGAAAGTCATACATGTGTTCATCTCCAGCAGGCTGGACTATTATAATGATCTTTTGACTGGTCTTCCTTCAAAAAAGCACGCATAAAAAAACTCAGAGTAACTGATTATAATCAGAAAAAAACATTAAAAAAAAAGGTTTTTCAGTCAACCACACCTTTAAATTCGAAGCTGTGGTCAACAACAACAGCTACATTGTATTATTCAGATTTTTTTTCCAATTACAAATACAGTGACAAAATTAAAAATGCACACCAAACAAAGCTCTGGTCTCACATGGTTAAAATAAGATGTGTTTCTGTTTATTAAAAATACTTTAATAGTCCATGACGTTTAGTCACATGTTGCTTGAAACACCTGAGATGAAGTCAAAATGATGCTGAACATTAAAAGAGCGAGCATCCTTCTTACCTTGACATCAGCCTTCTTGTTGAGGAGACTTTTGGCTGCTGCAGAAAAGCAGAACGACACACCGTCAGATGGAAGAGTACACATCATAAACCTTCAGCTGAACAAAACTCTTCAAATCTGCTCACACAAACACGATTAATCATGCATGCGTGCAAGCTAAAGCAAATTGGCTCATCAGCAAGCCTGAAACTTACAAATAAACATAGCCCAAAGGTGAAAAAAAACTCTCCTGGTTTTCCCAAAAATAAAGTTAAAACCCCACACATTTACTAAAAAAAAAAACACATTAAAAACCATCATTTAACCGGCTCCTCCTAACCCTGATTTGCTGCTTAAAGCATTAGATAAGCAGTGGGCATCAGGCATGAGGGGAGGGGGAAAAAAGTCTAATTCTCGAAATAATCTAAAATACACTCATACACAGATGCACACAGATAAATGAGGGATTAGGCATCGGACTATGGAGGAAGTGGAGCAGAGATGCAGGTGAGAATGGGTTGAGGAGGACACTGATTACAAGATTTCAGTGATGCTGTTGCAGGACACGAGGGCAAAGCTAAAACATTAAGCTGCAGAAAAGTGTGTGTTCTGGTGAATAAATGTGTTTTATGAAGATAAACGAGGAGAAAAGCGTATAAAGCAATAGTCATGCTGACATTAATCCCTCATCACAGTGACTCTAAAGCTCTGCGCGAGTGCTCCTGCACAGTCTGGCAGCTATGATCCAATATTTTTTTATTTCCGTGCACCTCACATTAAAGAAAACCCACATCCTGAATTCTGCATACAGTTCAAACTGTATTTTTTTGTCTTCTAATTCCTGACAAACCAAAAGAGGTCTTAACCCCTGACAGGAGCAGAGATCTGAGTAATGCCCTCCTCTCAGAGATGAGAGACGAGGCTGCTTACCTTGGCAAGCATTTCAGATGCGTTAAAGGCAAATGAAGGTAGGGGTGGGGGGAGATTTAAGAACAGAGATTAAACACAAACTGAGAGGAGCTGGAAAGGCAGCGACTCTGGGAGATTTCCATTTAATTGTGTGAGATCAGTGAGAGGAAGGGATATAAAGACTTAAAGGAAGATGGGGTAGAAAGGGTTCACCTTGTTCCACGATACCGGCGGTGGTTCCTCCCATTCCACTGACAGATGCAGGGGCTGTAGTCTGCCGGCCCACTGAAACACAAGCAGAGAACCAGGTTTTTAGTTTTTAGTTTGGACCTATACTTCAGAGTAAAACAATACTGATCTAAGAATGGATATGAGATGCTCTTAGCCAGTCCCTTGAGATTATCACCAGCAGCTCCTCTAAAAGCACTCTGGTCCAACGCATCCATCTCAGATGGGTGTAAGTGGGTCACCGTGGAGGCCCGTTTACCTAACACACCTCTGCATCGCTCTGCTAGTTGGTCTGATGCAGTAACGGCGCTTATTGATGCCTTAGATCTACCTTAAAACCAACAACTAAGCTCAGACCAGCTGGGATGGTGTCTCCATGGCGATAATGTAGGATTTAGATTTTGGACAGATCAGACTAAAGTAGATATGATGTTGACCCCACGCTTTACATCAACTCACATCATGACTTTGTTCATAAGCTTTGATTGTCCAACTAACTGGAAGTTGTAGCGTGTGTTACATGATGCGTCATCAGTCTGTCCCAGGGTTAAGCTGCCTGAAATCTGCAACCATCAGCCCTGTCCCCCCAAAAACTGTCATGTCTGACCCCAACTGTTGTTGTCCCATTGCATCATCACCCATCTAGTGCTTCTGGCAGCTAGATCACCAACACAACCAATGTCTGATTTTTAGATGAAAGACCAATTTTTTGTAAATCTTTTGAAAACGTTCTTCTGATGCTTTGAATTCAGATTTAAGTCTACTCCTCTTGGTTCTCTGTAGGAGACAAACACTGTGCTGACTGGAGAAATTCTCTATGCTCTCCTCTCTGCTGTAAGATCTTGTTTTCAAGCACTGTATAGCTGAACCTGATCTTTTCTGGTCTTGGTTTCGTCCATGGGGATTTATGTGTCTAATTTCAGCATACTATCTAGATTCTGTTGACATTCTGTTGAGAACTGTCCGTCAGTTTGGCTTGGAGATACAGGACTTTGTCTTGAAGGAGTTGATTTTAGGACTAGTTTTTTCTCAGTTCATCTATGATCTGCTGAATTTTCTCCCTCAGAATTAAAGCTTTTAAAAGTTCTCAAATTGGTACTCAAGGCAGCTAATCTTCTCATGGGCATGGTTTGAATTACGGAGCCTGGCTTCCCCAAAAGGGTGTGTAATGCGTGTTCATTTCTACTAACTTTTATGTTCTGGCCGTTTCTTATTAATGTCTGATGTAATCGTGTCAGTAGAATAACTAGATAAATACCTTTCTTGCAGAGATGCTGTTTGAATGTTCATTACTGAAAAGCTGAGCAGATCCATCAGGGTAATGTGTCAGGGATTTAGGAATTTGGGTGGGGGTGAACTGGAGCACCCAGAGAAAACCCTCCATACAAGGAGACAGAAATAAATTGACCAGGTGATCTGTTTCCTGTAAGATAACCGTTGTGCTGCATGTTTTGTACCCCATGGTGGACGAAGGTACTTCCTCGACACAGGAAGACCTCCTCACGAATCACCACCCATCACCAAGTTCTTCTAGCAGCTGGTCCACCATCCAGTATCTTTGTTTTTTTTTTAGAGTTCTGAATCAGAGACCTACATTCCTTTGTAAATGTTTAGAAAATTTTCTCCTTCTGATGCTTTGGATTCAGATTTATGTCTTTCTCCTCTTGGTTCTCTGTAGGAGACAAACACTCCTCTGTCTGGACAAATTGTTCAGATTTTGTCAGTTTGGCTTTGAGATCCAGGACTTGTTCGTGAAGGACCTGATAAACGACCTGGTTTCTTGTAATTTCCTGTGTTAAATTCTCAACATTCTTCTCCAAAACTTCATTGTCTTCAGTCAGAGAGCTAGTAACCTCTATAAAGTTCTCAGTTTGGCGTTCAAGGCTGCTAATTCTCTCACAGGCATAAAGGAAGATTGAAAGATCGAAAGCCATTTTCTGGACTTCCATGTCCTCTTGAATTTTCTCCAGGTCTACGGTAACGTGTTTCAGTTTCTCTTCCAATAGGGAGAGAGTGAGCAGAGGCCATCTGCTACAAGTGTGTGGTGATTATATGAAATGGCGAATTTTGGGAAATTTCACAGTAAAACTTGACCTTTTTAGTCCTGGGGCTTGTGTGACATCATCAATCGACCATTCATTTTTTTGGGGGGGCCGATGAGGAATGTCCACAAAAATGTTTTTTTTTTACTGTAATTTTTCATTTATGAAATTATAGCCATTTGAATTTTTTTGGCGAGTGCTCAAACTTCGAGGCCTGGACCCGCCCCTTCAGTATTTACAAAAAGTCAGTTTTATTTTCTCATTTAAATTGTCCATCCCTTCTGATCGATCGCACACTATTTTTGAGACAATCGTGTGAAAAATGGCCAAACTGTTCAACCAAATACAGACCCTACAAATGACCAAAACGAGGTCAAAATCGCTACTTCAGTCCAAAATGGCCAACTTCCTGTTTGATGTTGACCATGGGTGCAAGAGACTTTTCTGTGCGTATTGTTGAGTTCTACAAGTGTACCAAATTTCATCACTCTATTATTAAAAAAGGTCAAAGTGGAGGGGTATTTTTAATTTTCAAGGGGGTGCTGTCGAGCTACCTTTTTAGCAACTTTCACATCGCCATTGAAATACGTAAATTTCACGCACTTTCTATATTGGGCCAGAATTTGGTGAGTTTTTGGATATGATAAGACCCCCAAAAGCCATTCAAAGAAGAAGAAAAAATAATAAACAGAGCAGATACAATAGGCCTTTGCAGCTTCGCTACTCGGGCCTAATTAACAGAAGGATCAGTATCTGACAATGAGGTCTTTTTCTACTCTCAAATTAATTGGCAGATTGCAAAAGACTGAATGGTGCATACTGCCACCTACTGTATGAATGTGCAACATCACCTAAAAAACTAAATTCTCAGCTATTTTTCTCTTAAATAACGAAAAATTTCTTTCCTATTTAATGTCTCCTCAACTGTTCCTAAAATCCCCATCAGTGGCCAATCCCTTCCTTCCTCCTGAACTGTGCTCTGCAGTTTCCTCCTATTGCATTAGACCTGTGAGTCCCGTTCTTGTACACTTAAGCCACATATAAATGAAAGTCTATTATTATTTTAATTTAGAGACCAAATAAACCCATATTTAAAGAAACAGCTAGGGTTAAAACTATCTACAACTCTGAGAATTTTAAAACATTTATCTTTTCTTGAGAGCTGATGGTGTTTGAGTCCCAGAAGGGGGAATGCAGTTTGCTACGGGCCTAAGCAGTGTAATTCCTCGTCTCTTCCGTAATATCTCAGGTATTGTTGTGAAATAGCAGCAGTAATCTAAAAGTAAGCCATCAAAACACAGCATGTTGTTGCCATTTTTTTCTTTCTATTAATATATCAGATTTTTATGGAGATATTTCCAGGACATCAGACACTCAGACCTGGACTTGGCCTCTATTCTGTATCACTTGTTGTAATCAAACAATTCTGTTTGAGCTTTAAAGAAATGCTCAAAGCCAAATATGTCTACTGTGATCCCTGCTTACAAATACACTGTTGTGTGAGTGACTGTGAAACTGTGTGTGTGTGTGTGTGTGTGTGTGTGTGTGTGTGTGTGTGTGTGTGTGTGTGTGTGTGTGTGTGTGTGTGTGTGTGTGTGTGTGTGTGTGTGTGTGTGTTTGTGTGTGCATGCGTGTGTGAATGTGTAAAGAGAAGGCAGAGGGCAGATGGCGTGTCACTTCATCTTCCTCGCTCTCATCTTTGGAAAGAACTTTACTCACCAGAGAAGTTCCTGGAGACGAGCATGGTGGTCAAAATAGCTCCCTGTAGTGCAAAAAGAGACCACAGTTAGCTTAAAGATGTCCAGTCACACCTAAATGTGTGTGTGTTCGCGTGCGCTCATATGCATGTGTGTGCGTGTGTGTGTAGAGCTTCCAGAAGCTATCATGTATGTGTTTTTTTCAGAGTCAGAGGACTCCAAAGTGCTTTATACTATAGTGCATTATACATCCATTCACTGATGGTGAGCCACAATGTAGCCACAGCTGCCCTGGAGCACACTGTTGGAGGCGAGGCTGCTGAGCGTAGGCGCCATCAGTCCCTCCGACCACCACCACCAGGCAACAGGGGTTAAGTGTCCTGCTCGACGACACAACAGCAGAATTCTCTGCTGGAAAACGGGATCAATCCTACAACCCTCTGATTACTGGCCAGCTTGCTCTACTTCCTGAGCTACTGCTGCATTATTGTGTGACTGCAGGATATTTAGGCTCCTGAAATGTTTGCTACTTTGATAATTATCACTTTTTCAATAAACAGCAGTGTTTTACTTTTAACAAATCTTTCTGGGAAACCATAACCTGAGATACTTTGATGTAGTAGTAAAAATGTCACTGTTACAGGGTTCAGGCAGCAGCAGAGTCACTCTGTTACCCTGCAGAGATGCTCACGGAAAACAAGACTAAAAGAAATTCTCCCTTGTTTGCACCAAGGATGCCTCCACATCTCAAAGTGGCACATCAGAAACAAACGCTTTTACAGAAGATTTATGATGCTGTTATTCAAATCTAACATAGAAATAATCTTCTGATAAAGGCCTGCTTGTTTTATCATACCACAGATCCTTACATGATAAAGGATAAATGAATAAATGACAAGTAAAAGTAAATAAATACACAACTGAATGCTGAAAACAGTTATTTTTTCTGTTTTGCTTTTTTATTTCAATCCTTTACATTTTATTGCAATTTTCTTAAGATGTGAAATAATTCTCTTGTTAAGTTCCTCACCTTTCATTTTTAGAGTGTGTCTACAAGTTAGTTCTGCTGTAGTTTTTCACCACTTTTATTTCCTTCATTAGCCAATAAAAATGTCTAAAACTCCACTTGGATCGAGATCAGTAAAACTAAAGTCCACGTGACCCTTTTAGTGTTTTCACACCTTGAGTTTCCGTCTGGCGTTAAACTTCTTCAGGCACTCGACCGTCTCCTGTCTGTGCATCATTGAGGCCACTGTTGAGCGTTGCTGCAGGGAGACAAAAAGTGAGATGCTGAAAATAAAACATCACAGAAATGCAGCTCTGGCAGTGACAGGTTTATGTGGGCAGAAGCTGTTGGAGAGAGCTGGCTTTGTGCAGCAAATCTGTTGATTCTGAGGCTCCTGGGGTAGAAAGCACTTCTGGAAACATTTCAGGCTCAAACAGATCCAGATTCAAGGTTCCCTGGCAAACAGGAGAGAGCGTACTTACGCAGACCCATGGATGCTTCAGTGCCTCCTGAGCTGTGATTCTCTTGGCAGGATTGATGGTCAACATCTGGTTGATCAGATTTTTAGCCTCTGGAGTCACTGTGTCCCACTCTGGAGAGGGAAACTACACCACACCCACATATTTGTTAAAAATATGAACAGCTACACATTGGATTTGAAGCGAGGGGAAGGTGGAGGCTTACATCATAGGCTCCAGCTTTGATCTGCTGGTAGAGTTTGTGCTGGTCTTCGTCCCAGAACGGAGGGTAACCAACCAGGAGGATGTAAAGGATCACACCTACACACACGAACACAACCATCTACTGAGTGACATACAGGAGAACAAGGAGGAAGAGGCTTTGGCGAGTCAGCAGAGAGCTTACCGCATGCCCAGATGTCTACAGGTTTACCATACGCCTCCTTCCTCAACACCTCAGGGGACAAGTAGCCAGGAGTTCCCGCAAAACCTGGAAGAACACCACAAAAGAGCTTGGTTTAGTTCAGCAGGTGTGTTTGTGACGTGGAGGAGGATGCTGAAAGAGTGGCGTTTAGCAACCTGGAGAGGGTCTTCGTATTAAATGGTAAATGGTAAATGGCCTGTGTTTGATATAGCGCCTTCTAGAGTCCTGGAACCCCCCAAGGCGCTTTACAACACAATCAGTCATTCACCCATTCGCACACACATTCACACCCTGGTGGGGATGAGCTGCAATGTGGTGAGGGCAGGACTGGCGGTGACCGGAGGCAGAGACGCCAGAGGAAATGTCTTTGACTTCTGGACTGGAGGCAGCAGCGACGACCTCAGGGCTGGAGGCGGCGGCGACGACCTCAGGGCTGGAGGCGGCGGCGTTGGCCCCTGGGCTGGAGGCGTCGTCGTCAACCACTGGACTGGAGAGCGTCGACCTCTGGACACGAGGGAACGTTGACCTCTGGACACGAGGGAACGTCGACCTCTGGACACGAGAGAGCGTCGACCTCTGGACTGGAGAGAGCGTCGACCTCTGGACTGGAGAGAGCGTCGACCTCTGGACTGGAGAGAGCGTCGACCTCTGGACTGGAGAGAGCGTCGACCTCTGGACTGGAGAGAGCGTCGACCTCTAGACTGGAGAGAGCGTCGACCTCTGGACTGGAGAGAGCGTCGACCTCTGGACTGGAGAGAGCGTCGACCTCTGGACTGGAGAGAGCGTCGACCTCTGGACTGGAGAGAGCGTCGACCTCTGGACTGGAGAGAGCGTCGACCTCTGGACTGGAGAGAGCGTCGACCTCTGGACACGAATGAGAGTCGACCTCTGGACACGAATGAGAGTCGACCTCTGGACACGAATGAGAGTCGACCTCTGGACACGAATGAGAGTCGACCTCTGGACACGAATGAGAGTCGACCTCTGGACACGAATGAGAGTCGACCTCTGGACACGAATGAGAGTCGACCTCTGGACACAAATGAGAGTCGACCTCTGGACACAAATGAGAGTCGACCTCTGGACACAAATGAGAGTCGACCTCTAGACTGGAGAGAGCGTCGACCTCTGGACTGGAGAGAGCGTCGACCTCTGGACTGGAGAGAGCGTCGACCTCTAGACTGGAGAGAGCGTCGACCTCTGGACTGGAGAGAGCGTCGACCTCTGGACTGGAGAGAGCGTCGACCTCTGGACTGGAGAGAGCGTCGACCTCTGGACTGGAGAGAGCGTCGACCTCTGGACTGGAGAGAGCGTCGACCTCTGGACACGAATGAGAGTCGACCTCTGGACACGAATGAGAGTCGACCTCTGGACACGAATGAGAGTCGACCTCTGGACACGAATGAGAGTCGACCTCTGGACACGAATGAGAGTCGACCTCTGGACACGAATGAGAGTCGACCTCTGGACACAAATGAGAGTCGACCTCTGGACTGGAAGGGGCGTCAACTTCAGGACCGGGGGCGTCTACCTCCATCGACTTCTGGTCCGGAGGCGTCGACTTCTGGTCCAGGGGTGTCGACTTCTGGACCGTCGACTTCTGGTCTGTCGACTTCTGGTCCGGGGGCGTCGGCTTCTGGACCGCCGGCTTCTGGAGTGGAGGAGGAGTTGCTACAGACGGGACCGCTTGGACAGGCTGGACCGGATGCGGTGCGACCTCCGGGACCACTGCTGGAACAGGATGCGGTGCGACATCCGGGACCACTGCTGGAACAGGATGCGGTGCGACATCCGGGACCACCACTGGGACAGGAGCTGACTGAACTGGTGGTGCCGGAAACTGGGAGAGCAGGGAGGATAGATTGTTCAGCTGGAGCTTTTGGAGACTGAGGCTCTGATGGAGTTGGGCCAGCTCAGCTCGGAGACCGGCGAGCTCTTCTGGGTGGACTGCGGGTTCGACCCTTTGGCCAAGAGATGAGGGAGCTGCAGACTGAACCGGAACCTTCTCCTGGTAATTCGGGGAGGATAGGTGTCCAGCTGGAACTCCTGGAGGCTGACGAGCTGACGGATCTGGCCAAGCTCCGCCTGGAGGCCGGCGAGCTCTGTCAGCTGGGCTGTAGGCGTGGTCCCTCGGCCTCCAGATGAAGAAGGTGCTGATTGGACCGGAGACAGGACTGCTGGTCTGACTGGGGGCTGGTCCAATCTGGCGCGCCGAGCCGGAGCTGCAGCGAGCTCGCGGCTCCGTCCCGGGACCAGGGGTGACGGTGGAGCCCGGCATCCTTCCCAACGCCGTGGGCCAGCTCCGGGGGAGCACACAGCCAGTCTGGTGCCCACGTAGGAGGAGCGGTCTAGCTGTGTCTCCTGGTCCAACCTCGCATCTAGGTCCGGGAGGGCGGAGGGGATCGTCGCAGCCGGGGTTCGGCGACGGCGACGGCGTCTGCGGCGAGACGAGGCCAGAGGAGGAGAAGCCGGCCGGTGATCTGCGGTTAAAAACTGGAGCAAACACTCCAAAGGAAGAACCACCCCGCTGGATCCTTTACTGGGTTGGTTCATTCTGTCAGGCGTGCCGGTGAGTGAAATGGAGGTGAGGATCCACACGCGGGTGAGGAAGGAGGCAGGCAGGCAGGCAGGCAGGCAGGCAGACAGACAGACAGACAGACAGGAACATTTAAAGGGTTTTAATGAGACACACAGGACAATGAAACAATGAACCAACCAGACAAAATGGACTAACAGGGTTTAAATACAGGAGGAGCTGGGACCTTGGGTGATTGGGAGACAAGAGGCAGGTGGGAGCAATTAACTTGAACACAGGACTGAACCAACAGGGTGTGACAGTTAGCAGTTATATCAAGTCAGCCAATCACATGGAAGCAACTTGGTGCATTTGGGCATTTAGATGAGGTGAAAACAAGGTGTTGGAGTTCAAATTGACCAGCAGAATGGAGAAGTGAGATATAAGTGATATAGAAATAACATGGTTGTTGGCAGCAGACCAGCTGGCCTAGGATTTTCACCCACAACCGTCTCCCTGGTTTATGGGTCCATAAAAGAGAAAATGTCTATATAGAGGTAGTTCTGTAGACAAAAATGTTTGTTGACATCAGACTCAGGTATGAACCCAACACTGATACGTCATGATGTAGAGTGTATTAAAAACACCCAGATTCAACAAGGAGATAAAAATGTAGGGTTTCATCTTAGGGGTAGGAGGTGTATTAATGTAAAAGGATGAGTTATTGTGTCATAAAGGAGGATTTCATCTATCTTATAACAGTCTGAGCCTTCAAGCCTCCAGGCAAAAACTTTGCATAAGAAAATGGGAGGAAGGCCGCTGTTGAAAGATGTTTTACAGAAAAGGTTACAGAATCTGTGTGGAAATTTCTCCTTTTCACTTTAGTGAAGGAAAATGACAGAGCTTAGGTGTCCGGTTATTTAGTTCCTCGTGTCACTGTCCATAGTTCGTCCTCAGCTTACACACCTGTCCTCTTATCAGTTAATCAGCCAGCAGCTCCTGGTCTCAGTCATCACCCTCCTAGCATGTATGCTTTCAAGAAACATGCAAATATGTATAAAGTAGGAGAAGAAGAAAATATCTTTTCTATAGCGGCTCTCAAGATAAAAATCACGAGACGCTTCACAAAAACAAAAAATACAAAAAATAATTTAGAAAATGGTTAAAAATATATTTAAAATGAGCAAAAAATAGACTATTGTGATACAAAATGTTAAGAAAGAGAGAGAATGAATAGGAAAGAGGGAAATCAGTGGATCCTGAGGAAGGTGGAATAGGTGGGGAGAGCAGAATAAAGAGAGTGGTGAAGAAGGTCACACAAAAGCCAGCTTGAACAAGTGAGTTTTCAGCTGTTTTTTAAAGGAGACCACTGAGTCCACTGATCTCAGGCTCAGGCCACAGCAGCAAATTATCTGTCACCTTTGGTCTTTAGCCTGGTGCTGCACAGCCAGTAGGCTTTGATCACTGGACCTCAGGGACCTGCTGGGGGTGTAGGGACTAAGAAGATCACCAATGTAAAGTCCAAAGTAAGTTCATATAAAGTGTATAAAATGACTAAATGGTGTAATTATGTGTTGAAACATTTGGGAATGTGTTGGTTTCTGCACAGCAATGACAGAAATGATAGAAATTGAGTGAATAAAAAGGTTTTAAGTCTAATGCATGTATTGAAAAAAATAAACTTTTAAAGTTGTCCTGCATTTATACACACGTGAGAGGACACCATCAGCAGCAGGCCTGGTTGGTGGGTGAGTTCAAGAGCGGACTGTGTGAAGACTGAATTATGGAGAAAAAGGACCGAAATTCTGTTGAGTTGTCATTAACTTTCATAGCTGAAAAAAAAATTAATTAGGCTTCAAACTGGTCTGCTGGTCCTGCACAGAATCCACAGATCTCTGCTACAGCTTAGACAAGACGTGGGAGAGGAAATACATTTTAGAAGTGTGTGTGTGTGTGTGTGTGTGTGTGTGTGTGTGTGTGTGTGTGTGTGTGTGTGTGTGTGTGTGTGTGTGTGTGTGTGTGTGTGTGTGTGTGTGTGCGTGCGTGCGTGTGTGTTTGTAAAACTCACCAAACCAAGCCTGCTGCTCTCCTTGAACCTCGATAGCCAGTCCAAAGTCAGCTAGTTTCACAGCAGCGTTTTTACACTTACTGGCCAGCAGCAGGTTCTCGGGCTGCAGGTGGAACAAACACCAAGAGTCAGGTCTGCACCACCACCTGATCAGAATCCAGCTGTTTCAGTCTACATGTGATGGACTGGATCTGATCTGACTGCAAGAAGGTGTTAAAAAGCCAAATACATCTCTGTTGTTGTTGTTTCAGATCTGATCAAGCGCTCTCATCACCTGTTTGTGTTACAACAGCTTCAACATGCTCACAAAACAGTCAGCAAGCAGGCAGCAGCACAGAGCACGGAGGCAGGAAACAGCTTTCTCACTCTGTAAACTGGATAAACTTAGGTGTGTTTTTCTATTTGATACCATGGCAACAGCTTCACAAGAGTCACCTGCCTGTCAGTCCGTGGATGTGTTTTTGATGTTTAGTAAAGCTGTTAATAAAAACATTTAAGTTCAGAATTTTTCACACTGCATTATTAGTGCCTGTGGTGTTTTATTTGTTTTAAACCTTTGTTCTAGCTTCATTAATGTTGAGTTTTGAATTTATTTGAATAACCTATAGCATCTGTGATGTTACTAGAGCATGTTGGGTAATTCTAATATTGTTGAAGTTAATTTGACTTTTGGGTCTGTTAATGAGTCTTGGTTTCAGTCTCAGCCTTCTTTGTTCAAAGTAGTCGTGCAGTGTGATTTTAAATCTCTGACTTTATTTTTCCACCTTCATAAACATTTTTACTGCATCTTTAGCATGATTTTGTTTCCTTCTTGACAATGTTTTTGTATTTTTAATGTCCTGCTTTAAGTTTGATTAACTTTATTTTCTTGTAATAAATAAGTTAATAAGGGGATTCTTAGAAAGTTTCTTTAAAGTTAAGTTAGGTTCAAGTGAGCAAGGTTCAATGAGCAGAAAAAACAGAAAAAATAAAAATCCTTTAGTTAAATCAGGTTTTACAGTAATCCCTAAACACAAAGAGACAGCCCCTTGCGTTGAGACACAAGAATAATATAATTTAATCATCTTTAAACTAAAGCAGCACCAGTTATGTCTTCGTATCCTGACAGGAATGCAAGAGCTGGATACATGACTTGATTTTCTGCACATCTGTGGCTGCAGCTCAGTTTCAAACAGCAATAAGAAAGAGACATTTTATGACTTGTTTTCTTGAGTTTCAATGGTCGAAACAACATTTTTTTTCTTAAGTTCTTAGCACAAAAGTAATTTCAGCAGTGTTATTTTGGGCAGTTTCACAACGGTCCAAAATGAGCCGTTTCAAGGCTCTGTCACTTTAAGAAAACAAGCTGAAGCAACGCCCACCCATCCCCCACCCGTGCTGCCATAGGGTAACCCTGTATCCTCACTAGAGGCATCAGAGGCGTAAAAGCGTGATGTTTACTTGCGTTAATCCCCACCTGGTGAGCGTCAGACATGAAGAGGCATTTCCTGCCATTCTCCTCCCTGGGCTCGCAAGATCACAAAATCCTTTGAGACTTCAAAGGTCACTGTTTGTTTATGCCATCCGCCATGAAGGGGTGACGGTGGCACAGGAGTTAAGTGCTCACCCCGTAATCAGAATGTTGCAGGTTCGAGCCCCGCTCAGTCTGTCGTTGTGTCCTTGGGCAAGACACTTAACCCTCTTGCCTGCTGGTGGTGGTCAGATGGACCGGTGGCACCAGTGCTCGGCAGCCTCGCCTCCGTCAGTGCTCCCCAGGGCAGCTGTGGCTATGATGTAGCTCATCCCCACCAGCGTGTGAATGGGTGAATTACTGATTGTGTTGTTACGTGCCTTGGGGGGTTCCAGGGCTCTAGCAGGCGCTAGATAAAACATAGGCCGTTTACCCTTAATCCAAAAAGAAGAAGATCCAAGTTTGATATCATGGTTCAATCTCATATTTAATGGTGTTCCAGTTCCACTGCCAGGATAAAAAGAATGAAAAACACACTGAGACTGAATAAGCTGTTAGATCACATGTGTGGATGAGAAATCACATCTCTGCAACACACACACACACACACACACACACACACACACACACACACACACACACACAAAATCACTCTTAAAGGTGTGGTTTACTCATTACGTTTGCAGTGTTCTCTAGTGTAAATCAATGCCTTATGAGTCATTTTAAAAATGAAAAAGCTGCAGCTGTTCTGAGATGCAGAAGTTTACTGGTGCGGAGGTGGGCTGAAAACAGCAGGATTGCTCATTGTTATAAATAATATGTACACACCTCGTTTCAGCCATGTTCCAAAGTCACTACCACAAAGACACTCTCCACTCTCTCCTCACTGCAGAAATGTAATAAAGGTCTTCCTGTGGGCAGGCATGAGCCAAGATGGGCGGGGCCATGAATGCAAAATCACAGTGTGACATAGATTTGTGAGGACTTTCGAATTCTAGCGTTTCACAGTCTATTTTTGATTATAAGCTGACGCAGGAGATAGATGTAGAAGACTGTTTTCATGTTTGGTCTCAGAGTGACTGATTATAATCAGAAATAATCATAAACAATGGTTTTCAGTCAACCACACCTTTAAAGACGCACATTCAGACTGATACTAACCAATAGGACTTAAAGCATTTTTTGCTGTTTGTTTACTTGAGGATGACCAAACACAGCTTGTCTGCAGTCGTGTGTCTGATGATGATGTAACAACAATCTGATAAACAGGTCTGGCTTCAGCAGCTCGCTGCAGATTCTGATCAACTGGAGTCTTTAAACAGGAAACTTTCCATCAAGCAGCTGGGTGTGTTGTCCAGCTGCAGGACAGATGTTGTGTTGCCTGCTGCAGGCCAGCTTTTAAACTCTATTAATCAGCTGCAGGAGAATCAATTAATATTTGCTGTTTAATTTTTGCGTTAAAAAACTACTTGCTCTGGTAAAACAAACTACAGCAAATTGATCAGAGTGAAAAATAATGAGGTGCTGATCCGAACATCTGAAGTGTTTCAGCTTAGACATTATATAAAAATAAAATGTACTGCATTTTGCACAATTGCGAACTGGGGTCTTGCCTCTTGCTATTGAAGTGGGGTGATACAAAGCGTTACTGGAGGATCAACGTTTGTGTGTGTGTGACTTAGATGTTCTTGAAAAAGAGTTTAATTTCTTGTTTTATTTTCCTTTTTAAAACGATTTAAGAATGTCCCTGTTTGAAAAGATTCAGAGTAAAATCCTGATTGTTTTGTTTATCAGATGGTGAAATGTTAAGTTGGCTTCTCGTAGTGTCATTTAGAAAAATCAAGACTTTAATATTTTAACATTTTAATTAAAATCTTATCAGGTTTTCTAAAAATATACATTTGTATTTGTCTCTTTTGCAGTTTATCTTTTATTGCATGAACATAATGCTTTTTAATAAGCAACATTTTTAGGAAATTACAGCATTTTCATACTTTTTTGCATTTTAAAATGAAGTAAACAAAAATGTCTTGAGTATTGATTTAAAAGCCAAAACAATGTTTTTTATATCATATCATACTCATCAGTGATAGCATTTATTACGCATTTTTAGTTGATAAAGTTTGTTTTTAAATCTCATGGTTTGATGTAAACATTCTCATCTGGCACATCTGAATAACAAAATCACTTATTTGTTAACCTAGTGATTGGTTTTCCCTAGAAGCACATCAAACCAAATAATCATAAAAACTCCTAATTAGACATGCTTTGTTAAAAAATTGTCTGAACATATTTTTATAGACTTGAATTTAGTTAAAACAATTTCCAGTGAGATGCAACACATTTAGTCTTCTTTTCCTCTAAATAACAACAAAATAAATCTGTTCATACAGAGGGAAGGAAAGATAGAAGTGGTCATGTAATTTGTCCCTTTCCTGTTCTTCCTCCATCACAGAGGAGCTATTTAATGTAACAATAGAACTGTAACGCGTCATCAGCCTCTCTTTCTGGCTTTAAACCAGTTTAATTTGTCTCAGTGGACATAGAAAACACCACCTTTATGAAGATCTGGGGAGGAAAAAATATTGCTCCTTCTTGTATTCTGTGTCCATTTCCTCTTTTCTTTCAGCCTGTTTAATGAAACACTACAAACGGTTCGCTGCCTGTTTCTTGAAACCACTTGGGAAATCATCACAGATCAACCTCCGGCCTTCATGCCCAGGCCTCCTCTGAGAGGACAAACACATTGAGACATGATTCTTCTCCAAAAGCAGCATTCACTAGTACAGGTTATTCATTTTAACTGTAGGATGAAGCTAGTTGGACATTCATGTTTAAAAACTAGGATATGAAATTGGAAAAAGTTTTGGCCCAACTGTAAAAAAATACAATGATTTTTACTTTTATTTTAACTTTAATTTTATTAACTGTGACAAGATGAATGCACTGAATGTTTTTTTTATGATTTTCAGGTCAGCAACGAACAAGTTGGTATGAGGTCATGTAACTTCATGAGGGTGTTACATTAGCTTACTCTCATGTGCCAGTCAACTTTCCTTCTCTGCATCAAATATCACATTTTCCTCAGTTTCTTGGGAAAAGAGGAGGAAACCTGATTGAACTACATTAAATGGGATAAATGAGGCATTTAATCTGTGATAGAAAAGTCTTGAACCTGCTTCTGATGCAAGGAGGAACTATCACCCCATCTCTAACAGGGTAAATATTCCTAAGCGAGGGTAGCTCACTGGGCGCTTTAGCCCTTTAGGCCCCAGGCCTTTTTTCTTTGGACTCTGGCACCTCCTAATTGGGGGCCTTTGGAGTTTCATGTCCCAAGTGTCAGTGATTGTTTGCATTCCCCGAGCACAGCTACAGCTACAATCTGTCACGGTCTGAGGCGTATTCCTGCTGTCACTCCCTGTCTTTTGAGTTTTCCCTCTGCAGGTGGGCGTGTCTGGAGGTTGACCAAGCTGCAGCAGATCTGCTCATCAGCTGGCCAGGGGTATTAAAGCAGCTGAGAGACTTCTACACCTCGCTGGATGGTTACTCTACCTTGGTACCGTCTATCAGCCACTTGTGTATCTTATTCGAGCTCTTTTAACCTTTTGATAATTACATTTATTTTTTTTTTGGAATTTGGATTTTGAGAATTTGATGAGTTTTTGGATATTGGATTTTTGCCTTTTGACCTCCTGCTCTTGTCTCCAGACAAACCTTCACACTCATCTTAGACTGGCAGAACCCTGGAACCCACACCATCTGGAACTCCAACCCCGCTCGTCTCTCAGCCTCTCCCCTGGCCAGAACTACCTCCAGCTGCCCACCTAAACTTCCTGGACCTCCACAAGCTCAGCTCCCTCCACGTCTCACTTCTTGGATCTCAGTCCCTGCAAAGCCTCTCAACCCAGACCGGACCAGTCGTCCCTCACTAGTTCCCTCCTCTCCAGACCGTAAGTCCTCCGCACAAGTCTTATTCCTTGTTCCCTCCTCAAATTGGTTCTAACTCTGATCTGTCCACAGATTTCCCGCACCAGCTTCCTTGTGCAAGAACTCAGCTACGTTTATGCTGCTTCCTTGGTTTTCCTTTAATAAATCCTTGTTCAAACACTTCACCCCGTCTTTAATCTGATTCTGTATGTCGTGGGTTAGATATCTTCACCACAACATGACACAATCAAAACAGTTTAGATTGTAAACAAAGCCATTTTTGGTTTTTGATTCAGATAAAATAATACTTGAAATGTATTTTAGAAGAGCTGCCCTGTGTGAAAGTGCTGACAGGATGGAGGTTATGAGTTCAAATTCCATTTGGAAATTTAGTCAATTTTATTTATTCCAGGGTCCAACTAAATTTGTTCAAGGTTTTTTTTTTTTTTTTTCCAGCAGACACCTCTGAAGGTCAGATGCTCTTTTAAAATGAAGTTCAAATATCATTGTACCTTAATTTATTACATTTTTAAATGGCCTTGTTTCCCATCTGGGCTGTTTGTGGTTTTAGTTGTTTGGAGAATGTGGACAGTTGTAGATGTTTGGGGCATGAAACTGTAGAGCCCCCCAATTGGGGTTAAACAGGTTAGAGTAATTAGCCTGCTTTTACTTGTAAACAGCTGTTAACTTTCTTCTCTGTTCCACTAAAGGCAGGTGTCATAGCACCACACTTTTAAAAGGACTGGTCTTAAGGAAAACTGCCCATAATTCCAGGGAGGCTCCTCTACCCTGAATTTGGTTTTCACATACTGTAAGTCAAAGTGTCGTCATGGAGACTAGGTCGTCTGCTTTGGGAATATTTGTTCCTTTGGCATAAGCAAGCCATGACCATTAGTAGTTCTCAGTGTCATTGCACTGTCACTGTTTATTGATCATAGGGTAATTCATTCATAACTGAGTGTGAAGCATCTGGGATGGGAGTGAGCTCTTCCTGGTCTGAGGTCGTGGTTTCCAACTAAAAACAGGTGGAATGTTCCAGCAGGTCTGGGAATAAGTTTCTGCCTCAAGCATTTTGTTCATGGTGACAGTAGGACGAGGTGAAAGGTGGACTGATTGATCTGTGCTCTGTCTGCAGGAATGAGGGTGTTGCTCTGTTGTGTAGTGAAACAGGATCTGACTTCGACCGTCTTCACCACTCTCTCTTTATTCTGCTCTCCCCACCTATTCCACCTTCCTCAGGATCCACTGATATCCCTCTTTCCTGTTCATTCTCTCTCTTTCTTAACATTTTTTTAATCACAATTGCCTATTTTTGCTCATTTTAAATATATTTTTAAACATTTTCTAAATTCTTTTTTATATTTTTACATTTTTTTGTTTTTGTGAAGGGCCTCATTATTTTTATCTTGAGAGGCGCTATGGACATGATATTTTCTTCTTCATTCCAACCACTTTGAAAGTTTTGGAGGGAAATGGTCAGCCACAAGTTCATCAACAGGTTGTCAGATAAATTAGTACATTTTAAATAGGGAAAATTGTGATGCTGATTTTTAACAATTAGAATGAAAAAAAACTTTATTTTAACAATTCAACAAATAGTGATTCACATCAACCTGTTAAATGGAACTTAAAGATGTCTGTCTCTCCCTCCCTCCCTCTCTCTCTCTCTCTCTCTCTCTCTCTCTCTCTGTGTGTGTGTGTGTCTACCACTCGGCTGTCTTTAGCTGCACTGAGGGCGTGCACCCATTAGGTCAAAAATTAAAGACATTGGCCAAAGTTGTCTGTCTTTAATTCAGTTCCTTTCAGGATGTTTTTGCATCAAAATATTGACAGTTCAGTCAACCAAATGTACACATGATTCAATAATTTGATAAAATTCATGCAAAGCATCTTCATTTAATGATGCAATCTGCACACACACTCATGCATGTGTTAATTAACCAGGCTTAAAGCACAAGAACAGACATGCCGGTTTTCCTGCTTTTTCACAGCACTTACCAGCTGTTAAAAACAGAGTCGGACAACGATGTTGTGAAAAGGAGAGCATCTAGAAACGCTTTTGCTCAGCTTGGATTACTGATCTAACTAACTTATATGTGATTTTATCAGTCACTTCATGTTTCAGTCATCAGCTTCACAATTCAAAGCAAAACTCCCGTCATTAATGTACGCACAGCACAGGGACTGAACTATCCTTAAAAAAGGACCATCCACCCCATACTCCTTGAGGGCATGGTCCTGAGCCTTCTCCAGATCCACACAACACACGTGGATGGGTCGGGCAAACTCCCATGCCCCCTCCATCACCCTAGCAAGGATAAAGAGATGGTCCGCTGTTCCTCAGCCAGTATAAAAACCACATTTCTCCTCTTCAGTTGGAGGTTAACCACTGGGCCCTCCTCTCCAATTTTATACAGTCAACTTTTTCCCAGAGGTAGAAGAATGGGATCTTCTAATATCACCAACCATCTGCTTCTCCTCTGGTGCTGCCTCTGATCACCACATGTTGCAGAGGCATGTCAGCCAAGACTGACCTACAACATCTATAGCTTTGAGATACTCAGGACAGATCTGGCCAAGCCCTGGGGCTTCACTGCTTCTTTGATGTTTAACTAACTCTATAGCATGTTTTCAATATGGGAGTTAACATCGGCTGTGGTGCAGTGTGAATCTGGATGCTTAGCTCTGTAATCTACTTCTCCTACATGTCAAACAGTGCTTTTCCTTGTTTCTAAATGAGAATAAAACACACACAGAGAGGAACGAACACACACACACACACACACACACACACACAGAGTGAGAGAGAGAGCCCAGCAGGTGACTCACCTTGAGGTCTCGGTGTACCACCCCAATCTGATGGCAGTGGAGCACGGCCTCCAGGATCTGCTGGATGCAATGACTGCATGCAAACAGCAGGGGGGCAAGTTAGTCTGAAAACATCCAGCCACAGTCACAATCATGCAGAGGCAGCAGCATACACTCCTCATGTCTCTCTAACACACACATCCACACCCACACACTCGTTCAATGACAGACTGATCACTCCGCACACGTGGAAAGAAAGCTGCGAGGAGCAGACTTGTCTGTGAACTACAGAGGGAAAAGGTGTGCAGTTTGCTTTTTCTGTCTTTAAGAAGGTGCCAAACGTTAGTCAGTCAGGCAGTGTGGGAGTGAGCCGCAGCTCGATGTGGGAGACATCGCCTCTATCCTGCTCATTTTCATCACAGATTGTTTTTTCAGACAGAGCAGCAACATCATATTTAAGGGAAAGATTCAGCTCAGAAGATGCTGATATGCTCCTAATCCCCTGATCTTCACCCGTTTTAACCTTTGTCACACATCTTCACTCTCTGACTCTGGGGCTCTTGTAGGCCTTTGTGAACAAGACCAAATAACTGTTGAAGATTGTGCAACAAGAGTCCCTTGAGCAAAACCTGAGAACAGGCAGAATCACACGAAGGCAGACGGGAGGAACGAGCAGAACGTACGACATCACAGGCAAATCTTTAACAGGACACAAGCTTAAAAATGCAAGGCAGTGCAACAAAATGAAACACACACAAACAGACCTTGAGATCCCTGTGCACTATGTCATGTTGGTGGGTGTATGACACACTGTCTAGAATCTGATGGATACAGTGACTGTGGAGACAAAACAGCAGGGTGAGGAGCAGATAAAGGAGGTAGCACAGTAGGATGGACAGCAAGAGACAGGGAGACAGGAGACATGATGGGAGGAAGACACTCACCAGAACAGGTAAGAACTCAGGGGGTAAAAAAAACATATTTAAAAACATATACCCTGTTATAATGCTGACCAGGTTTTAATTTCTGTGAAATAATTTAATTATTACCTTCAGCTTTTGATGGGAAACAATACAAAAACTCACCTAAAAGCCATTTTCTTAGCTTTTCTAAAATGGAAATGGATTAGCAGAAGAATGGGGAATGCTGGTGACTAAAGAGAGGGCGTTTAGTTAAGGAAAGAAAAGAAGAAAATAAAAATCAACACAGTTTGGATTAGAAATCTGAAAACGAAGATCATCTTTGATTTTTTAATCATGGTGACACACCTCAAAATGTGTTTTCACATTAGATTTGTTTTAATCTCCAAAAGGTTTCAGCTCTAAAGCTTCTGATTTAACACCTCTGAACACAACATGAAGCTGTTTACTCACAGGTAATGATGGGCACAGCACACTGCTTCAAACCCTCATCACGTGTGCTGTGCAGTGGCAGAGCGGGGATGTGCTGCATTGTCCTTAAAATAATTTTTACTTGAGCTCAGCATTCTGTGACGATATCTTTGCAGTCTAGTGCACCATGTCCCTAAAGACAAAGATGTTTCCCACACAGCACGGGCCTCCTGGGAGGGGCTGTTGGAGCCAGCTCTCCTCAGGCTTTCCAGGCCTGTGACACCTTCTGCGTTCAGGGACTGAGCCAGTTCTGAAAGCTGCAGACTGCAAAGCCATACTGTAGGGCTCAAAAGACAGGCTGGACTCCCTGCATCCCCCTCTGGAAAAAGCTTGCAGTCCCTCTGCTCGCTGCTATGAGCAAACAGCCGAGCATCAGAGAAAAGCAACACTTGAATTTGTGGAACAAAAAGTGACAAGCTTCTTCTCAGTATAGTGCACTTGTTCCAATATCTAATTTTGTTACTGAAGAAGCAACAAGAAACACCCCGGCTGGTGATGATGACACCATGGTAACAATACCACATCCATGGAAAAAAATCTGAGATTCAGTCATTCAGGGAACAGAAGTCCCATTGTGCTTTCCAGCTAAAAAATGTAAGTCATTTGGCCAGAACCATGGTAAACAACAATGTTTTCTAAAGTACTTTGGTGAGCAAAAGAATAATCTGAATCTCCATGGTCTCAGTTAGCAGGTTAAAGGTCATTACAGGACAATTAGAAATCGACTGACCACATGACTTGATTGGAGTACAGCTCTTCTTTCTAAAAGGAATATGGCATCAAAGTTGCATCTGAAGGAGCCACAAGACGTTATGGTGAGTGTTTGCCCCCTTCTTTTAGTTCTTATTTTTTGCATTATTGTCACACCTAAAGGTCGGCTTTACTCATCTTTCTAATACATTTGAATTGGTCTCTAGAAAGCATGGAGGCCTCGTAAGTCGTCCTCTGGGGAAAAAAGCTAGTGCACCTGTTTCAGGATGTAGAATCGTAGAACCCGAATGTGCGATTCGTTTTCATGCTGATGCTGTTGAATAAACTTCCCTGTCTGTAGCATGGAGATGTCGCTCAGTGGGAACAGGAAAAGAGAGAGAGCTTTGTGTGTGGCCCTGTCCTTGGAGCAGCAAACTGCACGGAGCTCTCACCCCAGCGAGCCGGCAGACAGATGCTCGGTGGGAGGAGAAAGCAGCGTGTGTCACGAACTCCTCCCGCTGACTTCATTTCCCATCATTCCTGCCACCAACGTGGCGGCTGACGTCATCACGCCGACACTACTTAAGGAAGTGCCGGCGTTTCATTCATTACTCAGTCATCGTTCTCACCAGACTTTGTATCGAGTTTCCAGGCTTACCAGCCCTCAAACCTTCAATTCTGACCTACAGGAGATAACCACGCTGGTTATTTCCATCCCTCCGCGTCTGGGCAACAGATCCTCTCAGCCATGCTTCAGCTCTGCCACCGAACCTGACAGCGTGTGTGTGGTTTGCAGCAGTGGAGGACAGGGTTTTATGAGGACATGCATAGCAAATCAATAAAAAAATGTGGTTTAGAGTCTCCAAAAGCAATACAACTCATGCTTGCCTTTCTTTATCCTATTGTGGAGAACACCACTGACTTTTCTGCATGTCTTAAACGTTGCCCATGGGCTCGGGGATTTCCACATTCCTGAGAACTCCTTTGGAACTACATGTGAACGCTGCACACCCTGTAAGAGACCGATTTGACACTATCCTCCCCGACCACTCTGACCCTAATGTAGCCTCTGGAAATGGTCTGTTTTTCAATCTATGGGTGACCTCTTCAGTATCGGGTCATTTGGAGGCATAAGTCTTAGCTGGTGCTTTAATCTGCAAGAAGATACTGTTGCCAGGCCAAGGTCCCTCCGAGCTCACTCTTTTCTAAGACTGGTTTTTAGTCACAGCACAAGACGGTGAACTTTCTAAATTAAATCATGCAATGAACAATAATGGTTGAAGCATAATAACAATGTTTTGATTAATCTGTGCTTAAATTACTGTGGTTGAAATGAATATTATTACGTTATGATCAGTAATTTTAGATTTAACATGTGAATCACTATCTCTGACAGCTCACGAGTGTGTACGTAACGGTGACAAGGTTAAGCTAATATCCTGGCACATTGTTTTATGTTCCAACAATCAGAACTTCTGTATCTGACGCAAGGCGTGCTTTCTGAGGTTTGTTGGAAAAAGCCCTTCTACATGTCAAATTCTGATTTGGTAGTCAATCAAAATGTGACGATTATTAAAACAGGACTCACTTCACCGTGAGTCAGTTCTGGTTCTTGTGAGTTCTTGAGAAAGTTTCAGACTGGCCATCAGGAGCAAAACCTCTTTAATCCAGAGCATCTTTTGACAAGCTGTCAAAAGCCTGTTGCACGCTACAGCTGACTGCAAACGATATCTTTAGAATAAAGCTGAACCAACTTCAACTCCTTAAGAGTTATTCCTAAGACGCAAATAACAACTGTCGTGACCTGAAGACAACTCGAGACCGGTATAGTAGGCACTGCGGTTGCTTCTACGGACTTCGGTACCTCAGGGTTACCTGGACCTCAACATTCCGGATCTACCACGGGAGTCTTCAATCAGGGTATGTAGACTCGACAGATTACGTCTAATGTGCTGTTGATAAGAACCAACTTTGTTAGTTTAATGCAGACCAAATTCACTCCCACTCAGAACTCAGTTTCTTCAGATACAAGAGGTTCTGATAACATCACATTCACACATCCTCACTCTTCACATTCCATCCACTTAGATCAATTTATCACATAAAGTGTCCTAGTTGTGATGTTTTAATTGTTTAGAAAATAAATTTCTTGCTTTTTATAAACTTGACTCTCTTCTTGAATTAATACGAAATGTCTTACAATCCATGAATCAACAAAAAGATTTTAAATCTTCTGGTTAAACATTCAAGGCCGATCAGACTGGATTTCCATATTGTGTAAGCTGCATCATTTCCTGATATTTGGGCATCTTGCTTCTGACTGGATAACAGCAATGTGATTCTCTGTCTGTGTTTGCTCTGCAACGTTGATGTTTTATCTCCATAAATAACACAAACCTGGAGATATGGCGTGTGGTGAAGTTGCTAATGCTAACACTTAGCTTCTGCTAGCTGAGATTTTCTCTGCTGTTTCCTAAACCTACAAGAGCCTTCCCTGTCATGAGTCAAGATGGGGGAATCCATGTGTTAAGTGACATTGTGACATAGATCTCAGGCTTTTTGTCTCACTGTCTATTTTCTATCAGAAGCTAATGCAGGAGACTAATTTCATGTCCAGCCTGCATGTTAAACTCAAAGTAACCAATCATTTTTGGAAATAATAAATAAAAAATGGTTCCTCAGTGAATCTGCTAAAAGTTTCAGATCATCAAAACAATTAAACCATTAGTCAGAGACAACCCAAGAAAACACAAAATGCACTTTTTAAGTGTAGTTCTTTAGTATTAAGGGAGAAAGAGAAATCCAGACCTACTCAGCTCTGTGTGACAAAGTGATTGCCCCAAAGCCTAAAGCCTAATTTATACTTCTCCGTCTGCGCTGGGATGGACGCACGCAACACCATTATCCGTCCTTTCGAGGGCTCTCCAACAGGCTCGCAAGGACGAACGGAGTCGAGCTCTCCTTTATAAACATCCGTCTGTCAAGATGGAGAACGCAAGCTTGTGATTGGTCAGGACAACACTTTTATCTACAGCACCACCATCGCACCCTCAAAAACACAAAGAGAGCCAAGGATATCTAGCAGCAGACACAGAGCAGCTCTTAAAACTCTAAAAATACGAACATTTTCTTCACCCGTGACTGGAGGAGTGAAAAGAGAGACAGCAAGCGTTTTATTCATGGACGGAAATGACAGGAAACGTGGGTTTAGAGGTGGCGAGCACAAGAAGAGGTGAAGGAGAATGAGGGACAAATTTGTCCGCGTTAAAAAGTCTTAAATACAAAAAAACACAGTCTTGGACCGGATACATGACAGGATACCCCAGAACAGCGCTACGCCCTCTGTTGTCCAGGTGGGGATTTGCTTTGCAACACTCCCCAGGAGACGGAGAAGTATGAGGACAAATTGTCTCCATTCATGCTTGCATGTCTCTCTCTCGTGGAGCGGACTGATTAGGCCTTAATGGCCCACCCAGGTGCAACAACTGCAATCACTTAAAAACAGCATTTTGCATTTTTTGCTTATTTGTCTTTGACTTCTGTTTATATTTGTTTGATGATCTGAGACTAAGCTGAACAAATATGGCTTGATTTAATGTCCTATATCTGTGAGCAGGAAAACTTAGTAATTTAAGCATTTGGCAGATGAAAAATGAGCTTCTGGTGAATGAATCAGTGACATGATTACTGATACTGGCTTACAGCTGGTCTCTTTTGAGGGAATTTTGCTGTTTTGGGGCTCCTATAATGGTCATTTATTCCCTGTACAGCAGGGTTTACTTACCAGTAAAAAGTTAGACTCAATTCAGGTAAATTGTGAATTGAACTGCTTCTTTATGATGAGGATGTGGTTTTATTACCCTCATTGAGTTAGGCTCTTCAGCAGTAGTAAAGTAAAAGCACAATGAGGTGTCTCCAAATCAAAGGCCAGAATTCTCAGCTGGAAAAGAGTCTGTCTAAGTGGAGGAGTTATCTTTGGGGGTTCAGTCATGAGAGAAGACAAAGAACAAAGTTGGAGACTGAATGGTGAATTTGGCGTGCCTCTACTGACTCTAAGTGTGTTTTGGTGCAGAGCTGATCTGAAAACTGTCTTTCACCTACAGCCATAGTAGTGAGAATGAAGGAAAAACAGTTGGTAGCTAAACAAAGTTTTCTTTATGGAATATTTGGAACTCTGCTTTAGAAAATGAGCTCGGGTAGATTCAGATTCTAAACATCAATGGAGCCATTAGACAGTTTTAGAATCTGGTACTGAAGATCATTTTTCTAGGGAGGTGTTTAGGACATGTCCTGTCAGGAGGACACTCTAACCCAGGACTGAATGGAGAGATAAAATCACACAGTTGGGGCGTGGGAGTGCCTCAAAATCTTCCTGAATGTGCTGGATCAGACGGACAGACAGGCAGATAGATCAAATATTTGTGTATGGCAAACTTCTCTAAAAGGTGTCAAAGCCCTTTTTTTCTCTAACTTGTGACAAGTCTGTGTGTGAACCAAAGCTGATGGTGCAATGATCCCCCTGTGTCCTCATCAGGCGCCCTCATCTACTTCCATCCCACCTACCATCAGGTAATAAAAGAGTTTACTAAAGCACTCTTTGTGCAGATATGTTCTCTTGTTGCAAAAGGATTTGTGCTGACGGGTGACAAGGCGCACTGGAGTCTCTTCAGAAAATTGTCTTTAGTGAACAAAACAAATGAAAACTTAGAAAGAGTTGGACATATCTTGAATAACGGGCACATGCAAGCAGAAAGGTCTGGCTTAACACCACAAAAGGATCAAGTGAAGAAAAAATGTTTTGTCATTTGGATGAATGGGAGTCTAACGTGGTACAGATGGAGGACAGAAAGGAAACCATCAGTGAGAAACTGTTGGACAGAAATCCAGCCAGACTAGAAGCTCATACTCACACACACACACACACACACACACACACACACACACACACACACACACACACACACACACACACATGCACACAAAAAAGTATACATGTAGACACACACACACACATGCACACACAAAAGTATACACGTAGACACACACACACACACACATACGCATGCACACACACACACACACGCACACGTGTAAAATTAATGCAGGATTTGTGCAAAGGGACACAGAAAGCTTGATGCATGTCCTCTTAACTAGTCTCAGAAATGCCAGTGTATGCTAGCTTAACTTTTTATTCACTCAACTTCCCCAGAAAAGCCTATTTTCTTCCTCTTGAAAGTGCTACGAGCAGCTGCTGTGTGCGCCTAAATAACCATGTAACGCAAAGTAATGTGGGGGGGGGGGGGGGGGGGTTACATTTGTATAAAAGCCATTAGCTAAAAATATCCTTTTAAAACTGATCTGTGTTTCTCTGAACAGAGGCTGTTCAGAGAGCTATGTACAGCAGAGATATTACATTTTTAATCCCTGCAGCCTTTTCAGTATTTTTATCAGACGATAAATGTTTAAAAACATCTTCAGTTGTGTGTTTTAAATGCAGTTGGCTGCAGCTGAAGAAGTTCTGGATATAAAGAAGCTGAGCATGAAGTCAGGCCTCTGCAGAAGGTTATTGCTAATCAATGCTCATCTCCACGACTGATGCTCATATGCATTATTATAAAAATCAGTCTGGTGAATGATGGTGTTTGTTCTTTACCTGTGATTAATGCAAAACATCTAAGTTTTTGCCTTTGGAGACTGTGTGCATGTACTACTGGCGTTAGGGCATACAGTAGCCCCTAGGCTATTTTTCAATGTTTGATGTTTTATATCTCAGAGCAAACATTGTCTTAAATCTTAAAATACAGATTTAGTCCACAGCTTTTTACATTTCACTGCAACTTAACTTTTTTGGTATTTTTTTGCTATTTATTTGAAATTTGCATGATTCTGCAGAATCCTGCATGCTACCAACAGAACAATGCTGCAAAACAAATCCCCTTTCACCTTTAACCGTGATACTTTTTGTCATTGTTCAATTATGTTGATTATAAGATTTAAAATAATAGAAAAGAGTGAAGAAGCTAAACGTGTCTGAAACAGAAAAAGTATATTTGTCTGAACAAGACAACAGGTGTCAGTAGGAGGGAGAGATGTTAAGGGAGGATTTTTAAGCTAAAAATCTGTTCTGCATCTGTCCTCCTTTAAACATTCCTGTCCCCTTCTTTTCTTCTCTCTCGCCTCCACAAACCGCCTCCACACTCAAATTGATTTAGGCCTGCCTCCTGAGGGGCTACAGCGTGTGTGTGTGTGTGTGTGTGTGTGTGTGTGTGTGTGTGTGTGTGTGTGTGTGTGTGTGTGTGTGTGTGTGTGTGTGTGTGTGTGTGTGTGTGTGTGTGTGTGTGTGTGTGTGTGTGTGTGTGTGTGTGTGTGTGTGTGTGTGTGTGTGTGTGTGTGTGCATTCTTTGTGAATGTTTCCATCTCTGCAAATTCTGACTTTGGAGAAAAGCTCCTGGACCGTCATTTACAATTCAGTTCAGAAAAACAGTGCAGAGGTGGGGAGGAACAAAAAAGCACAATATGTCAAAAAATTCTGTGTGCTAATGAGAGGAGGCAAACTCTCCAGGCTGAAGGAGGACTGCAGAGGCAGGAGTGGTGACACATGGATGGGATGGTGAAGGAGAAAAGAAAAGAGATGCTCTGAGGGTGATGGAGGGGGGGGGGGATTGGTACCTGGCATCTGCTTCACTGTAGTATTCTCTTGCCACGATATCCTCGAACAGCTCTCCTCCTGTCACCCTGAGGAATGTAATGATGCAGTTGAAATTTGCATATGTTTCACATAGACACACACACACACACACACACACACACACACACACACACACACACAGACACACACACACAGACAGACACACAGGAGGGGGATGTCCTCATTAGGGGGAAGCCCCGGCTACAGGATTCAGGATTCTCTTCGACTGGGTTGCCATGGAAACTGGCTCCAGTGCGGGGGAGTTGTATGCGTGCGTGTGTACGTGTGTGTGTGTGTGTGTGTGTGTGTGTGTGTGTGTGTGTGTGTGTGTGTGTGTGTGTGTGTGTGTGTGTGTGTGTGTGTGTGTGTGTGTGTGTGTGTGTGTGTGTGTGTGTGTACACTAAAGTGGGAGCTGCAAGGAGGGAGGACAGGGAGGTGTGTTATGCAATGGGGGAACTGCCTCAGAAATAAAAAGGGGAAGAGCTGGAGAAGAAGAAGAAGTAAAGGATTGGAAAGTGAAGAAGGGATCAGAGCAAGGAATGAAAAAAAGAAAAAGGAAAAGAGGCACTGGGGTAGACGATGGAGGAGATGCAGCAGTGCAGTGTGGCACAGAGAAAAAAGCGGAGGAAGCAGAAGGATGGGAAAGAGGAGGGAGAGGAAGAGTGGAAGGGACTCACAGGTCAAAGATGAGGTAGTGGAATCCTTCCTCAGAGATGCTGTCATGGAGACGAACTGTGAAAGAAACCACAAAATATTCTGTTTCACAAAACATCTTTCATGTTCTGTCTGTTCGTTTGAGCCGAATCCTTTACAGCATGCATGGACGAGCTGAAGCTGACAAATGGGAGATCAGGATGATGTCTTTCATGTTTTTATCGAGCTGAAAGCTGCTGGAACTCGTCTCAGAATAACACAGACGCTCTAAAAGTAGGCTGCAGTTTGATGGACACTCAGGTCTGCAGCATTTGGTTAGTTTTAAAGAACCTGCTGAGTATAATAACCCTAACCCTTCAAAACAATAGATGGAATGTTTCCAGAAGAATTAACCCTCTGGAGGCAGGCATTGCAGATTTGCAACATTAAAACCTACCTACCTGGGTACTCCACATATTATTATCATTATTATTATTATTATTATTATTATTATTATTATTATTATTATTATTATATACACAAATTTCATGAGTATTTTTTTTTACTTAGAAGTACCCCTGAAGGACTTTGTTGTTCGTCCTTTTATGAAAACTCATTTTGAGCCTAATTGGGTTAAAGAAGTATTGAAGTTAAAGTCAGCAGACCTTATAGCAGAGAGGAACAGCTGCACTGGTCCGTGGTGCAAAATCGAGCAGTTTTACAAGAAATAATTTAAATTACCAAGAAAATTAAGTAATGAAGTGAAACAGGCAGTTTTACAGCTAATCAAAGGTTTAAGGCCACGCCTCCAAAAAATTATGTAAACCTTCTGAAAACAACAATGAAAGTTCTAAACATGAACTCCGTGATGAGTGACTCCACTGTTACTGTTGATCACTTCAAAAATTTGTTGTGGCATCCTTGATACAAGCGTCTTCATGAATGGTGAAGACAGCCGCACTAAAGCCATCCATCCAGAGAGGGCCCTCAGTCAGAAGGGGTGCTCTCTTCAACACCTGGACATAGCCAGCTGCCGTTTGACACCCCTGTGGCTCCTGAAGCATCATAGTTCCACTGCAGATTAAAGTCTCAGTTTATGTGTTTAAATGTTTCAGATCAGCAACACATTTCACTACCAGACAGAAACCCTTAGCAAAAATAAAATGCTGTTTAGTTTTCAAGAGATTTCATGTATTCTATAAGAGAAAAATGATCTGTCCAAATCAACCTGGCCCTGTGTGGAAATGTAATGACCCCTACACCTAGCAAGTGGCTGTATCACAACTACGTCTTCTGTCTGTGAGTCTGTGATGAGTTTAAATGTGACAAAAAGCAAAAGTAAAAAGGTGCAAGTTTAACAGCACAGTAAATATCAAACAGGTTTTAATAAACTCACCGATGTTGGGATGCTTCAACAGTCGACAGATCCTGGCTTCTCTCTCCAGCTTCTGATGATCTACAAGGACGTTTAACAAAAACGGTGAGTGGAGAAGTAAATATAAAGAACATGTCTGCGAGGGTTACAGCTGCTCCATGACTTGTTAAAATTTAAAAAAGAAAACAATATCCAGATTTAAGAAACTAAGGCAAGCAAAATGTGTTTTTAAATGAGTAAACATTAGTAAATTGAAAGAATAGCAAGAGAAGGAAACAAGAAGAAGAATAAATCACAAAATTAACTAAAACAGAGACAAAAAGTGAAGCTTTGAGACAATTTGTGTGCTTTTTCAACTACTTTTGTATAAATTCACTTAAAACATTTGGATAGTTATTGAACTGTGGAACTGGGTTCAAATCAGACCTATGCACTTCTTGGGTCAGTTTAAATGTTATTTGAAATTAAATAGAAGTATTAAACAAATGAGGAATCCAGAGGAAAGAAAAGAGAAAAATAAAATAGCTCCGGAAAACTGTCAAGAGACAAGAAAGTAAACAAGAGCAAGAATTTAGGACAAATTAGAGATACACAAAGAAGTGTAAAGGACTGAGGAAAACGATGAAAATAACAAGGTAAGTGAAGGAAACAAAGGAAGGATGCTAATGAAGAAAAAGCAAAAGCAAGGAAACAACACAAGGGGATGTATAAAATCACAGATGGAAGAGAAGAGAGGAAATGGGAGGAAAAGAGAGGAGAGGAGAGGAGAGGAGAGGAGAGGAGAGGAGAGGAGAGGAGAGGAGAGGAGAGGAGAGGAGAGGATTCCTGCAGAGATGTGTGTGATCCCAAAATCTGTTTCTGTCCGAGTGACAGCTGGTCCTGTCCTGCAGCTCTCTCTCTCTCTCTCTCTCTCTCTCTCTCTCTCTCTCTTTCTTTCTCTCTCTCTCTCTCTCTCTCTCTCTCTTCTTTCTCTCTCTCTCTCTCTCTCTCTCTCTCTCTCTCTAACACACTCACACATACACACACACACACACACACACACACACACACACACACACACAGAGAGAGAGAGGATGCAGGACAGAGTGCAGCAGTGGTGTCTTAATAAAGGTGTCATGACTTTACCACATTCCCACTCAGCAGCTCTACAGTGTGCCGTAACGACACCACTGCTGACACCCTCTGAGGCGTTTCCTCAGTGTTTGATGCTAAATCGAGAGTAGAAATAAAGGCAGATGCTGCCTCATTGCAGTTTTATGTAAAAAAGATCTATAATCTAAAATAAGACTGGACATGAATTAAAGTAGCCTACTCTTTGAGTCACCTGTCAAACATAAATGTAGCAGACCAACAGAAACTCCTAACTTCCTGTAGGCATTTGTTAGAGGAAACAATGCTTTAAAGCTCTGAAGCTTCAGCTATGATCTGCCTCTTTGTGAGGAACAGATGCAATGGTTTAACACGCTGGAATCAAGCAAGCGCTAAAGTATGCTCATGTGAGCTCTCAGATTTGGGACACAGAATGATGAGATGATTCTTTGGAAACACGCGTTCCTCGTGAGTTCTGTGACTCTCTTTTTCCTCACCTCTGGCCGAGAGCTTCTTGGTGTTGATTATTTTGGCGGCGTACTCCTGGCCTGTGCACAGTTTGACACAGCGGCGCACCACTGAAAAAGCCCCCCTGGGAAACACAAGACAGGAGAAAGGAGGAGAAGACGGGTCAGCTGCTACAAACTGCTTCGTCAGCATCAAAACAGGCAACTCAGCTACAAGAGGGAGTGACCTTAGGACTCCTTCGATCGACACGCCTGATCAGGAACTGAATGAAGGCTTGCAGCTCACTCTGAGCAGTCAGAAAATTTTGTTTTTTTTAGTAATTGTTGACTTAGTGCTATCCCCAGAGTTTTATGCGATAGCCATGCAAAGATCACTTGGTAGAACTGTTGCATCACAGTACACAGGTTGCAAGTTCTAATCCTGGCTGTGGCTGCAGCCTTTCTGCATGGAGTTAGCATGTTGTCCCCAAGCATGTGTGGGTTTTCTCCTGGTACGGTTTCCTCCCACAAACCAAAATATGCATGTCAGGTAACTTGTAAGTCTCTTTGGACAAAGGCAGCTGGCAAATGAACAAACACAAACGTAATACCATATCACTGCTGTTTTTGACTGCACCCTTAAATCCACCTCAGCCACAAAACCAGAGTACTCTGGCCAGAAATGGAGCCAGTTGGTGAGGACATGATTCTTCCAAGTTCATGGCCAGCTATGTGGAGGAGAAGAGATGAAGTGATCCCCTTTCTGAGGAACCCATCTTGCCATTAAACTACCATGTCCATGCCATGTTGCAAGACCAGGCTGTGGCCTCCCAAATCCAGGCTCTCTGTTACATGAGGCGAGCCTGTGAGTCCAAGAGGAGCCTAAAAGACACTCAGCCCACCTTCTTGAGTCTGAGCTTCCCACCTTCACTTCCAGTATGGTGTACATTTTAGAACATCTTCAGGTCTCAGGTGTCAGTCTTTAGAACATAGAGAAAAAGCAGACTTCTGACTAAATAGTGTCAGACAAAAAGGTCACCGGAAAAACTCTGTCAGAACTTTGTGTCAGCCCGGTGGGTTTCTGAATGAAACACAACATGTTTTCCTTTATGGTCTGACAGTGCTCCCTGAGACCTGAAGATGTCCTAAAATGTACACCGTATTGCCATCTGCCCCTTGGATCCTGCCTACCATAAAAGCTTGTTATATGAACATTTTCCTGTTAGAACCAAGTCACAAAGCTTTCCTCCTCTTTCCACTTCCTCAAAACCTGATTCTCCTTTTTAGTCTCCAATCAGTATCAGCTTGTAGCTTCACTGGTTTCCAACTGTCCCTAAAATGGTCTCAGATTTCCTGCATTCTGACTCCAGATCTCCAAACATTATCAACGACCTTTTTTGAGACACAATTTCAAGCTTTTTCAACAGGCTTGTGTGGCGAGACCAAGGTCCTGAGAGAGATTTTAAAGAAGCAGAAAACTTATTTAATCAATACTTTTGCAGTGGTCTCTAGTAGGAATGAATGCCTTGTTCGTCGGGGGTGTATACAATCGGAACTAGTAGTGAGCCACATCACAGCTGAGCTTCAGATGGCAGGTTTGTTTTTCTGATGTTTGGAGATCACGATCCAGGTTGGAAACAGCAACGAGGCTCTACCACTGACTTGCAATACTAAATGTTTTATCTCCTCAAATAATACAAGCCTGGAAGAGCTTCTGCTGTGTGGTGGTGTTGCTAATTCTAGCGGTTAGCTTAAACTAGTTGAGATGTCCGCTGCTGATATCTGTACGTTGAAACAACAACAGCCTTCCCCGTCGAGGGTCAAGATCAGTGAGTCCACGAATGTTAAGGGACAGTGTGACGTAGATCTGTTGGGATTTTCTAATCCGAGAGTTTCACCATTTATTTTCAATCAGAATCTATGCAGGAGATAGGTGTAGGAGACTATTTCATGATCCTGCATGAAAAACTCAGAGTGACTGATTACAATCAGAAAACAACACCTTTAAAGAAAGTTTAGAAACTGTCTTATGAATGTGGTTCCCAGCTTGTCTCCAGCAGTCACCGCCCACTGAGAATCTGGCCAAAGCAAACATATTAATACTCAAGCGGGTCACAACCCCTTAGCCGAAAGAAAAATGACATTTTGGACCCAACAAGTCTCTAAAACAGGAACGTTTTGTGTCATTCGGCCTCAGCATGTTCAGGGTCACAGGATCTCTGGAGGTTATTCCAGCTGTTACTGGGTGAGAGGCAGGGTGGACAGATGGCTAGTCCATCACAGAGCCAGCATAAAGACACAACCAGAGGAGAATCCAAGGAAAACTCACGCAGAAACGTCTGTAGGGAGCATCCTCCAGTATTTAGTCTCTGTTACCAGAACCAGAACTTATCTTCTATCTCAAATGTTGTAAAGATTCCGTTTGCTGTTTGTTTAACTCCCATTTCTGATTATGATCATTTCACTAAACTACTAACTCAATCTCATTTGTGGATGAAGCTTTATGTTTCTATAACATAAGAACTGAACTAAGGTAGCTATAGAAAACCGACTTGCACAGATTTTAGCAGCAAACTTGATCTCCTAGCGTCCGACACGTTTTCGTTTTGCAGGCTTGTGGAGACAGGAGTCAATATTGCACATCAAAAAGTTTGCAGGCATCGGTTGAGTTTGCGCATATCAAGTATCTGGAGGTGCAGGTTATTATGAAAGTCTTTAACCTTTTGGGCGACTAGAGTGATGCATCAACCAAGAATAGATTAGTATTGTATTTTGAGCATTTGGCTGTTTTTAGAACCACATTTGGACACCAAACCCCTGCAGAGACCAACAGAAATAACCACCTTTGCCATACCTTAGAGCTAATTTTATCTCACCTCAGCTTTGTCATGTAATGAAATACTCACACACTCGTCTCAGGTACCCATCCTCTCACACCCGCTCTAACTCACACACATTATGAGGAGACAGTGCGAGACTGCATGACTCTCCCTGGCGTCCCACAGCGTGGTGGAAAAGGCAGCAGAGCCTCAACATGACAGGCTGTCTGCAGGGCAGGTGCAAGCCAGGAGGGGGGTTAGATCTGGATCCAAAACCTGGATTAGCTGATCTCAGAGCCACACATCACTAATCTAATCCTCTCTAAATGTAAACGCAACACTTTCAGGTCACAAAATGCTTTAAATTGACTTTTAAAAAGCCTTTGGCATCATGTCAGTTTTTTCTGGTTTTCCTCTTCTTGGCCTTTTACTAGCTGGAGCAACAATTCACTCAACAACCTCCTCCTGAATCAATACCACGTTTCTGTTTCTGGATTGGAAGGTGTAGTTGGCAAAAGTAAGATTATACAAGTTGAAGACCAATGAAAGACAGTCATTCAGAGAAAAATAACATTTATAATTGTAAAGCTCATCTGTGAAGCACGGAGGTAGATGTATTGTGATTAGCTGTTGCTTCTTTGGATCAGGGACATGCTGGTAAGCATTTTGGAATCTGAACAATGTTTAAATCGGCACAATGGGATTTCAGAGTTTATGATTGAATAGAAGCTTTCATATTTTTCTAAGTGAGGTTGTGTGGAAGTCATCTTACTTATGGCTCTTGAAACAGCGGGATTTAGGAGGAATACAGATTCCTTCTGACAGCGCTGACGAGGGAACAGAATAACAAAGCTTTTATCTTACTACTTGCTGCATTTTCTTATAGAATTCGCTTTTCTAATAGTTTATTTTGGTTATTAGATGCCTAAAAACACCATCGTTGATCCTTTTACGAAAGTGAAAGAGGTTGTTTAAACAAAAAGTAACTTTTAAAGGTAACTGCGGTGCATGTTTCCTCTTATGCACCAAGTGTAAGCTCCATAAATACGTACATAAAAAACTCTTTGTCCCAGATCAAGTATCAATATATTTTGAGCTGAGTCACTTTTCCCTATTTGATATGGGACAGCAGTAGCTAAGGTGGTAGAGCAGGTTGTCCAGTAATCGGAAGGTTGCAAGTTCAATCCCAGCTCCAACCAGCCTGCTGGTGGTGGTCGGAGGGACCGGTGGCGCCAGTGTTTGGCAGGCCTCGCCTCTGTCAGTGCGCCCCAGAGCAGCTGTGGCTACATCGTAGCTCATCCCCACCAGCGTGTGAATGGGTGAATGACTGTTGGGAAGTGCCTTGGGGGTGTTAGAACCCTAAGAAGGTGCTATACAAATGCAGGTCATGTTTCATTTTTAGAATTATATGAAATGTGTGTGTGTGTGTGTGTGTGTGTGTGTGTGTGTGTGTGTGTGTGTGTGTGTGTGTGTGTGTGTGTGTGTGTGTGTGTGTGTGTGTGTGTGTGTGTGTGTGTGTGTGTGTGTGTGTGTGTGTGTGTGTGTGTGTGTGTGTGTGTGTGTGTGTGTGTGTGTCACATCTTCCTCACATAAACCAAACAGAAATCTGTTATCAGCAGGGACAGCTGCAGCTGCTTATTCAGGACTTTTGTCTCAAACTTCCCACATAACACCACACAGCGCAGCAGTGAGGAGGAAAATGAACATTTAGGGCTCCAGACTGAGATAACCCTGCAGTCCTCCACTTGTGTCTTCCCCCCTCTCTCTAACTGGCTGTGGAACAAATGTTCCTGTGAGGCAGACATTGCAGAGAGATCCTCTCTACCCACGCACAGCCTGACAGAGAAACTCAGGGCACTTTGCATCTACCCACTGAAGCGCCCATAACCTCTTCAGTCTCTCTCAGTTTGTCTGCATCCCATAATGGCACAAACTCACCTTTTCTCCTGATTTTATCCACCAAACACACCTCAGCAGATCCATCATCGGCATCAGCATCCCTCTCTGATGAGGGGGGCCTCAGTCCAACACATCAAAGCTCTTTCCTCACTGTAGGACTGTTTGTTCCCTAATTAGCCTTTGAGTATTGGTGAGTGATGGAGAGGAGGGGAAGAAGGAGGCAGGAGGGGATGCCCAAGACTCATGGCCCTCTAGTCTTAATCCAAACGCTGCCAAATCTGCACAGAGTGACATGTGCAGCTAAAGAAGTGGAGCTGGTGTTGGTTCTGAAGTCCAGCAGCCCTCGACCCCCCCCCCCCCCCCGATCCGGTCGGACTGGGTCATGCAGATAAACAACATCAGACTTACTTGCCCAGCTCCTCGTACAGCTGGTATTCATCAGTGAAGCGGGTACAAGTAGTAGTTGCCATGATGCCTCGTTCCTTGTGTCTGTGTGTGTAAAGTGTGTGTGTGTGTGTGTGTGTGAGAGAGAGAGAGAGAGAGAGAGAGAGAGAGAGAGAGAGAGAGAGAGAGAGAGAGAGAGAGAGAGAGAGAGAGAGAGAGAGAGAGAGAGAGAGAGAGAGAGAGAGAGGAAGGGTAGTCCGATCCTCAGGCTTCTGTCTCCGCCCACCTCAGACCTCCTCCGGACGGCTGAGTGGTTCCGCAGCCCGCTCACAGATGCTCGGGTCCGGTTACCGGCTCCGACTGAAGTGCGCGCTCTCTGCTCCGCAAGGAGAGGAGGACGGATTCTTATACCACACAGGGTGGTAATGTGTGAGCTCAGCGCATGACGTGTCCCGTAGAGGATGGGAAAAGAAAAGAGTTATTCAAATGGATAAATGAGATTAGATGATGATGGCGGCGGCGGCGCGCGGGGGGGGGGGGGGGGGGGGGGGGGGGGGGGGTCTCCTTATAATAAACCTTGACGCTCAGAGCGGCTCTTCATCACTGTGATGAGCTGCTGCATGAATCTATTTATAGGCCCCAGTGAGGAAACCCTCCATATCCTCCAGTGTCCCCTTTACAGAATCTGCATTTGTTAGCAGATAATGTCAAAGTTTATTTGAGAGAGCTGGATCAACCAGTTGTTTTACTTTACTGTTGGTGGTAAATGCTGAGCTACAGAGAGTAGACAGTTAAAGGAGTTTTGCTCTCACATTCAGCCTTGGAGAGGGTGAGGAGGAGCTGACAGACTAAAGCTGCTCCTCCTCCTCATTGACAGGAGTCAGCTGAGGTGGTCTGAGACAGATCTACTGGGTCCATCTCATATCCTTATAATTAACCTTACAGGCTGTCATTAAAGTGACAGTGTGTACTTGTCCTGGCGATAGGGGGCAGTAGATATCTAAATCGTTGCAAGCAAGCAGTATTTTTGTGTTGGAGTAAGACCTTACCAACAGATGACCATTAGGGTCAAAAAGCAGTGCAACCTTTAGCAAAATAACAAGCACATCAGACTCCTTTTCATCACTGGCAACAAATGGAGAGGTAAATATATAAAACAACATTTAACAATGATGAAAGTTTTGTAACCATTTGTTACAAATCAGTAAATGCATTTTGTCCTCATGGGCTCCCGTAGATGGAAACATGGCAACTAATGTGGCATCGCCCTGGGACTTAGACCTGCTCCCATGTATTTTAGACCAAATTTTTATGGTTATACGAAGCCGCCAATAATTTTCAACATCTGAGCATCATTTCGTTCATTTTCAACATTTTGATGGATATTTCCAGAATTTATTGGTAAAAAAGAAAACTACACATTGTCTCTTAAAAGGATGTCAGTTTTTTTCTGACATTATCTGTTTCGATTTTGTGGAACATTATCTTTTAAATACTTTAAATGTATTGTTAAATAGTTTTAAAGTGCTGCTGTGGATCATGTTGTTGCTGTTGTTGACTTTATTTCAGTGAGGAGGTTCAACAATGCCTAACATTTGTCCCTCCATTGAAAATTGAGAACCTGAGGCTGACCAGCCAGCCCCATACTTCTACATGCATGTTATAGTTCTCTGCGCAGAATTAAACAGAGGACGAGTGTGGCAGGCCAGGCTAACCCAGGACACAGATCTGTACTTGAAACACTGTGGCATCCTTAATAAAATATAATCCCTTACTAAGTGTTGCCACAAAATAATATGGCTAAGCAAATTTGTTTATTTAGAGAAAAAGATGGTAAAAAAAAGTGCATTTCTATTAGTTCATAGAAGGTGCACTTCTGGAATGATGCAGAAATAAGTCATTAGGTCACTTGTCTTTATGTAATCAGCATAGATATGAAGTTGCATTGTTGCAATAGACTTTAATTTTGAAAATAACCTGCGAATTCACACCAAAGCTGTGTGTGATTTCCTGTCTAGCCTAACTGCTGAAACGGTCGTGTCCCAGAGATGGCTCGTGGCAAAAATAGAACCTGATCCTGCCTTTAGCCGCTTCTGGGACGCATCTGAAAATTATGTCTCGCAGCTGGTTTGAATCACCCCTATACTTTACGGATTCTGTTTGGAACATGTGACATTCCACTGCCATTCCGCGCCGCTTGATAGTTTTATATCTAACATGTTTGATTAGACACTACAAACGTCTGCTGGTAAAATGTTGTCACTAAAATACTTATTAGATGCTTTCTTATGGGATGCATTGTGTTCTCGGTGTAGAACAGAGGACGAGTCTGGCTGGCCAGGGTAGGACCTCTAGATTTCTAGGCTAGAAAAAAACCCTAAATTCTACATTGAGTGTAATTTCAGTAAGCGGCCGCCAGACGGCGTGCCACGTGTTTGTACTGTAGCTCTGCTCATAGGCCCTGCTTTAGCTTGTAAATTTCAATCTTGTTAGAGTTTTATTAGTTACATAGTTTGTATAAGTGAAGAGGTCCTGGCTTTCCTGTTATCTAAATGAATTATGCTGTCAGCGCTAATTTATGAACCTTGGATATTTGAAAGGGGTATGTTTTATTTTGAAAGAATTTACAGGTAATTTACGCTGCAGAAACAGATTCCCTTCACCAGGGGGCTAAAGGATTGAGTCCATCAAGTTGACCTAAATGCTACACTTAATGCTTAACAGAGTATGCTGCCAAAGATCAAGTCAAATGACTAATTACGAGTCCAAAAATCAAGCATGCACTTATATAAACTAAATAACGTAATAAACTAAAATTAAAACACCAAATGCATTTTTTTATTTTTAGGTGTGTTTGGTTTAGTTTATTTCAATAGTTTATATATTTATTGTTAATTCAAAATGCATTTATTCTTTTTAAAAACATTCCAGTGTCTTTTTATTACATGTAGTTGGGCATCTATGTTGGTCTTGAAATATCTAATAGTTTTATTTCTGAAATGTTTCATTAGAAATTGCAAATTGTAAAACTTTAACATGAAATTGATTAGAAATTGAGATTTGATTCATTTAATCTTTTGCATACTTCCCTTGTTTTGAAATGTTTGTGTACAAATCGCATCATATTATATTCTCTGCCAATTAAGGTGAAAAAAAATTGAATATTGTCAGAAGTAAATTTATGTCAGTAATTTTAACACTTAATTTTCCATTTTGATTATGAAATTATTTTTGAATTTGAGTTCATCTTCAAACGTGAAACTAGAGACTCATTCCATGCAAAGCCAAATATTTCATCCTTTTATATCTTATAACTGAGATTATTATATTTTACAGCTTGAGAAAACCTCACATTCAAAATCTCAGTTATATTATAAAAAGGTTTAATATTCTAGAATCAAAGTGTCACACTCTAATCAGCTAATGTACCCAGAACACCTGCAGAGGGTTCCTGAGCCTTTAGATGGTCTCTCAGTCTAAGTTGAATCACTGAAATACTTTAATCTGTTAGTCTCTTAGAAAACATGAGGTTGTTTATTTTGTACAGAATTTGAATGAAATGGAAGTAAACAATTGACTGGCAAACTGTGCTGGGTGTACCCCGCCTGCTTGCCCAGAGCCTCCTAAAGCTCAGGAGGTAGACTGGGTTGTCCAGTAATAAGAAGGTTGCAGGTTCAATCCCGGCTCCAACCAGAGAATTCTGCTGTTGTGTCCTTGGGCAAGACACTTAACCCACCTTGCCTGCAGGTGGTGGTCGGAGGGACCGGCAGTGGCGCCAGCATTCGGCAGGCCTCGTCTTTGTCAGTGCACCAAGGGCATCCATCCGTGGCAACATCATAGCTCATCACCACTAGCGTGTGAATGACTGATTGTATTGTAAAGCACCTTGGGGGGTTGTAGAATCCTAAGAAGGTGCTATACAAATACTGGCCATTTATCATAACTCTAGACTACCCAACATTAAGCCATGTTGTTCATTCCACATGATCCTTACAATAACCTCATTAGGTTAGAAAAACAAATTTGATTTTTACTGCCTTTAAAAAACTCTGGGGCTATAAACATATGGAAGTTGCACGCACCTTTACTAAAGAAAAGTGTATGATCTATTGATTCGTGGCTTTATTAATCACTAACAAATTTAAACTCATTGGTCTTTAAAATGCCACCATCGCAGCACAGGATGACTATTTATTATTCTGTGGTTCATAAGATTAAAACATGTTAAAATCTGGGTTTTAGTATGATGTAGTGAGAGTGGATGTGACAGGATGAGTCTTTATTCTCGTCTCAGAAGGCATCACATCATGGTCAAACACTCGTTTTGATAGAGCAGGTTTTGTTCAGACTCTAGAAAACATGATACAAAGACTCTTCATCATCAGCATGACAATAAATCACTTTTATCGTCTAACAGAATCTCGTTTCCCCAGAGTCAAAAGTCCAGTAGTAAATTTCATCTAACTGCTTTTGTATCAGCATCAATAACAAAGTAAAAAAAGAGGTTTAAATAGTTGAACAGGGTTTGTGTCTAACATGAAATAAAAAGAAAATGTCATCCACACAAACAGCAGCTGAGACTGCTTCCCTCTGATGCACGGGTCCGTTTTCTCTGCAGCCACTGTTTACTTAGACTAACGTTCAGATGTAGTTTTGGTGAATTTCAGTAACTTTGGTTGTTTTTTTTCTATAAACTGGACAGAACTAAACATTTGAATGATCATGAACACAAATAAAGAACAAATCTAACTCCAAAACACAGCAGAGTGCTTAAATAAAGAGTAAACAGTGAAGAAGCACGTTGATTCGTTAAGAACACCAAATCTGTGTGTGACATCACGGAGCCTCCCTCCCAGACTTCCTAACCCACGAACCTAAAGTTGCACCGTCCCAGATAAACGTGGACTTTCCAGCGCCGTGTTCCAGAAATAACCTCGGGTCAGTTCCCCTCAGGCTGAATTTGAGCTGCGACTCAGAACTGCACCGCACTGGGCGGGATGTCAAACATGGACGGGTCAAACTCCTGCCCTTTGAAAGGAGAGCCTTCAGCATCCCAGCCCTTCTTCAGCATCTCATGCACTTTCTGTGAACAAACATGAAAACAACTGGGTGAAATATGCACCAAACATTACAAACAAGCGTGTTTCCCCAGACTAAAGCAGTCCTTCTTTAGGTTTGTTTTACATCACCTGGGTTATTTTACCTGAGTGTTGCATTTCCACAGTATATTTTATATCAAATTCGATGTTAAAGTGTTTGTTTGTTTGTTTTGTAATTTTCAATGACAAGTGACTGGTTTAAAGTGTGTCTCCAGAGGTCTGTGTGGCCAGCAGGGGGCGATAATGGCTACAGAAAACAAGACCAGCAGAGTAGTGGCAGCAAACCATAAAGAGAAGTAGAAAGATAACAACATAAAAGATGCTTAACCAGATGAATGTGTGTGTTTACATGATGAACTGGTTCCTCACCATTTCATGACTCTGAGGTTTTCCCTGCAGCTTCTGGTGGTAGTCAAATGTGAGTCTGTCCAGAACGGCGTGCTCTTCCTCATCCACCGAAGCCATCGTGCGCTCCCGGTTAATCTGGTTGATGTCAATCTCCTTCTCTCCTTTCAGAACAGCGTTCCACCAAACCTCAGAGGTCTTGTTGAGTGACAGCTGCAAGTCAGAAGCATCATATCTGTGTTGTATTTATAAAATCTCTTTGTATTAATCTGAATGACAGCTAGGGGACTCACCAGCACACAGCTCCCTGGCTCCAGACTCCACAGAGAGTTTTCAGTGTTGATCTTGTGAGTGAATTCTCCCTCCATCAATGTCCTCTCCTCTGCCCCGTCCCTCACACACACTCTCACACTACCGCTCTGCAGACTCACACTGACCTGAGGAAGGAGAGAGACACACCTGCAGTCAGCAGACAGACAATGGGAGGAGCTCTGGAGGTGGAACACTCCACGCTCACCTGTTTGCCCTTCACTACCGCTTTGGGCACAAACACTCTGACCTCCACGTCCGTGTAGTCCTGAGACCAGCTGTAGTTTTCTCTCACCGCTCCATTGTAGCTGTCGGAGTCCAGCTGAGACGTCTTCTTACTCCTGAAACATAGTTGTACGTGCTAGGAATCAAAGCTGAAATAAACTTAAAACATTCTTCTTCTTTTTTTTTTTTTACTGCATCCGACACTTTTTTGCCTGTTTTATAACTACAAAGATGATTTTAACTATAGTTTATGCATTTTAAGTAAACTGTGTAAAACACACCGAAGAAAATACTTCATGAATCAATCAAAGTTCCAGATCATGCTGTTTTAAATTTCTGCGAGCAAAGATAGAAACAATAAATGATCCAATATTACTGTCATTAATCTTAAATAGGAGTTATTTTTGTCAGCCTGAATTTAGAAGAAGATGATCTTTTATATAGTGCTTCTCAAGATAAAAATACCAAGGCACCTCACAAAAACAAAAAATTGAAGTATAAAAATATTTAAAAAATTTTTTAAAATCTGTTTAAAAGGAGAAAAGAACAAAAAATGTTAGGAAAGAGAGAAATCAATGGATCCCGGGAAAGGCGGAATAAAGAACAGAACAAGGAGAGGGTGATGAAGGTCACACAAAAGCCAGCCTGAACAGGTGAGTTTTCAGCTGCATTTTAAAGGAGACCACTGAGTCCACTGATCTCAGGCTCAGGGGACGAGAGTTCCAGAGTCTGGGGGCCACAGCAGCAGATGATCTGTCACCTTTGGTCTTTAGCCTGGTGCTGCACAACCAGTAGGCTTTGATCACTGGACCTCAGGGACCTGCTGGGGGTGTAGGGACTAAGAAGATCACCAATGTAAGATGGTGCTTGTCCATGTAAGGCCCTAAAGACCAGAACAAGGATCTTGAAATGAACCCTGAAGTTGCCTGGCAGCCAGTGAAGCTGGAGGAGAAGCGGGGTGATGTGGGTGTATTTGGAGGACTTGGTCAGAAGCCGAGCACAGGCATTCTGAACCACGTGTAGACGGTTCAGGGAGGTTCTGCTCAGACACGCGAAAAGAGAGTTACAGTGGTCTAAGCGTGAGGAGATGAAGGTGTGAATAACGAAGCCCAGAGGTCTAAACAGCATGCCAGGGTGAATAAAAGCGATTTTCAGGAGGATTAATGTTCGACAACAGAATTTTATGCAAGACTATTCCACACCACAGAGCATGTGGGGGTCAATATGAAAACAGTGGAGGTGTTTCCTTTCATGAGCAGCAGACACGGCTGTTGCGGTCTGGTGTCATTCTACCACTTTTTAAACCAAACACACGAGTTAAACCTTTAGAAGAGGCAGACGCGCTTGTTGCCACAACTAAACTAAAACAAATGTTACAAACTGAGATTTGACACAATGGTTTTAATGAGAGACTATTTTTGATAATTATACTGAATTTGAAATACAAGTTTGATGAACTGCAGTCAGCTGTAGAGACTAAACACAATTAAAACATTTTCTACCCATAAACAAGCAGGAATAGTGTGAAAAAGTTGCTATAAAATTGCACATTTTTCTATAGAGCTCATTCACCAGAGAGATGTAGGCACTGAGTCTGTAGGAAGCTGATCTGAACAAAAGGAGACAGAAAGACAGATAGTTACTCACTCCTCAGCTGTGCGGCCTGCAGCAGCCTGGTCCTCTTGAACTGCTGCTTCGCCGCTGCCCTGAGGTCCAACAGACTTATCTGGGCCTACAGCAACACAACCTTCCCCAGTTCCCGAGTGGAAGTCGTCCGTCTGCGATGGCTCTGTGCTGCTCTGCTCCTTCATCTCCTCAGGGGACTCACAGGTGACCTCCAGCTCCTGGACCACCAGAGGAGCACGTTTACTCTCCTCCCTCTTCTGCTGTTCACTAAGCATTCTCTCCCGGTCGTGATCCGCCAGCTTCTCAAACAACTTAAACGTCTGATGAGACAACAAAAGCATCACAGGAGTTAAGATGACAGGATGAGAAGAACAGCCGAGTCAGGGATTAAAACCCAGAACAACTCTTGATATTCGTCTATAACAAATAGTATGGATACACTCACATATAGGCCCTAATTTCAATAGGTTTGAGAACTTATTTGCTGGTATCTGTTTGTTGATAAATGTGACGTTATTGATCTATTGCATCGTATGTGAAAAGCATTACAGGTGTTTTTAACACAAAGCTGCTTTCTTTACATGTTGTCAATTGCTTTTATGCAAATTAGCTTCTAAATACCGGCATATAAAAATACATGAATGCTGCTGTGCTTGTGCAGCTTTAATAAAATGGGGTTTAGGCTGTAATATTTGTGTTAAAACACTTATTTTAGGCGATCTTCTCCCGAGGTATCCTTGCTCTTAGCTGTAACATGTGTGTTTTGTTGCATAATAAGCTTTCTAAGGTCTTAAAAATCTGGTTAACGTCTCAGACGAAGAACAGATACAGCAGGGGTGTCAAACTCATTTTAGCTCAGGGGCCACTCTGAGGGAAATCTAGTCCCAAGTGGGCCAGACCGGTAAGTTAAAAACAACTTCAGATTGTTTTCTTTGTTTTAATACAATCAATATAAAACAAGGCTGGAGTCTGAGCACAGTGTATCCAAAATAGTAAATACAACATCTGAAGTGTACTTGAAAATTTGAAAAAAAAAAAATAAAAAAAAAAATAAATTAATTAAAGAAAACATTCCTTAGTGATTCAAAGAACTTACAAATCACATGGCTAGATAGGGCTGGGCGATATGGCAAAAATAGAATATCACGATTTTTCCAATATTTTATCACGATTTCGATTTTATCACGATTTTTTATCCATGAATAGCATAACTTCAATTGCGTATTAAAGAAGAGAAACATTGAATAAATAAACATTTATTCATATTAGGGATAATCAGCACAGTGCTAACACACTTATATTTTAAACTCACACCAGAGATGATAAAAGCCCTGAGAGAAACAATTACAAAAATCAGTTTTTCTCGTTTTTCAAGTAACTTAACATAAATTAAAATCGTAAACATATTTAAAGTGCAAACATGTCAATTGCAAACGTATTGTGCAAACATTAACTTGTTCAAAATACTATGTAGCTCCCAGTTGCTCATGTAGTGGATAGTTAAGCTCAAATACGGCTCTGATGTGCGGCTGGACCAGAGATCGCTTGTGGTAGCAAATAACTGCGCATTCTGAATATTTTCTGCAACAAGTCTCTAAATAAAGTAAAATTTTCCAGTGCAGATTGGAGACAACCCATAGAAGCACTGATTTGATCTCATTTCAGAGAAAAATAGAACAGGTCAGATGCACCTAATATATAAAATTACTAACAAACTCAGGAATCTTTCTTTGCTTGACTGTTCTGGTGCTGAAAACATCACTAATGTGGATCAAAGGAGATACACAGATGAATGCACCTCTTATTATTTGGAGACTACATTTACTGCAGCTGGCAGAGGCAGAGATTGTTTCTATTGATACACGGAGTTTACAGAATCATTTTAAATTGTAATAGGGGAAGACTGCAGGAGGGAGCGGTAAAACACAGGGGGTCCCCAGCAAAAACAAGAAACTACGAGTCTGATGAAACCCGCTGGTTTTCCATCAGGCAGTCACGGGGCAGCTCCAGCGACCCAGTGACCGAGCTCAGTCCGGTGTCGGTACAGTATCTGCTCGGGTGCAAGATCGGCTCGGGGTCCTTCGACTGCCGATGACGTCAAAGTACGGCAAACCGACTCGGACAAAATACACTACACGTCTATACTGTTGGAAAGAATTTAGCACTTTCGTTATTAAAATAACGTTTCTTAAGATGTAAGTTTGTGTTTATAATGGTATTGTAAAATAAAACACTATATCTTATTCATAATGTTGAACTCCTCTTTGAGCACATCCCTTGAAGAATCATAGGTATTAGCAACACCTGTGAAATTTGCAGGAAAGAAGTGTGTCCCGTTTATTTAAGTATTTTGTGTTTAGAGTTTTTGACATCTTGTCATAGACTGTAGCTGCTAGCCAAAACTCTGGAGTTAAAAGTTTTCTGGCTTTACTAAAAAACCTGTCTGTACTTATTTGATTGATGGTATTTTTACTTTCTATTAGACTCCAAATGTAATCATTTGGCACGTTTGTAATTCATTATTTGCAATAATGTAATCGGCGATATTAGCATTAGCATTCCTATGGGTTTTTCCATGTATATTAGCATTGCGCTAACCACTCGCTGCCAAATTGCAGCCTTTGAGATTAGAAAATCTCCTGGCTTTACTAAAATACCTGTCTGTACTTATTTGATTGATGGTATTTTTACTTTCTATTAGACTCCAAATGTAATTATTTGGCACGTTTCTAATTCATAATTTGTAATAATGTAATCTGCGATATTAGCATTAGCATTCCTATGGGTTTTTCCATGTATATTAGCATTGCGCTAACCACTCGCTGCCAAATTGCAGCCTTTGCCATTAGAAAATCTTCTTTTGTCACATCGCAATTTCATTGCACATGCAGTTAATCGTTCAGCCCTATTATACTTGCAGCTCTATGCTAAAAGTGTATTTTCAAAGAGGTAATGATGGATTTCTTTGTAAAAGTTGTCCATCTTTCCAATAGAAAAAAATTTGCCTGGACCAACGTCACGTGATAACAACGTTACGTGATTACGTAATTCCGTAAGGTCATGTTCAGCCAATCAACTACTTAGACGTCATCGGCAGTCGACGGACCCGAGCCGATCTTGCACCCGAGCAGATCTTGTACCGACACCGGTACCGACACCGGCTCGGCAGAGGGTGGACGAGCCGAGGTGACGTCGTGCTCTGCTTAAGAAGCGGTGTTATTTTCCTGCTCCAGAAGAAGCGTCCAACGTGTTTTTACGCTTTCTCCGAGACATGTCACGTCACTAAGTTGTTAGCGCCGCGTGCTAAGGAAACCCTGCGTTCCTCTTCGGAACGAAAACCTCGTTGTCGCTCAGCCGCGGCGAAGCCATGTTTGTTCGCACACAAATGAAAACAAGCGGGGCACTAATATATTACTATGACTCACTCTGATTGGTTAAGGGTCAAACAAAGGTGTGTCATTCGCCTGGGGTAAGTTCCCTTTTGATTCAGAGGCAGAAATTCAACAGCAGAGCTGTGAATCGTGATAAAACGGTCTCTCAAAAATGACAGACCGTCAGATGTGTAGATAGTAAAACGGTCTACAATCGTCATATCGCCCAGCCCTATGGCTAGATCAGTTTCATGCAGCACTTCAAATATATTTGACTCATTTTACTTTACATCTTTTAGCTTTCACCAGCACATCAGTATCAGAAGTCACATCCTGAGTGGCAGCCAACTTCAGGATGTGATTCAAGTTCTGGTGTGAGCCTTGAGCGCAGCTTTGTTTTATTTATACTCATTACAGAGAAAACTTGCTCACAAGTTCACTCTACCATTGTAAGGTATGAACATAAAGTTTACACAACCATCTCGCGGGCCGGATTTAACCTGCTTGCGGGCCGGATCCAGCCCGCGGGCCGCGTGTTTGACACCCCTGAGATACAGACTCGGGCTGTGCTGCGGTAGCACACGGGTTGCTGAGGTCACTTGAACAAGCTTTCAGGTCAACCAAAGCAAGAGCCGTGTCCCCGTCTACAGCGACAAGTCAAAAGCACATTCATGATGCTGGTTGGAGGGCCTCAGAGTTGGTCGTCGCTAGTCCTGTTGGGGATGTTCATGAACAGAACCTCAGAATGTCATCATGGACAAGAGGATGTCCAGTTTAGGAACGTCAAGATTTCATCTCTGCTTTCTGCAGAGGATGTAGTGTAGGTGTTGGCTTCATGCAAAGACCTTAAACATGCACTGGGATGGTTTAAAGCGGAGTGTGAAGCAGCCAGATTGAGTCAGGTCCTCCAGGTTGGGAGGGAGTCTCTTCCTCAGGCTCAGGCATCCTGGAGTCTTGCTTGTAAGAGGCGGTGGGACAGAGGACGAGGTGGTCCAACGGTTAAGGGCTTTTTCTGTTGAGACATGGCTGCTGTGTCAGCATGTCGTGGTAAAGAATAAGCTGCTGAGCCAAAAGAAAAATATTTCAATTTAATGGTCTGTTTATGTTCCAACTCTCAGCTATGGTCACAATATTTGCTCAGCCTTAAGAGATAAGGAAATGATCTCCATCACCCAGGGGGAAGTCAAAGACCTGGGGCTTCTTCATACCTAAACGAGTCAGCCAAAGTGATGTGGGTACCTGACTGGCTCCTGGGAGGTTTTCCAGATAAGTCCCACAGAGAGGAGAATTCTGGACAGACCCAGAACGTGATAAATGGTTATTTGGATAAAAGGTAGAAAATAGAAAGATGGATGCATCTTTTAACTTTTCGTATGGAATATTTTAAAAGAGCTATTAACAAAAGTCTGATAAAATATATAAAACTACAGTTTCAGATGACACATTTAACACTGTGAATGCAGCCTTAGCATATAGAAAACTGAAAATTATCCGTTTTTTTAGGTATGGTGTCCTGGAAGGGACAAACTAAAAATAACTGCATGTGCTTTACACAGCTTTAAAGTGAGGGTTTACAGATCATGTCCTTAGATACTTCTCCATCAACCAGACCGTCATGTGCTGCTGTCCTCTATCCTCCCAGTCTGCCATTATGAACACTTATTCCCCTCCAGTTCTCAGATGGATTTTACTGACATGTTTTATTCGCATGTGATTTAAAGCTAGATGTAGATGTTACTGCTAATATAAAATAGTATGTTGTAACAAATAAGTGATCCATGCAAAAACCTCTCTGATAACCTTTGACCTAAATGCGTTTGAGTCAAAACTTTGTTAAACACAAGATTAGACATTAATTGTCTAATTAGAAAACAATTCTGGTTAACTTTTAATTAAAAAACACATTTTAGAATGCTAAACGAACGCTGAATAATTATTTTTGCCATGTAACAATATAACATGGTATACTGACAGACTATAGCTCACCTTCAGCACCATCTTCTCCGCAACACCTGGGGGGAAGCCCATCCTGTCGCTGGGACCAGACAACAGGCGATAAAAGTCTGTTTTGCGATACAAAAATCCGAAATAAACCTGGAGAAAGTCCTGAACGTTCCCAACGTGCTGAAGGATCCCAAGCAGAGCGTTGTCATACATCTCAGTCATCTGCAGCGGTGACGCCATGGTAGCTTTAAACCTTTTTTAGACTTTACAAAAAAAAAAAAAAAAAAACTATAGTCTTCTGATCAACAGCGAGCGACCAGAACTGAAATGTGGGACTTTAAGACAGAATAAAAACAACAACAACAAATGGTGCCAGCTGAAATTTCTTAGCGACTGTTTCCTTTTCCAGAACAATTCACCGTTTTCCGGTATAGTGCTTTCAAAATAAGTTCCCACATAAAATAAATAACAATGATAATTTATATTTTTAAACCTAGATGGGTTTTAAATGTTTGTAAGTCAAACTAATTTACATTTAAATAGTTATTGAACAATTATTAAAACATATTTCCTAATTATAAAATACAAAAAAACTGTTCTTGTAAACCAAGTTACGTATACAATGATTAAATGTCTAAGCATCATTAGGGCTTAAAATAAAATAAATAAAGCTTTACATTTCTGTGTTTTACAACTAAATGTGACTGTGACGATATTTAAAAAATATTTTATATTAACGATATCCGGTTGGTACAGCTCAGTTGTTGTACGGTAAGAACACAAGTATACAGTAATCGTTCCGGACATAGGTAACTTTCGGCGTTTAAGGGGAAAGATCTTTTTTTTTATTTACATAGCAAGCTGAAATCATTACGATATTTACATTTTTATTTTTTGATAGCTATAAAAATTATAGTTGGTCTGTAAAATAAACAAATGATAGTAACACCTTCCCTCTCCGAGTTAAACATGGCGGCGTCCTTGACTGGCACAGCGAACGTGAGGCTGCTGGTAAGGAAATTATCTAAAAATGGAATGTTCATTATTGTTATATTGAATTGTGTGTCTCTTTAGACTCAGCGTAACAATAGTAATGCTCTAATCTGGACAATGTTAACTGTTGTGCATGAATTTACTGGTAAACTGTATTTTCTGTTTACCAAATTAGTGTATTTTCAGTAACCGGTATAACTAGTGAACACCTAGCTTTGTTTCAGAAAATTAACTGAAGGAGTTTGAAAATATACATAAAATGTGGAAAGGAACAACTAGATATAAATCCTCGATCTTAAAATTATTGCTCAGGATTACGGTTTTGTTCTTACAGTGATATTTAAGATACTAACAAATTCCACAACTTTTTCCATTTATTCATAGATTTCGTCCTCATTTTTACATCACAGAAATAGTGGCTGGAAAATAGGACATGTGATGTGACATAAATCATTTTAGTCATAGTCACATAGTTATTGTTTTTATGCAACCAATATTGAAATTACATATGTGATTGACTGAAGTCTTCAATAAAAAATAAATAAATGAATAAAGATAACTGGGAATTTGTGGGCAAAATCCTTCATGATTAAGGAACTGGACGTCTGAGTATTTTCAGTTTTTGAACAGAGATCCTACATGTTTAAAATTTTTAACAAGCCTCTAAAATTCTCTCTCTTTTTTTCTGCACATATTACAAACGTTAAATGGTCTGTATACCTGCTTCCCCTCCAGAGATCCTTTGCTTGGTCCAGCTTGTTGAGCGGCCCAATAGGAAGCAGAAGCCTCCATGTAACAGCTGTATGCTGCAAGGTAAACTTTATTCTAAACACATAAAGCTGCATCAATCATCTTTGCCTGATTTATGTTATTATTTAGTCTCCACTTCAAACTCCACGTCATGACTGTTTTTACAGAAGTCCACACACCATGTCTTCTAGGGATGTGTATTGCTGAAATTTCGGCGATTCAATACATATCACAATACAGGGGTGACGATACAATGCATATTGCGATACATTCAGTCAGACATTATTTGCAATTTTTTAGACTGAATTGTAGGAATATACAATAAACAGTCCAAACTGATATGTAACATTTTTAACATGAGGTATCTGACCCATAACAGAGGGATTTACATTTCAATGGTGGAAACAAAACCCATTGCACACTGCTGCCATCTAGCGGTCAGTGTTTGAATTTCACCAAAAGAAAAGAAAATACACAAATGCTTCCATGTAAATTCTTCCAAAAAATCGATACACAGCTTTTGAATATCGATATAATATTGCGGGAAAAAATATCACGATATATTGCGATATCTATATCACTAATGATCCCTAATGTATTCAGTGTTTTCAGTTTTTTTCTTAACAGCGTACAGTAAAAAATAAAAATAAAATCTAACTTCTTTAAGTGTGTTAAGAAAAAGTTATTACAGATATTTTTGTTTTTTCTGTCTCGTCCTGTAGAATCGAGCTGCTCGTATTCGTGTGGGAAAAGGAGAAAAACCGCTGACCTATGAGCAAGCATATCATCCTCACCACATCGCACACCGTAAAGGATGGCTCTCCCAGCACACCAGTGAGATCCCATTTTTTTTTTAATGTTCTGCATTTTAACCTGAAAACATGACAGATTCACCAATACTAGCTTTGGGCATCTGATACTTGACCCTTTTACTTGTTTTCATAAATAAGTACAGATACCACTTTACGGCAGCATACTTTCACGTCTCAGTTGAGCAGTCAGGTGTTTGAGGAGGAGCAGTGTTCCTGCTGTGGAGGTATTTTAGTGTGGATCATGGTGATAAAAGTAAAGCATATGGCAGATTATGCTCAGCAAAGGAAAAATCTCATAACAATTGTGGTATTTTTTAAATCTTTTTCCTGTTGTATTTACATACGACTGAAGCATACTGTGATAAGTACTGGTACTCTGGGTGAATGATGTGGTATTGGTGCATTCCTAAAAAACAGCCACTGCATGTGAGACTTAAATTCTCCATTCTGAAGAGATGGGAACTTGATTACTAGGGATGCACCGATCAGGTTTTTTGCTGCCGATCACCGATACCGATATCAAAGAATGCTGATCACCGATACCGATCACGTGGATTGGCCAGAAATTTTCTACAACATTATAATGAGTGCTACAAACTACATAATCTGGGAATAAAGGAAATGTAACCTAATCTAAAATGTCTGTACGGTCCAAGTGGTGCTCGCTGCAGAACCACAAAGGCGGAGCTGCACCAGAAGGTGGAGCTGCACCAGAGTCAGCCCCGCCCATTCCATCAGAGTCAGTCCAATTCCTTCCAGTTGTCAGACTTGATAGCATTCTGGAACCAAAGAGAGTGTTATAGCTAAAAAAATGCAAGATTGAGGACGGAGGTGAGAAGTTAACTGAACAGTTTTTGTAAAGGTTCCATATAATTAAAAATCTAACTTTTGGAACTTTTAATCATGTTTTACTGTCATTTCCTCATAAGAAACACGCCAAAGCCATTTTTGGCCTCATTCATGCATTTTCCTCCCATCTCAGCTTCAATTTGGTCTTTTCCCCCGAAGCGGGTCTGGTCTTGGTTCTCAAATCTGGATATTCTGTGAATTTTGGGACAAATTATTTCTGAAATGACTTCTACTGAGACACCGCAAACAAACCATACAACCCATCTCCAAAGACACACTGAGTAGCACAATTGCATAAAACGCCACATGATTTTCATTCGATGTGGTGGTGTAGTGGTTATGGAGTGAGGTTATCATGCAGTTTTGCGCAGGTTCGCCTCCCAGTAACGGAAGCATTAGGTAGTTTACAATCCAATTTTTTCATTTCTAGCTACACTTGACAGTGCTATGTTTACAACAATTTACTGGTATACCGTTTAACATATGATGACTAATGTGTTTATTTATTTATTTATTTGTTTTTTTTAGCCAGTGTGAGTCCATTTGTGAGCAGAGTTTCAACTAAAATGCTGTTTAGGAACGACCAAATTCAAAGAACTTTTAGAGACATAAATATATGAACATAATTTGCTGAAAATAAACATTACAGCTAAAATATAAACAAATTAAATGCTTCAGTTGGATAAATAGATTGTTGCCTATCCCACCAAGAATCGAACCAGCATCAGCTGAGGGGATAGTAACATTTAGACCAAACAACCTTGCCACTGGACTACCAGAACCACTTTAAAATTCTGGCATGCTGTTGTATCACACTTTTGTTAGAGCGGCTGTGGGCAGATATTCGCTAGAAGAAACCTTTTCATTTCGAGATATATTCAGGCTTTGCCATGTAGAAAGTTATATTTATCTTGTTTAATTGGAGCATAGAACATTGCATTAACGACTGTAAACTAGTAACAGCCGTAATTCATGTGGGTCAGGTTAGTTTGCGCTAAAGTTGAAAAACATAAACGGAAGTCAGTGGGCTAGGCTGAATTTGCGTGAATGGGCGGGACTGACTCTGGTGCAGCTCCACCTTATGGTGCAGCTCCGCCTTTGTGGTTCTGCAGCGAGCACCCTCTCGTACGGTCTGCTTTGATCTATTTTGAAAACTCCGATCAAAACCGATAGGGGCGCTATCGGCCGATTTGGATCAAATGCCGATCCATCGGTGCATCCCTATTGATTACAAGATGCTGCACATGATATTTCACAGCTGTTCTTCACTCTAGAGGCCGACAGCAGTGTATTGGAATACATTAGTTAATTATGACCAATAAGATGTGATTATTCCATATAAATATGAAATCTATATCTGATTGATCTTTGAATGTTTAATCAGAAGATTCAAGGGTTCTTTGCTGCTTTAGTGACCACAAACACACTTCGTATTAATTCAGACAGAGTCAGTATAAAGTTTATAAAATTAATTTAATTCTTTTTCTAAACTAACAATTTATGCATGACATGATATGAATAATGAGATGTGGTGTGGTGGATATGGAGTGATTTAATGTGATGTGTGAGGTGGTGTGATGGCAGCTAGATGTAGCACAACCCTTCTTTGTATCTGAGAGAAATTGTGAAGTCTGGGTTATAAAAGTGAATCGGCTGTTTATTTAGTAAACTAAAGATTTATTTATTTAAAAACCTCATCAGACTCCAGTATGCAGGCGTACGATACCCTTGGTATGAGTTGCTCCCGGCGGTCCGGAGGGGTGTGGTCAGAGTGGTGAGGTCATCAGATGCTGAAACCACAATACTCAGAATTTAATATTGTACGTTACAGCAGCAATAAAACAAATACATCTGAAACAGGTTGTCTTTTTTATGTTCTTGATTGAAGTGTTTTTTTTTCCTAACACGTTTATGTTTCTACAAATGTTTTGTTAAAAGCTTTAATAACATGATTTTAAAATCAAGTCAAAAAGATAAGCTCCAACCATGACCGTTTTATTTGAAATGTGTGGATTTGCTGGGAAAACAGATCTTTTATTGATCCATGTATAATCACTTTTCATCAGCCTCCTGGTCTCACTGGCAGGTAACCTCAAAGGAGAAGATGGCGCGGCCGAGCGTACTATAGAGGACGTCTTCATCCGGAGGTTCATGTTCGGGACCTTTCACGGCTGCCTGGCAGACGAGATTGTGATCAAAAGACGTGGCAACTTGCTCATCGTGTGTGCCCTCATGCTGCAGAAGCTGCCTCCACAGAAGTTCTATTTTCTAATTGGATACTCAGAGGTGCTGCTGTCACACTTCTACAAATGTCCCGTCAAGTTAGAGATACAGACGCTGCAGGACAAACATGTGTACAAGTACATCTAATGGAGATGCATGTTAATGTTTATATTACATCTAACACATTTCAGCTGCAGTGAATTCCTTCATTTCTGAGAAGTCTGTTTAGTGAAGAATTCTTTTTGTATTTAAAAACGCAGTTTGGCCCCTTGAGTATATTTGGTTTTCTCAATTTTTTCTGTTAGGAAACAAAAGATCGTCTAATCATGGAAAATAAGTTGATAAAAAGACTGCAAAGCACTAATTATTTTGTTATCAGTTTAAAATAAATGTCCATATTGAGATGATGTTCAGTTGCATTTTGTTACAGAGAAATGTGCCATTTGAGCCTTCAAAAGCTATAAATGTTACAAATGTCAATGTGACGTAATAAAATTCAGCTTAAAACAAAAGCTGCATGTTATAATTAAATTATAATCACAAAAAATCCTGAGTTTAGTGGGGAAGGTTTTATTATATCACATATATCAAATATTAATCTAATTGTCTATAAATTAGAAGATTTTTATTCAAACTGCCAAAAATAGCTTGTAGAAGACAAACTTGGAAGACAAACGAGTTACCAAACTACAATAAAGCCATATGGTGGTTTTTCCTGGACTCTTAACCTCCTGAGCCTCTGGCTTTTGTTAGGGGTACATTTTTTTTATTTGGGTTTAGAAAGACTTCATAATCTCAAATCACCACTTTCAAATAAATCATCTATTTTTAATCAGTACTGATTCTAAAACGCCTCTTTTTAATTAACAACCGTAACAGTCGTTTACATCATCAGTGTCTTTATTTATAATCATTTTTGTCTTGGCAGTGCAAAATCCATTCACATTTAAGGCACGTGCATTTCCATCGATGCAAATCAAAGGCACAGAGGATTTAAATCACCAACATTCCCTTTTGGATTTCTCACAATCAAAACAGACTTTCCCACAAATATTCATCAGCTCCCGAGTTCTTTGTAAAACTCAACATAAACAAAGTATGAGAACATAAAAAAGGCCGTTCTTTACATGTAAGGCACAGAGGTGGAGCAGACCACTGAAGCGGGAATGTCTCTGAACACGGGCGTCTTCTTTAGCTGGAAGTGCTGCAGAGTTAAACTAATAATCAGACATCTGAACACGGAGCTGGAGCCGTTTGTAAAATGTAACAAGTTGATTTAGACAGAAATGAATCAGTGATAGTACCGTCAGATCTTTGAATTTCTTTGAGCTTTGTATCAAACCATCAGACGGTCTTCTGATGCCTACAACCTCGTTTATGTTGCAGTTTATGTAAAAAATGGCACAGCATGGATTTTAACGTGTGCTTCTTATGGAAAGATTAGATGAATACACACAGGTCAGAGAGGACGTAGACACTTGGACCTCCACAAGCCAAAGCTAACTGCTTTCAGTCATTAGGCTAAGCTAACTAGTAGCTGCAGTTGTAATGGTGCTGCACAAACACTAAAGAGGTTCTAATTTTTCATATAAACGTCTAAATTAAGACGTTTCTTAATGTTCCAACGTTCAGCAGGAGTCTGCAAGCCGTACAGCTAAGTGGAACTCAGCCATGACTTATCTGTTGGTTTTCACTCCTGAAACGAGTCTAAATGTCTGTAAAGTGGAAGTTAGTGTTCAGATATCAAGCCTCTGAGCAAGGCGCAGTCCACGACAAGAGGACTCATTGGTTGTTTCTCATTTTGTAGTCATGACAACTGTCAGCAATGCAGGACTGAAGCTTTATGAGCCGCTGGTTCATCAGCTGCAGGACTGACGGATCCACTGTCTTTACGATGTTCTGCAGTTGATGCGGGTCTGTTGTTAAGTTGTACATCTCTACAAACGACTGAGGAGACAGAAACCACAGAAACGTGTCACACTTTCATCAAAAGAAGTTCTTGCATGTAAGGCTAACTAAGCTGCTGTACCTCGCTGTCTGCAAACTCGCAGTACTGCAGGTTATGGCTGCCGTCCAAAGACCTGACGCAGGCGTACGTGTTGTTGTAGGCATCCTCACACACACAGTCTGGAAAACATTCCTGGAATGGAAATACAAACCCCAAAATAAAGCTGTTTATAGTTAGTTACAAGCGAAGTCATGGAAAACTCTACCAATTTACAAATTTGTTTTTTAGGACTTAGAATAAAATAACCCTTTTTCACACTTATTTTTTTGATGAATGATAAATGATCCTGCTTGTATCGCGTCTTTCTGAGTCAGAGGACTCCAAAGCACTTTACACTTTAGTGTACTATTCACACACATTCACACCCTGCCGGACAGAGGCGAGGCTTTCCAAGCACAGGAGCCACGGTCCCCCGACCACCACCAGCAGGCAAGGTGGGTTAAGTGTCTTGCCCAAAGACACAACAGCAGAATTCTGTGGTGGGAGCCGGGATTGAACCTGCAACCCTCTGATTACTGGACAACCTGCTCTACCTCCTGAGCTGCTGCTTATGATCTGATACAGCGTGTTGAGAAACTTTTATAAGTGACAGCTGTGGGATATTTGAGTTGTTCAACAAGATAAAAAAAAGATGGGCAGAATTTTGAGTTCTAACACCTCACACGTCTTTATTTCCACTAATATCTCACGAACATGGGGAAATTACATGGGCTAGAACTAGAAGGAGAAGCAGAGACTTTGTTCCGAAGACAATGCTGAAAAGGAAGTTTTCATCAAGCTTCTTTGCATGGAATTATTTTCCAAAACAAAAAAGGAGAGTACATTTCAAAGGACAACTACTGTTCACCTTCTGAGTCCATTCTTCACTGAACCATGAAGGACCTTGTGGAGGTGGCTGAGGAGCAGACGGTCTGGACTTTCCGGCTGCCCCCACAGCCCAGACCCACATAGGACATGAGAATTACCCCCACAGACTCGTGATGGTAATCTGCACCAATGACCCATTTCTGGAAAGTTCTCAGCTGGTTCTTGAATCTCATCTGTGTTTGAATGGTAACACGCCTCGTTGCCATGCTTGCAGGAATGCATAGTTATGGTCAAAGACAATAACTTTTACAGATGTTTACCTGAGAATTTTTATATGGCGATAAAAAAAATGTATGGTTTTAAGTGTTTTGACCATATTTAAAAAATAAAACTCCTCAAACTTCCTCACCCATTCATTTAATAATTCTCTAAGGGTGTGTGTTATGGGAAAAATTTATGTTTATTAATTCTTGATCATGGACTCAACCAACTGGATGTAATATGTATTGCTCTATGCCTCTCTGCATGCTCACACACACACACACACACACACACACACACACACACACACACACACACACAAATTCTTGTATTCATACACACACTGACTCCCTCTCTCACACAATGACCTCACTCCAGGGTATCTGCAGCTTTAAGGGAGCCAAATTTAAGACTTTTTAAGGCCTTTTTTAAGGCCACTTTGACCACATTTAAGCTATTTTTTCAAATTAAATTTAGGCTATAATTTCCAGCTATTGCCTGATTAGCCATCCAGTTACCATTAAATTTGCACTTCCCCATGGCGCAAGCTCCCACTAGCTAATGTGCTCATCTAAAAATGGCCCCCTTTCACAACCAACTGAATGTGTACGGTTCCGCTTACGCTAATATCATTCACAAAAAATGCTGAACACTAACTAAATTTTCATAGAAATAAAAGAATCTTGTTTATTGGATCTTTGGTCATTTAAGACCTTTGGAAAACTGTATTTAAGGATTATTTGACATTTTTAAGGATTTTTAAGGCCTTAAATTTGGAAAAGCAAATTTAAGACTTTTTAAGACTTTTTAAGGACCCGCGGATACCCTGTCACTCCTTTCTTATCTTCCTCTCTATAAATAAAGTCTGTGAACAGATGTTCGGGGCATTTTGCCACAGTTATAACTGTTTGACTTGTCTGCTCATTGTCTCCTTCTCTCTTCACTATAGGAAATGGGTTATTGATAAACATATTGGTAAAATCCATGACAGTGTGTTAGTTTTTTGCTTACCGACACTCCGGAGCCTAGTTTAGGGCAAGAAGGGTCTGACACTGGACTTCCCTCTCCAGTATATTCTACCAGGAAAAATGGTCTTGCTGTGCCGTTTCTCAGAGACGGAGCCTAAATGGAAACTTTAGGTTAGATTCATCATAAAAACAACTGCAATGTGTACGAAAACGTGACCATGTAGAGCAGTAGCTGACCATCTGATAGAGGAAAGACTCCCCGTCCATTTTAACGGTTGATAGGTTGACTCCAGATATGTCCAATATAGTGGGAGCGAGATCAATGTTCAGTACCGGAGCCTGAGAGGGTCAAAAACAAACAAAAGCGCATATGGCAATGTCTCATAACAGTAAGTGATACATTTCTGATTGTCCTGACCTTCAGAGTCTGGTTTGGTTTGATGCCCGGACCTCGGACCAGGAGCGGGATCCTGATATCAAACTCGTATAGCTGCCTCTTATCGATGGGCAGCGAGAACTGACCTGAGACAGAAAAACGGTGGATTTGTTTATTATTTATTTATTTATCGGTGGATTTAGATGCAGACAGAAGAGGCTCCTAACTGGTTTCATACAGAGCAGCAGAAAATGTAAGACTTAAAGTTTTAAGTCTAAACATGCAACAAAACTGGGTTTGAGCTTTTAATTTACTTTGTCAAGTTCTTCTGAACAGAAGACAGCTGCTAAAGCACAAGAAGGGCCAAAATAGTAACAAAAAACAGACTTGTAACCGAAATAAAGAGAACCAAACACAAAATGATGAAAATTCAGACAACAATCACCAGGGGCGCCTCCAGAAAATGTTGATTGGGGTGGCCAGATGGGGCCAAAGACATTTTTGGGGTGGCACACCAAATTGGTCCTTGTGGTAACTCTGGGAGAATTTAGCCTGTGGCAATGTACTGCATTGCGCTTTTATTCATTTTGATTAAAATAGCAGTACGTATCCAAAACATTTAACTTAAATTTTACAAACACAAACATTTCAGAAGTATACATTTCAGTTATTTAAAATGTTATCCCTAATGTAATTTAAACTATGGAGATAAAAACTTTTTTTTAATGGTGAGCAGCAGAAACATGTTTCTTTTTTATTCTGATTATTTCTTTACACATTAATTGTATTTTTTTTTTTGTTTTATATTTATGTCTTGAATAAACAAGATCAATGTATGGTTTGACTGAGCATTAATATGATTTATTTACATTGGCTTTTCCTTGGGGGCGCAGCAATTTTTTAAGGGTGGCTATGGCCACCCCTTGGGGGTACCCTTGACAATCACAGAAACTAGGCATGAAAAGATCCAAAGTTTGGAACAGAGCCGACCTGTGTGGTAGCCGTTGTCTGAGGAGTAGATGAGGTAGGTGTTGTCCAGCTCTTTGATGCTGTCCAGCTTTTTCACCAGCTTCTCCACCATGTTGTCCACTGACAGCAGCGTCTGCCACCTGCAGGATGGATCAGAATTTACTGTCACAGGATGCCGGAATGGTTCTGGATGATTCCGTGGGAAAGCAGAACAGGTTGTTTTTAAAACGTAAAAAGTTCTCTGAGCATCAGCTAATCACATACAAACTTCAATAAAACAATTCAGATATTTTTCTACATTGAGTTTATTACTTTTATTATTGTGTGAAAACAGAGACTATTTGAGGCATGAATGTCAATGTGATGAAGGATATCCAGCCTGTTTGCTAAATAGCAGGTATTGCTGAGTCAGCTAAGTTTTTAGGCTGCTGTAGTCCTTAAAATGAGGGGTTTTATAAGTTTTACTTGTGACTGAATGCTGGTGTAACTGTAGGTTAAGAGTGCATGTTAACATGATAGATCAGCTAAAATATTCTAACTGGTTTAACCACTTTGACTACCACCATCATCTTGGCAGTGTCTTGATATAACTATGTCTAAAACTCCTGCAATAAGAGTCCCAGGCAAATAAAACTCATAGTATTTGACTCATTTAAACAACACAAATTCTACTTTCTGCTCCCAAAAAACTAAACTTAAACTAACTTTACTGGGCACATCATTTTGTTGTCCTGCAGACTAACATATTTCATATTTGATTGTTTATAAAGCAGGAGAAGCTTGAGAACAGGGTAATTAAATATGGGACTGTATAAAATCATTACTGATAAATACTATAAACAATAATCAAAATACATGAAAGTAACAGTATTAAGACATTATTACTGAAAAGAGCCTCAAATACTGCAAAGACACTCCTCTGTCCTCATATAAAGTGTATATAACTTTATTTAGATAAATAATTAGTTTAGATCTAAAGAAGAGGCCAAACAAATAAGCATTTTTCAATATATCAACTACACATTAAAGGGGGTGGAGCTACAGGGGTTTGAACCAACAACCACATCAATGCGTTTGGTGCAGTCACGTGATGACACAAGCCAAGTTTAATGCCATTCTGACCTTGTATTAGGAAGTAATTAACTCTTAATCTTATCTAGGAAGCGCTGTGACCAATTACATAAAAATCCCATTGAGGTTCTCTCAGGCAGTCAAAGATAGTTTTGTAGTAGTTTGGCATCAATCATACGTTGTGTGTGCTTTCTAGAGCCAAAGAGCTGAAAGGGGGCGGAGTTAAAGGGATTTGAACCAACAACTACATCAATGTGTTTGGTGCAGTCACGTAATGACACAAGCCAAGTATAATGCCATTCTGACCTTGTCTTTAGAAGTTGATGAAGTTTGAACCCATCTAGGGGGCGCTGTGACCATTTACAACTAAATCCCATAGAGGTCATCTTTGGTCATCAATGATGGTTTTCTGTTAATTTGACATCAATCAAACGTTGCATGGGTCATCTAGAGCCAAAGGGCTGTAAGTAGGTGGAGTTAAAGTGATTTGATTGAGTGAGCACATACATGTGTTGATTGCAGTTGTGTGATGACTCCCACCATGTTTGATACAGTTTGGAGCTTTGTTGCAGAAGTTACAAAGGTTTTATTGTATCTAGGGGACACTGTCCCAAATTTAGGAAATATTCCGAGAAGCAGTTTGTAGGTTGACAACAGTTTGGTGTGAATTGCATCATGCACGTGTTATTCAGAGCCTAATATTTGTCAGGGGATAAAGCGATTTCAACCAATGACCACAGGATTGTGTTGGGTGCCTTTGTGTGATGACATATATCAAGTTTGGTGCAGTTGTAACATTGTCTGTACGAGTTATTACAGTTTTAAAGGTATGTAGGGAGCGCTGTGGTGATATTATACAACGTTCACCAACCGTTTGTGCCTCATTGACTAAAGAGCATAATTGTTGATAGCCATGTTGAGTCTCGTGCAGATCGGAGGCTGTTTGCGGAAGTTACAGTCAAACGTAAGGTCACGCGTCATGCCAGAATTTGCCATGGCATCAAAGCCCCTCCCTTTCTGGAAAGCTATCAGAACTGAATGGTCATTACAACATCATGAATACAGTGCATGACCTTAGCGTCATGTTGACTAAATTAGAGGGGACAAATATGGGCATTTCCCCATAAAACAATTGATTTCCTGTTGTCAGGGGTGGGGCTTAGGTGATGTCAGCTGTCCACATTGTCATTGTCTTGAGATGTAGTCAGTGATCACACAGACAAAGTTTGATATGGATCTGATCAAGCACATGGGAGTTATTACGTCAAGTAATGTAATGGCGAAAGGTCAAAGTTTGAGGCTTAGCCACGCCCACACCTTTCAACTTTTGAAAAATCCGATGGTTCAATTTTTTCCCCTATGTCTTAAGAGTAAGTAGCAGAAGTTTGAAGGTGATCGGTGAAAAGGGCGGCGGGGCATCACTCTCCAAATTACGTGTGCGAAAACCACTAAATCGAGTACTTCGATCAAAATGGCTGACCTCCTGTGCAACTTTGCGCTTGGCTCCAAGAGACTTTTTTTGTAGGTCCTGAGACACTACATTAGTGTACCAAATTTCGTAATCCTCAGTCAAAGCATGGCTTGGGGCTAACAGTTTTAATGGTCCTACGGGGCGCTATTTCAGAAAATAGGCCACGCCCACAAACCTATCTTGTCCATTTCTATTGGTGGTCAGACTAGGATCACTCACCAGATAATTTGTAGCAATATCGCAATAACTGAGGAAATGAGATGCAAACGTATTTCCATGGAGTGATGGCGAATTTCGCCATGCTCCTAAAGCCCCGCCTTTTTTCGAAACCTGCCAGTACTGGAGGCCAAGTGACCTCAACTTGTCTACTACAATTTGCCAGAGAATGCTGGTGATTGGGTGAAAGGAGTCCAATAGGGAGCTGTGAAAAAAAGAGTGGTGTGGCAACAGGTCAAAGTTTGAGGCTTAGCTTAAAACTTTTGAAAAATCCGACAGTTGAATTTTTTCCCCATAGCTTAAGAGTATACAGCAGAAGTTTGAAGGTCATTGGTGAAAAGGGCGACGGGGCATCATTCTCCAAACAACTTGTGCAAAAACCACTAAATTGAGTACTTGGACCAAAATGGCTGACCTCCTGTGCGACTTTGCGCTTGGCTCCAAGAGACTTTTTCGTAGGTCCTGAGAGTGTACCAAATTTCGTAAGTTCCTCAGTCAAAGCATGGCTTGAGGCTGACAATTTTAATGGTCCTAGTGGGCGCTATTTAAGAAAATAGGCCATGCCCACCGGATTTTCACATTAGATTTTTTGGGGGATTGGACTAGGATCACTCACCAGAAGTTCGTGGTGATATCTTTAGAAATGACAAAATGGGAGGCAAAAGTATGGCCACGGCGGTACGCCTGACTTCGCCATGCCGCCACAGCCCCACCCTCTTTTGAAAACTCCCATAAAGTGACGCCAAAAAACACCCACTTGTCGTGAGTTACCAGCTACAAATGTGAGGTGATTAAGTGAAATGGGGCGATTTGGGACTTATGACAGTAAAACTTGACCTTTTTGGTCTTGAGGAGGCAGGGCTTGTGTGATGTCATCATCCGACCATTCAATTTAGTTTGTGGCGGGATGTTGAATGACCACAGAAATTTTTGTAACTCTACTCTATTCGAGTATGAAGTTATAACCATTTATATTTTTTGGCGAGTGGTCGAAATTCGAGGCCTGGCCACGCCCCCTCAGCATAATGAAAAGTCAGTTTTATTTTTTTCTATTTGATGCCCATCCCTTCTGAGCAATTTCCCACAACTTTCGAGTCGATAGTGCGAAAAATGATCGAGTAAATCAATCAGAAGCAGACCCTAGAAATGGCTAAAACGGGGCCAAAATCACCACTTCAAACCAAAATGGCCAACTTCCTGTTTGATGTTGACCATGGCTGCAAGAGGCTTTTCTGTGCAGACTGTTGAGTACTACAAGTGTACAAAATTTCATAACTGTACGATAAACTAAACTTTAAGGAAGAGGGGTATTTTTCACATTCGAGGGGGCGCTGTGGAGCTAGTTTTATTGTGATTTTTTTCGGGACCTTTAAAATACAAAATTTTACACCACACCCGACAAGTGTGCAAAAATTCCCGAGTTTTCGGGTATGTTAAGGCCTCCAAAAAGCCAATTTACTGGGCGGAAGAAAAATAAACAGAGCAGAGACAATAGGCCTTCGCAGCGCTTTCGCTGCTCGGGCCTAATAATAATTAAAAAATTTTCAGTCAATCACACCTTTAATATAAGTAAAACACCCCAACTGATTCATTACTCACTTTAAACATACACTTCAATGTAATCTTGAGTTGTTAGTAATTTAAAGCTTGAGATATTTTATGAGCCTACCATTTGCCTGTAATACATTGTTAGCTCAAAGTTAGCCTCTAGCCTTCTTTACCCGATATTGGTGTAAACAAAAAGATGACGTGGCTTCTTAGGTGTACAAGAAATAACTCCTGGGTCACTCTTGTTACTGGCTTTGGTTCATTAAACAACTCTGAAGCTTTTTTGCCTTATGGTGTCCAATCACAAATGCCTGCGCTGCAGCGTTAGCTCAGCACACACTCTGCAACTTCACAAACTCACGATTGTAAACAGTAACTATATTTCCCTTTAGGCTTAGTTTATGCTTCAGCATCTTCTGCAAGGGAGAGATGCACACCCACTGACAGAGAAGTTTTGCTTCTCCGTCTCCTGGGGAGTGTTGCAAAGCGATTCCCTGCCAGGACAACAGAGAGTGTTGCGCTGTTCTGTGGTATTCTGTCATATATCCGGTCCAAGATAGTGCATTTACTGTTGCGTTTATATTGTGCTTTTTGTATTTAAGTGACTTTTTAAAATGGACACATTTGTCCCTCCCGTCATTTACGTCCACAAATAAAACGCCTGCTGCATATTTTTGTACTCCTTCAGTCTCGGGTGAATAAAATGTTCATATTTTTAGAGTTTTTCTGCAAGGTGTTCTTCAAGCTGTGTCTGACGCTAGATATCTTCGGCTTCGGCAATGGCGGGCTGTTGATGAAAGCAGCATCCTGACCAGCTTGCATTCTATGTCTTGTTCGACATATGTTTAGAAAACTGGGCTCGACTCCACCCATCCTTGCGAGCCTGCTGTAGCCCTCGCAAGGACGGATGGTTTTGCGTGTCTCCGTAGCCATGCAGAAGAACAAACTAGGCTTTAGCTTTTTTTGAAAAGAGAAAAGCTGACAACCACCCAGCTGGCTGAGAATGAAATCAGTTTCAATTCTTCCTTCAATCATGATTGAGACAGACTGTTTTAAGATATTTCACTGAAAATATCTTACACGTTTCTCCTTTAATCACCTGAGGTCAACTGGAAGTGATCAGAATAATTCCTGCATTTCATTCCACCCTTTTGCGCAAAATCATAAAACCTTGTACCTTCTCCTGAAAGCATTATCCAGGTAGACAATGGAGCTATTGGGCATGGGGTTGGTTGGCTGACGCAGCAGCCAGTGTTTGTCCTGAAATTAAACAAAACAAAAACTGATTGGAAATAAGCTTTAAAAACAAACAGTTGTCACAAACACAACAATCGGTGACACACCTTCCCTGGTTTATCAAAGCTACCGTCTCGAGGGGCTTGAACATTGTTGAACTCCTGCTGGTACTGAGGAGCTGCTGTCCATGGGGAGTGGGGAGCAGGAGGAGCCAGCATCATGAAGAAAGGGTGCTGAGGGCTCCGCTCATCCAGGAAGGTTAGAGACCGATTCAGCTGGATAGGAGAGCAAGTTCAATAATTAACACTGTTACCAGAAAGGTCATTATTAAATAAAACAAGCACCAGGAAGAGGAAGGAGCACAAATATATACTGGTCACAAGCAATTTTCACAATGTTAAATGAGATCCTAAACATTTCTGTGAACAATGTTTTTTTTTTCATGACTTATGAGGCTTTGACGGGTCAGGCATGGACTATATGATGGTTTTAATCAGATTGTAAATAGACATGCTCCATTCTGCAAAATCCATGTTAAAGGTCAACCTAATCCATGGTTTACTCCTCAGCTGAGTAAGCGCCTTTGAGAGACAGAGTTCAAACACTCCCATAGGCTTCAACAGAAAGAACAGAATGCGGAAGTAACGTAGTTTCAAACACCAATAGTTCCACCATTGAACGCTGCTCATTCTCAGTATTCCTAAGTTTTTTTCCCTCTGGTAAATAGATGAACACAGGCGGATTGGTGCTGCGTCTGCAGACGTTGTACTGGTCTGTCGTGGTGAAGAGAGAGCTGAGCCAGAAGGCGAAGCCCTCGATTTACCGGTTAAAAAGTTAAAGTTAAAAAGTTAAAGTCCCATTAGTTGTCACACACACTGATGTGTGTGCGAAATTTGTTCTCCACATTTGACCCATCCCCTGGGGGAGTGGTGAGCTGCAGACACAGCCGCGCTCGGGAACCATTTGGTGGTTTAACCCCCCCAATCCATCCCTTAATGCTGAGTGTCAAGCAGGGAGGCATTGGGTCCCATTTTTTCAAAGTCTTTGGTATGACCCGACCAGGAATCGAACCCTGATCTCCCAGTCTCAGGGCGGACACTCTACCACTAGGCCACTGAGCTGGTTAATCTATGTTTCTACCCTCACCTGTGGTCACGAGCTTTGGGTAGTGACTGAAATGAGATTGCAGATACAAGCGGCCGCAATGAGTTTTCTCCGCAGGGTGGCTGGGCTCTCCCTTAGAGATAGGGTGAAAAGCTTGGTCATCCGGGAGGGGCTCCGAGTAGATCTGCTGCTCCTCCACATTGAAAGGAGCCCGTTCAGGTGGCTCAGGGCATCTGGTAAGGATGATCGATGATCAAACCAAAATAAGTCAACAGTTTTTTTTTTATGTAGCCAGTTTTAGTTAATTTATCATGTTAACTGGTTGGTCGTAGATTTAACTGCAGCTAGTTTATCATTAGCTACAGGTCTTTGTGGGTTTAAATAGACCCATTTCTGTCTCATTCAGCTTTTTAACTTATTCAGCGCAGTTTTAAAGATCTATGATCAGAGTTTTTTACATTCTTCGGAGATTTCTAAGTTCAAGATACATTCCAAGGGGACACAATAATGTACGTGTGTAAAGAGGAGTTACTAAACTGTCTGAACTAGAGAAAAGCTGTTTTTTTTTTTATTTATTTTGAGACCTTTTATTGAATGACTGGCCACCTTCTCATTGGCCTAGTGGTAGAGTGTCCGCCCTGGGACTGGGAGAACAAAATTTCTGGCCACATCTACAAAGTAAAACACTTATGAAAGCATGAAAGGGCACTTCTTATTTATACATGCTGCCAGATGCCTGTCAAAGGTGCATTTGTTGAATTTTCAGGGACTTTTTAAGACTTGGGAGTGAACTCTGGAATGGCTGCATAGCTGCTGTTCAGTTGTCACTCAGCATAAGAATTTACAGCCAAAGTTCATCTTTCAAGAAGTTGAGCAGAAATCAGATGACAGCTGATTAGGCTGGTTGAATTGACATTATCACCAGACAACTAAAACATGCAGCAGCACGAAACATCACATGACAATGCCAAAACTGAACCGTAAAAGACCGTTAGTGGCCTGTACATCAGCCGATTTACTTTAAGGCTAACTGGTTTACTTACAGAACATTTCATAATTCTGCAGTAGCAGCTGAGAGACACGCAGCTATGAGGCAAAGAGTTGTTTCCTCCTTAAATTCTTACACAAGTGTCACAAGTTCTGATGCAACAACGTGATTAGGACTCACTATGAGGTCCGTCAGGTAGTCTTTCTCATAAGTGTCGCTGTGCTTCTCTGCTTTCCCGTTGACTGACAATGTGTAGTTGTAGTACTGGGAGTTTCCCACCTGCAAATCACATGATGACAAAGGTACTGAAACACGTAAGGGGGGGAGAAACAATACCTAATTTTCATGGGACTCACCAAAGCATTCCACTGATCCCAGCCGGGTGGAACATGATCCACGTCTCCCGCAGCTTTTTGACCGTACTGGAGAGACGTAATTGTTGAGAGAAACTGTATCATAAGTCTGTAGCCACGTGTGTGAGGCTGTATTTAGAGTGCTAAAGGCTCATATTGATGCAAGTATAACAGGTGTAATCTTTACATGTTAGCATGCTAACTTTAGTGGATAAAGTTTAGCCACTTACAGGTGTCCTTCAAAAAGCAGCTGAAACTTCATCACCACCCTTTCCGCCTTTCCTGGGATCCACTGATTTCCCTCTTTCCTATTCATTTTCTCTCTCCCTTTCCTTACATTTTAACTACAACCTTTTTTTCTCATTTTAAACATATTTTTTAATAATTAAAAAAATATCTTCTTTATATTTAATTTTTTTTTGTGTGAAGTTCCTCATGATTTTTATCTTGAGAGGCGTGATATAAAAGATTGTTTTAGAATAAGTCTAAAGCTACAAATACTAACAAGTATTTTTTCAGTTAATTAATATCTGCTATGTGTTGACTGGTGAATTAAAATGGTCAGCATTCAATTGTTTTTGTTCAATGTTAAATAAAATAAAACAGCATTCACAAACACAAAATCTGCAAAACAAAGACACTAAATCCTATCTTTAACTTGAATCAGCATCAGCCAAAAATATTTAAGGTGTTTAGCGCATTCTTTATAAGAGTTTGGACGAGAGCTACTAATGAAGTTTATCAATAAATAATCCCATAAACCTTGATTTCTGTTGGCTTTGACACATCTGGAATGGGCCAGCATAGCAAAAGAGTGGAGTATAGTCCAAGAAACTCTGTGTTTTGTATATTTATTGTAAAGAGGAAATGAACGCTGTATGCTTCAGATCACAAATAAAAACAAGTTGCAAAACTGTTCTCACTGAAAAGTCCAAATCCCAGCTTCTGGGAAAAGCTCATTTATGCTTGTATGACAAATGCATTAATGCAGAGAAAACCTTGAGATTTTGACCAATTCTCTCTCGATCAATCTGTTTACCAAGCAAAGAGAAGATTCAGTAATCACTGCTCTCCACACACACCTGCACAAGGAACACCTACGTCAGCAGAATAATGCTTTTTGAAACAGTCACTCCTGATCATTCAGGAACAGTGCAACCTTTTGTTCAGATTAGAGACCAGACCTCAAAAACTCTCATCTTGAAAATGGGCACACCACAGGGATGTGTGCCCAGCCCCCTTCCCTATTCCCCCTTCATCCCTGACTGCACCTATAGAGCTCCGGACCCCATGTGACTCAGTTAGTAGACGCCATTTTGGCATGCAAAAAAGGTAAACAAACGCGGATGTAACCATGAACATGAACGGGATCCGCTTGGATTTTACTTCGTCGGAGTTTACTTCACACTTTAAAACAGAAGAAATCGTTTTATATAGTCAGAAATTAAATAGACTAAACATCTCCGACCCTTACCGTGCCCCTGGGATACTTTTTAAAAACGCCAGAAGCTGTCAGAGCAGACTTCTTACCGGCACAACACCGGACCTGACCGGGGAACCCCTTGGGATTTACCCGGAGGAGCTGGCTCCGGCGGCTGGGGAGAGGGAAGTCACGCTACTGCCCCCGCAACCCAACTCCGGATACGCGGATGAAAATGGATGGATGGACGGACAAATAACAGATTTACACGTAAGTAGTCTCGGTGAGACAGATAACAGCAATCCAAAGTGCTTTTTATGTGTGATCTGACAATTGATCAACCATTGCTTAAAAATTAAATACAGCTTAGCCGGTTAATTGCTGTCATCATAAAACACGGAAACGGCAGCACGCAGAACTCACAAGGCAACGTTTTACGTGATGTTTACTTGCTGCTATGAGTAATAAGACAGAAAAAGCCACGTCAAAATAAGTTTAGGAAGCCCACTAAGAATCGTAATAAAAGCATTTAAAATAAATACCACACACAGTTGAGGAAACGTTGGTTTAAGTACCTGATATGAAGTTGTCGCTGCATAAGTGAAAACCTTTACTCCCGGGATCCCACAGCTTCATTTTCGCCCGGTCACTAGTGCGTTTTATTACAATGATCCAACGTTTGCGGCGCTCCGGATCTTGGGGAATCCTGTAGATGGCTCATTCCTTATGTCGTCCGCGTCTGTTCTGCATCCTGGGGCACAACAGGAATCTACCATATTTCCCGTTTGATTGAGTTTTCTGACAATAACAAATAGTCCAGCTGCCGGCTTCTGCATGCCAATATGGCGCCGTTTCGATTTGAACTGTTGCATGCCGGGAGAAGTGACGTCAACTCCCGGAGCTCTATTTACACCTCATCACCAGTAGCACCAGTGTAGACCTGATGACAAGGGGGATATCCCGTCCTTAACAGCCTGGTTCTCCCACAATAATGTGAACATAAACATCACAAAAGCAAACAGACTCTTCTCATATTTCAGCAAACCATAGCCTACAGAGGACTCTTCTTTTTGCCAACAACCAGAGGAGGCTGAGAGGGTAAAGACCTTTGAGTTTCTTGATGTCTACACGTCAGCTGACATCTGATGGACTGCACACATCCTCTTTTGTTAAACTAAAATAACCATGAAACCATTACTTTATAAATGGAGTGAAGTACTTTCCCTCACTCTGTCTCTCTCCCAGTGATTCAGCACTACAACTTTATCTCATTTTCAGGGCAATTTAGTTACTTTCTCTAGATACATACAAAAAGCTGTTGAAAACTCATCTGTTCAGGCTGGTTTTATGTGACCTTCTGTTAACAAAGAGAAAGACAGAAAATAATCTTTATATAGCGCCTCTCAACATAAAAATCACAAGGCGCTTCACAAGAAAAAAAATCTAAATATAAAAAAGATTTAAAAACAGAGAAAAATATGGTTAAAACAACAGAAAAAAATGTGATTGAAAATTGTAAGGGAAAGAGGGAAATCAGTGGATCCCGGGAAAGGCGGAGTTGGTAGAAAGAGCAGAACAAGGAGAGGGTGATGAAGGTAATGCTAAAGCTAGCTTGAACAAGTGAGTTTTCTGCTGCTTTTTAAAAGGAGACCACTGAGTCCACTGATCTCAGGCTCAGGGGGAGAGAGGTCCAGAGTCTGGGGGCCACAGCAGCAGATTATCTGTCACCTTTTGGTCTTTAGCCTGGTGCTGCACAACCAGTAGGCTTGATTCTTCCTCACTGTTTCTGCCAATTCCATCTTTCTTAGGATCCTGTGATTATCTTAACTTATTCTTTATTTTTTTCTCCTTTTTTCCAATTTTTTATTACAATATAATTTTAAAACATTTTTTTCTTATTATTTTTTTGTTCTTGTGAGGCGCCTCCTGATTTTTATCTTGACATGCGCTGTATAAATTATTCTACATCTACAAGTAAATACATCCTGCTATGAAATTAAAGTCAGCTTTAACATGGGATTTTGGTTTAGCTCGTTTTTTCTGTATCAGTTCAATTTTTTCAGATTTAACAGTTACCTATTTTTGCTGTCAGGACACAAATCAGTTATTAGTGAATATTTATTTTACACCTTTATTCCAAACATTCAAGTTTTCCAGAATAGGGAAAGGTAGGAAACATTTATTTTATTATTTTAATGTCATAAACCATTTTCAGGCAATTTTATGTTGCTGGTTTGACGTAATGAGGTCACTGCGCATCTGTCATTCATCGCTATAGACTTTAATCCTAACTGACTGCACTCAGAATCTCGGTGAAACTGGTCTCAGATGACTTTGAGAGTCCACTAAATAAAAATATAAATCACTATGTGGCCCAAAGGCTTACAGACCTGGTTCAGGTACTTCCCACTGAAGAACGTCTGGTATTTCTTCTTGCTGAGGAAGACTGGGAAAGCCTCAGCCTCTGGGCCCTTCTGCCACAGTGGACTCGAGCAGTTCCCAGTTAGAGAGTTGTTTCTCACCTGGTGGTTGTGGGGGTAACGACCCGACAGAATGCTGCTCCTGCTGGGGCAGCACAGCGGCGTGACCGTAAACTGCAGGAAGTAAAAAAATGAGGACATACAGGAATGAGAAAAGATGTTGATGGAAGATCAGTGTGACAGCAAAGTTGAGCACAGGTCACGGGTTACATCGTGTGTAACGATGTGTAATATGTGAGCATGTATAATGAATCATTGAAGTTAAAATAATCTGCCCCAGGTAAAACGTGTGATTGATTATTATGACATGATAAATAAAGCTGATTTAAAACTTATGAAAGCACATTTTAAACTGAAACGTTAAAACGATTTTAATGGTTTGAAGTTAAATTAAAGTTTTCATGTTTTCCTGTTGGGTGGAAAAACAGATGTCAGCCTAAAAGTAGAAATTACTTCCAACCGCAGAGTAAAAACACTTACAGCGTTCACAAATGTTGCTCCTGCCTCTCCTATCAATTGTTTGGTTTTTTTCATCGGTGTCTGCAGAAATAAAACAAGAAAAGACAGATATGTGCATTGCTTCATGTTAACAAGCAAAAAATAAATAAATAAAAGCTATAAAATCAAAAAGGTGTAACATTACTTCACACAATACACTACAATAAATTCATTTTCAGTTTTGATTTCATCTTCTAACAATCATGAAAACAACCTAATCATCTAGAACGGTTGCTTTTAACTTATTTAGTCACTTTCTACATTTTTGTCATGCCTTCTAGATAATGACTAACATCCTCCTGTTCCAGCGGCTGAACTAACATAAGTCTTATGTTTTATTTTGAAAAGTCAGCGCACATATAAAGACAGCAGAACAACAGCAAAATACACTGTTGGCTTATGACTCACATCCAAAAATACATGTTTATTCCAAGGGTGGTTGACATAGCCTCTAAATTAGAACAATACTTTAATTTGAAATAATTTATCTGACTGAAGCTTTCAGGTATAGCAGCATTTTATGACTTATAGTGGATAATGATGCTAACACACTGTCACCTAATAAATTACTGGGCACATCAAAGAATAAAAATGTTTTATGATAACTAATAATTTAATGCTTCAAGGCACTTTATTCTGATCATACACACTAGAATTTAAATCAATACCATCTTTGATTACATAATAAGGCACATAATAAGGTGGGACTTTACCCTCTGCCCACTAGTTAAACTGTAAACATTACAACTGTCTGTGATCATGCCACCAGCAGTCACGAGTCCTCAAGAATCAATACACCTGACTAATCATGGGTTTGGTTTGAATCCACTCACCATCCCCCCCAGCTCAACGTCCTGGTCGTCCACCAGAATCAGGATAACGTTGCTCGGTTTAGAGCTCTCCGCACACCTGACGCTGCAGGTGAGCAGCAGTGCGAGGACCAGCGCTGCTGCTGCGGCCGCGCCGGCTCCTCTCGTCGGTCCTGACATCTGGAGCCTCCGCCGTCGCGGCTCCATTCCGGGCCGGCTGCTTCTAAAAAACCTGGCTGCAGTTCGACTGAAGCTAAGTTTCGTTTCCTGCTCAGAGGGAGAAGGAGGCGAACTGGAACCAGAACAGGCCGAAACACCAGGCTGAAAGTTTGAGGAAGTGTAGAGATGCGTGATAGACCACATGACGTGACGGACTGATCAGGGGGGAGGAGAGAGAGGGATACACACATACAGATACACACACATACACACAGTTTTCCCAAACAATGTAAACATGTTTTAAACTTCTCAATTCAAATTTCTCCCTAATTTGTGTTTTTCTAAAAAACATAAATAGTATAAATGAGTCTGTGATGAGTGTTATACAAATAAAATGTACTTACTTACTTACCAAATGTAGCAACTAGTAGTAATTTTATTTTTTCGCATCGTTTATGGTAGCTATATCAACATTATGTCACTGGAAAGCTAATGTGGAGGATAGTCTTATATAGCCTACTGATGGGTTGTCCTGTAAATTATTTTACAAACATTATTAAATGCACGTATACAGGTAGTGCCAGATATACTAATAACAAAGTGGTGTGACATTGTTTAATATTACTAATTTGTTGTACCTTGTTAATCCTGCTTATGGTCTTAACCTAAATATATAGGATTGGAGAAATATGGACCAGCTAGTTTGAATTAATGTGCAGCTCAATTTTACGGTGACAAATGAAGTTAAAAAAAATGTGTTTGCTTTGTTTCTCTTCGGATGTATTTTGGTGAAGGACCGGAGCCGGTGAAGCACCACAGCTGCGTCTGCTGTGCTAGTATGCGGTTGTTGCACCTACTAACCCAGCTCTGAAACTGCCGCAGGTTACGTGGCACCTTTACGTTTAACTGTAATGTTCAACTTGCTTTATTTTCTCTTTAAATAATTTTTTACGACATCCGCCTTTATAAAACAAGGCAACATAATCTCAGATTAGGATAAACGAACAGAGCTAACACATCAAGGACCATCATGGTTCCCTTAAAGCGAAGGAAACTGGTTCCCACAGGCGCTGTGAACACTGGGACAGGCCCAGTACGAACCAAATTTCCACATGTTGTTTTGTTTTTACTGGAAAGAAAAATGGGAACCAGTCGAAGAGCTTTTCTCTCTCAGCTCGGACGAAGAAAAGGATTTCAGGTGGAGCAAGTGTTAAGGTGAGAAAGGTTTTCTGTGAATGCTGGGAAATCATGACTGAAACGGGAGTAAAAGATAAAATCCATTCAAATAAAACAGATTTCTCTGTGTTTTGGTTATAGAAAACGTGACCAGTCAGAAAGATGCCTCTGACGTGTGTGTGTGTGTCTCCACAGTGAAAGTGTGACTCACATTATTAGTGAAAGCAACACTCGTGAGGAGGTCACGGCCTGGCTGGACTTCCAGGGAGGAGGCCAAGCAGACGTCCTGCTGCTGGACATCAGCTGGTACACGGACAGCATAAGAGCAGGACACCCAGTGGACATACTGGACAGACACAGGCTACAGGTGACCTTAGTCTCACAAATTAAGTCTATTTATATTCAGTTTTACCTTTTAATCTAAAAATGTTTTTAGATTAAGCTAGGCCACGTGGCGGAGCAGATGGTCTGATTTCCTCCCACAAAATGTCTGGAGGCTTGGTGTTGTCTGCCCACGTGCTAACGCAGGCGGAATACCAAATTCATTCTACTCAACTGGACACAATCGTTGTGTTTAAAAGATCAGAACTGTCCATAGGAAGAACGTAGGGGACATCTGTGTAAGACGCCACATAACAAACCACAACTCATGTTCATGTGTTGTTATATCTGCCCTTAACTTTCAAGCCTTCTCTTATTTGTTTTAGGTGTTGCTCAGTTGTTTATGTGTATTGCTTTTATCTCTAATTGATATGTTTACACTGTTTTAAAACTGTGGTACCTTGATAGTGACCTTGATAGTCTTGAAAGATGCTTACAAATAAAATGTATTATTATTATGATTATTATTATTATTATTATCATCATCATCATCATCATCATTGTTATTACAACTAAAATCCTTTGCATTATTCCTCTTAGCCACAAACTAAAACCACCCGACAGAAATGATGGATCACTGCTAACAGATACCATACCATATTAATTTATAGAGCCCATTTAAAACAGCGTGTCAGCTGACCAAAGTGCTTGAACACAGAAAGAGGGCAAATGTAAAAGAGACAAAAGAGCAGTAATCCTATGATGAAATGAGCCCTCACAATCAAAGAATATACAACAGGCTGGTAAAACATAAAATCAAGAATGCAACCCAAATTGCAAACACATAAACATTTGGTTGCAATAACAAGATAAAAACAACAGAATAAAAGCAAAAGAGTGATAAAACAGCTAAAGAAAATAAATACAATTTGAGAACAAAGCCTGCTAATAAAATTTTTACAGACCAAAAGCCTTTCTGAAGAGGTGTGACTTAAGGCTGGATTTAAAATGTGTAAGTGATGGAGCCAGACGTATTGAGAGTGGAAGTGCATTCCAAAGCTTAGGAGCAGCAACGGCAAAAGCCCGCTCTCCAAGGGATTTGTATTTCATTTTGGGAATGCACATAAGGTGGTGACCTGCGCAACGCAGTGAACAGGCTGAGGCGTATTGTGTGAGTAGTTCAGACAGGTAGAGGCGAGCAGTGTTATTGACAGTTTTATATGAAAGCATAAGAACCTTCAATTGTATAGGATATGCTACAGGGAGCCAGTGTTAATCAGCCAGAACAGGAGTGATGTGGCACCGTCTTATTCGTTCCAGTGAGAAATCTGGCCGCTGCATTTTGTACCCTCTGCAGACGGGTGAGGGAAGTTGTGCTGACACCTATGAGAGCAGAGTTGGCAGAGTCAAGTCGCGAGGTAATAAATGAATGGATAACAGATTCTAAGTGTGATGTCCTTTGAATGGGTTTCAAGCGTGTTATGCAACAATGTTGAATAAAAACAGGATCTCACCGTAATGTTTACCTGCTGGGTCATGGAGAGGTCTTCATCAAGTTTAACCCCAAGGCTAGTCACACAGGGGCTAACAGTCAAGGAGGGGAGAGTGAGCTAAGCAGATGTGTTATTATCAAATTGGGGTTGATCAGATATCTTTATTCATGTCCCCCCCCCCCCCCCAAAAAAAAAGAAAATGAAATTAAGTTGTAGTGCGTGTCCCAGCTTGAAGTTAAACACACAGCAGAGTTTTTTTTAATCAACTCAAATCAAGAACTATCAGATCTCTTTACTAAGTCCAAATCTTCTACCTGTCAGCTAGATCCCCTTCCAACAGTTTTAGTTAAGTCCTGCCTCTCCCCCGTCCTCCCCTTTATAACAGCCAGTATTTAAGTCCTATAGTGGCCCTATAACCTGGTTCAGATCCGAAAAATTTCAATGATCTCCGTCCCATTTCCCAGCTCCCCTTCATTTCCAAAATTCTAGAGAAAAGTGTTTAATCTCAGCTCCACTCCCATCTCACCCGCAATAACCTCTATGAACAATTTCAGTCTGGCTTCATTCCCCACCACAGCACAGAAACAGCTCTCATTAAAATCACCAACGACCTACTAATTGCTGCTGATTCTGGTTTGATTTCTATTCTCATTCTCCTCGATCTGAGTGCGGCCTTTGACACCATTTCTCTTCCCATCCTCCTCAATAGACTCTCTTCCCTGGGCGTCACTCACATCCCCCTCTGCTGGTTTCACTCTTACCTTACCAGCCGCACTCAGTTCATCCAGTTAAAATCCTTCTCCTCAAAACCCTCCCCAGTCAAGTCAGGTGTGCCCCAGGGCTCTGTCCTGGGGCGCCTCCTCTTCATAATCTATCTCCTCCCTCTTGGCAATATCTTGTGCAAATTTAGTATCCAGTTTCACTGCTTCGCGGATGACACCCAGCTCTACATTTCCAGTAAACCTAACTCCACTCTCCCACCCTCCTCCCTTACCCTCTGCCTCTCCGAAATCAAATCCTGGTTCACCTCTAATTTCCTCAAACTCAATGGCAATAAAACTGAACATATTCTTGTTGGTACCAAATCCAACATCTCCAAATCTGACATATTTTCTTTAACTATTGACAGCGCCACAGTCTCCCCCTCCCCTAAGAGTCTGGGTGTCATCCTCGACAGCTCACTTTCTTTTCATGCTCACATCAATAACATAACTCAGACAGCCTATTTTCATCTTCGATCCATTAACCGTCTCTGCCCCTCCCTTACCTCTCACACTGTCGCCATTCTTGTCCACAGTCTCGTCACCTCCTCTCCCGATTACTGCATTTCTCTTCTTTTTGGCCTCCCCTACAAACTCCTTCATAAACTTCAACTGGTCCAGAACTCAGCAGCCCGTATTATCACCAGAACCCCTTCCTTTCACCACATCACCCCGATTCTCCAGCAGCTTCACTGGCTTCCAGTTAAATTCAGGTCCCTCTTCAAGATTCTCCTCCATACCTTCAAAGCCATCCACAACCTCTCTCCTCCATATATTTCAGATCTTATAAGTATTACGACCCCTACCCGTTCCCTCAGATCGTCTTCCTCCCTCCATCTTGCTGTTCTTTCTGCCCGTCTCACCACCGTGGGGAGCAGAGCTTTCAGGTGCTCTGCTCCCCGTCTCTGGAACTCACTCCCCCCAGACATCAGAAATATTGACAGTTTCGCCCTTTTCAAATCCAGACTCAAGACACACCTGTTCAAATCTGCCTATGACCTCTGATTTTATTAGAATTGTTTTTTTTTTCTATGTTCTTTTTTTTCATTGTGTTTTATTGTTGTTTTAATGTATTTTACTGAATGTATTTTTCCTGTCAAGTGACCTTGGTTGTCCTGAAAGGTGCTTTTAAATAAAATTTATTATTATTATTATTATTATTATTATTATTGTTGTTGTTATTATAATCCATCACAGTAAAAGTGTTGTTTATTCATCTGTGTGTGCCTCAGGATCTGCAGGGGAGTGGACCAGAGGTAGCTGTGTTCTCAGTCCCCAGCTATGCCTGTCAGAGGAGGACCACTCTGGAGAACCATAACACTGTCCTGACTGTACGACCGTTCCCACCCACAGATCTCTGACATCAGCAGAAACTGTACCACTCATTAAAAGTGATCTCTGTCTCAGGATGCTCTGTCACTCCTGGCTGAAAACGCAGAGCTCAGTGATGAGGACGGACGAGGAGTGGCGTTCCGCCGTGCCGCCGCCGTGCTGAAGGCACTCCCCTCAGCGGTCATGAGCGTCTCTCAGCTCTCAGGCTTGCCCTGTCTGGGAGAACACTCCCTCAGGGTCATCAAGGTCACATGAGTTCATCTATTTACTTTCATTTATTGTACTTCTTTGTTTTGGCTGTTTCATCTGAAAATGTTTCATCAAACTCTCGGCTCTTTCAGGACATTTGGGAGAATGGAGCATCAAGTGAAGTTGAATCGACCAAAGTGTCTGAACGATTCAAGGCGCTAAAGGTAGGTGTGTGTGTGTGTGTGTGTGTGTGTGTGTGTGTGTGTGTGTGTGTGTGTGTGTGTGTGTGTGTGTGTGTGTGTGTGTGTGTGTGTGTGTGTGTGTGTGTGTGTGTGTGTGTGTGTGTGTGTGTGTGTGTGTGTGTGTGTGTGTGTGTGTCCTTTTTTCACAACAGCTCTTTTCTCCAACCTTTTGGGGGTATTTAGTTCATTTTAATACCTAGAATAAGTAAAACTAAAATATCTTTACCTCCTCAAAAACGGAAAGATCTGAGAAAGTGTCACCATACGATCAACGAATAGATTTGTGATTCAAATTTAAATATTTGGGATGTCCAACTGACGATGATTTGTTTTTTTAAGGGTCACATTTAGTACAGTGATTTATTTATTAGATTTTAATGTAAATGTGTTGGTTGCATCATCTAAATGGGACTCTCTTAGCTTTCACTTTTGTTTTGAGCCTCAAATGTTGGTTTTTCACATTTTCTGCGGGAACTTGTTAGTTATCTGATCCACTCAGAAGAAAAGAGAAAACCAGAATCAGAAGAAGATTCCAGGAAATTTTAGAACAGTCAGAGGGACGCTACTCAAATATTACTAAACTTCTTTTACACGTGCATCAGCTTTACAATGCAGTTTTCTGAAGACTACTTTTTTTTTTACTTAAGAGTAAAACTTTAATTGACTAAAATCAAGAGTGTCCAGACTTTGGGAGGTCCTGAACCATCAAGTTTCAAAATGTAATATTTTATTAAAATTTTTTTCAAGAAATGCAATTTAGTCTTTAAAAATGTGCATCTCAAAAACAGACATATTAGTAAAATTCTGAACACAAAAATGTTAGAAAGCATTGAGTGGGGGCCACACAGACTCACTCTGAGGACCATAAATGGCCCCCAGGCCACTCTTTAGACATGCCTGACCTAAATCAAGCAAAAACATCATGATCAGCAACACAGCTGTGATGAGAAAAAGTATTTTTGTGATCTAAATATCTCAAGTTATTTAGCATCTGACTCTTCTTTAGAGTGCATGCTTTTAAATCACACGCTACACTGTGCTACGCCCAAACCACACAGAGGAGGTGAAATTATAAACGTGCTGCTGACTAATTAAAATAAAAACTTATGAAAAACTAACAATAAAAATGTCATTATAGCTGCTCACGGATTTAATGCTGTAACATTAATCATGTGAAGATTAGTTTGTATTGAAATATTCTGGTAATTATCAGACAATATATCTTTGTGTAGACAGGGTTGTTTATTTGTAATATTATTGATTGTTTTCCAGGTGTTAACAGGTATTTTTGGAGTTGGAGCTAAAACAGCTGACCGTTGGATCAGAGAGGGCATACACGACCTGCATCAGTTACAAAACTCAGGACAAACTCTGAATCGAGCTCAGCAGGCAGGTTGGTGTTTCGCTGCTGCCGTATTTACTTAGTGGAGCCAGAATCTGTTCAGTCATGAGGCGGAGCTGAGAGGCCCATCCCGTCACCTGCACACGGGTGCTCTCAAACCCCGGATAACTAATTCAAACTAAACATGAATGCATTTAGACACAAAAAAGATGATCTGGATATTTGGTTTGCTTGTCATTTTTTGTCATGGAAAATGTCCTTTGTTTACATAAAGGGGCGGGGCCTAAAACTTATTTTTGTTTCAGCTTCCGTGTTTCGTTGCGATGTCATAGCTCAGGAGTCTGCAAAACCAGTACACCCACAGAAAACTTGTTTAGGGCCACAACTGTTACAGGACCTTTTGAAAATAAGTAATTTATAACTTAAGGAACTGGATTAGAGCCATTGGGTGAATAAAAGTTGTTTTTTTCTCCCAGAATTTTAAGATTAAAATCAGGATTCTGAGGTTTTTTTTTTTTTTTTTTTGCAATTAAAGTTAAAAATCTTGTTTTTCATATTTGCTGTCATTAAAAAAGAAAAACTTAATTTTTATTAGTAAATTAAGATAAAAAAAACAATCCAATGAATATGCATATTTGTTTTGATTTTAAAAAGATCTAAAAATATTAGTGGTACTTTTAGTGTCATTCTATTGTGCAAATACAATAAAATTATTCAATGAAAATAAAAAAAATTGGTTAAACCTGCATTTTTAAAAAAAATATTAATCTAAATTGAAACACATTAGTCTTTTTTTTTCATTGTTTTTTGGCCAAAGTTTTTAAAGGTGCTGAACACCGAAAACCTGTTTTGTAATGATTATTTCTTATTATAATCGGTCACTCAGTTTTTCCTACAGGCTGAACATTAAAATAGTCTCCCACACATACCTGCTGCATTAGCTTCTGATAGACGATGAAACTCTAGGATTAAAAAAGCCTGACAGATCTACGTCACACTGTCTCTTAGCATTCATGGACTCACCCATCTTGACTCACAACGAGGAAGGCTGTTGTAGGCTTAGCATCCAGCAAACAGCAGAGAACGTCTCAGCTGGTAGAAGCTAACTGTTAGCATTGGCAACTCCACCACACAGCAGAACTCCTTCAGGCTTGTGTTATTTGTGGAGATAAAACATCAATGTTACAGAGCAAATAGTCAGTGGTAAAGTTGTGTTACTGTTAGCCAATCAGAGGCAAGATGGCCAAATATCAGGAAATAAGACTCCTAGTACTCCAAGTCCTGTCATCTGAAGCTACTTTCTCCTCAAGCTGACTTGTACTTCCTGATTTGTACCCCCGAGTGTGACTTACAAGGCATTCATTCCTGCTAGAGACCAATGCAAATGTATTAATTAAACAAGTGAACCACACTTTTAAGAGGAAAGTCCAAGGAGCCTTGTGTGGCTCCAGAGAAGCTGTAATGTTAATAAATAGTTACACAGCAAACCCCCGATCAAAGTCAATGAGATGAACAGGGTTTAAAAATCCTTTAATTGGTTTGAATCCGGTTTATTTGTTCCCGAGTTTCCTTTGGCTGAGGCCAGATTGTTCTGAAATTGATTGGAATAGTTTTTGTAAGGTTTTCTTTTTCTGCTGGTCCCAAAAGCTTTGGCCTTATCCCTCAGCATCGGCTAGACATCTAAATAGACTAATCCCTCTAGTGGCTGGCTGCAGCAAAAGGTTTTATTTATTTTCATTTACATAAAAAACACAGTGAATGTGTGAGTAGGTGGGACTTTAAGCTACAACATGGCAGGAAATGTAAACAGGACATTATGGCTTCTTTAACAGTGGAGGAATGTAGAGGTTTTTCTTTATCACAGTATCAGTGTAGATATTTCTGACATCAAGCAACAGACACAAAGCTATTTAAATCATTTTACAACTTCATTCAGTCACAATTTTGGTTTGAAATATATCCTGAAACAAAGCAGATAACACTCTGAGGTTTTAGAAGACCGGCATTCATGTTAAAGCTGATCAGAACTTTAGAGTAGAGCAGTTGGTCGATTTGAGGAGAGATCTGAAGAGATCTGTAGAAACATAGCAAAGATAGGAACCGTGACTTGGTTTTCTAAAGTCTGTGTTCTTAGGGAGGTTAGAAAACGTAGATTAAACAGGAAGTTATCTGTGTGTTGATAAACCTTTTTATGACTTCACAACAAGAAGACTGAGCTCTCTAAAAAGTAGCAAAGTGAGTGTGTTTTTAGCCAAATCATGGAAATACAAGTAATTAAATCAAGGCAGATTCAAAATTGATCATTCTTTTCCTATAATGGTTTTATATATAAATATGGAGTCACACCATCGACATTAATATAGTCACACTCAGAAGTCAGGCAGATAGCAAAACAGGTTTATTTAGCTTTTTGCACTAAATTCCCCACACATAAAACAATTCAAGCAGCTTGAAAGTTTCAGTGCCTTCCAGAATGAGCCGTTTCAGAACCCTGCCACTTTAAGAAAACAAGTTGAAGCTGGCTACGCCCGCCCATCCCTCGCTCAGGCTGCTATAAGCTGAGAAGCTCCAATATGTGCGAGTGGGTTGGAAGAGAGCTGCTGCTCCTCCAGCAGTAGCAGCTCTCTTGCATGAGAGGTGGTTCAATTCCAATTTCTCCATTTGTGATGTCACAAACAGAGTATTTTGGAAACTGATTGTTTTAAGCACATAATTCCTAAAACCAAACACTGACACAAAACAAACAGATGAATTTCTTCATATTTAGAGTGTTTACAGAAGCGGTTGAGACCCATATGGCAGTACAAAATGTGCAAAAGGTGAGTTTTGCTAATCCCCTATATAAATCAAACAGAACACAAAGTGCTGTTGTAGCAGAGAATCCAGAAGCACGAGTCACAAAATACACAAATGGTTAAAGCAGGACATGACGGATAAGGAAAAACCATGAAAGCTACCACAACTGAGAATGATAATTATTAGTGAGGTCCAAAAAGGAATTCAGGTGTGAAACAAGCAAAGATGAACAAAAATCATTAAAATTTTAAAAAAGAGACATAAACTGTAAACAAAGCTGACTTTGTATGTTTAAACTTGTAATTTTCTCCCTGATACTAGTGAGTTTCTCCATGATGAATATGAAACTAAACCCTCTTGTCTGGTAGGTCTGCAGCACTACGATGACATCAACCAGCCCGTCACAAAGGCAGAAGCTTGCGCCATCGAGGAGATTGTGGAGAAAGCCGTTTCCTCTGTGTTGCCAGGAGCTCAGATCATCCTCACTGGAGGATTCAGGAGGTAACGGTCAAACACACCTGATATGATCACGTCACCACAAGAAACATGTAAAGAGAAAATGAAAATTCTTGTTTATACCTCTGTTTTCTCAGAGGGAAGCAGACTGGTCATGACGTCGACTTTTTGATAACACACCCAGAGGAAGGCCGCGAAGTGGGGCTGATGCCTAAAGTCGTCTCCTGGTTGGAGGCGCAGGTAAACTTAACTCGTTCATCTGTTTGCTGCACAGCTGAGGAGAAATACTTAATCACTAATCTCTAAATTTCACATTATAGTTGGATTAAAGTTCCACCTAAGGTTGAAGTTATTTTGTCCCTTTTTTGTAGAAATAACATGTTTTCCACATTAATTTATGCATTAAAGGTTGAATATGGAATAATTTAATAAAAAGCGAAATATTAAAAAAATAATACTTCCACTGGGCGTTTAGAAGTGTTCAGAATGAAGGTATACAGTATTTCCTTTAAAAGCTATATTTTAATTTTGAAAATAATGAAATATTTATTTTGATGGGTACAGCACTGGGTTCATATTTACATCTACTTGCCAATAGAGGGCACAATTGCGGGTTGCCAATAACTGTAAACAGTCCGTTAGGCATAGCGAGGCTGGCGTTGTGGAAAATGGCGGACTCGGGTAATTCAAACAGCTGCTTCCGAGCCTAGAAGATGCCATTATACTTGCCAGAAGAGGAGCGACCATAAAAGATGTAAAACCAGAGTGAGTTTAGGTGAAACCTACTTCAGATGGAACCCAAATAAAGCATTTCAAGTATCGGCAGTGAACCCGATATCCCGATGGCTGGAAACCTTGTTGCAACTACAACCTCCACACACTAGATGCTGCTTTGGTGTCTGTGTTCCATATTCAACTTTTAACATGATGTTACATGATTGACCTCTGAACTCGCTGGCATGAAAGTCTCATAATAGAAGATGGTTTTATTAATCTCTACAGATAAGTTTCCAGCCCTATTATACAGAAAAATGTATCTGGTTTATTTCCTGTCTTATCACATTAGTCTACAAATGGTGATGGCTATGTTTATTCCAGCCTGTACCGCCCCCTGCTGGCCACTTTTTAGGTTATTCATTCAAACTAGATAATGGAGACAAACCTGATGATCTGTTGAAGCTACAGTGTTTATGGGGTTTTTATATAATTAATCCTATGAAAAATATAATGCTCATTAGTGCTCAAAGTGGATTTTAAGGTATTCTTAGATGTCAGGAAAACCCTAATGGCCTCAGGTGTCAGACTTTAGATGAAAAAAGCTTCAAGTTGCAAGAAAAAAGACAACAGAAAAAAAGCCTTTGGTCTCAGGAACAAAGCTATCAGACGTCATAACTGCTTTTCATTCAACATTAGACTAAACGGTGATTCAGCTGATTTTATTTTATCTACAAAAGTTCTAGTAAACTATTCAAACCCGACTTGATTATTGCTGTTACTTAAAGGAGAATCTTTAAAACGCTGTTTATGATTTTTGAAAGATCTATTGCTGCTGCCAAAGTTCAAGAAAGGCCCATTTAGAATAGAATAGACTTCTTTAAACACACAGAGGGGAAATTCACTCATTACAGCAGCGCATACACTTTGAGAAAGACGAAAAACAATTGGAAAAGTACAAGTACATACATTTAGTGCAGTTGTACTTTTTTATTTTTGTTCCATAAAAAAATCTGAGTAAATATTCAGAAGTATTGGTGGTTGGCACCCAACCCCTTCTTCTATAAATACTTGAGTTAGGGTTTATTTATCATATTCCGAGTTTAATGTTTCTCCTGAATCTCTGATTTTCTTCCCAGGGTTTCCTTTTGTACCAGAAAACAACACGAAACTCTTATCTGGAGTCTAAAGCTGACGGCCCTGGTCGTCCTCCCTCCAACATGGACCGATTTGAGAGATGCCTCTCCATCTTTAAGCTACCTAAGATGGAGAAACAAGGAGCTAAAGATTCACAGAACGTGACAGAAAACTGTCTGCAAGCAAATCAGAAGTCTGATGAGCCTGAATGTCCCGAAGCTGCTCCAGACAGACGGTGGAGAGCAGTGAGAGTGGACCTGGTGGTCTCTCCTATCAGTCAGTTTGCCTTTGCTCTGCTGGGCTGGACGGGATCCAAGGTGAGGTTTTCTGAAGAGATCTGCCGTCCATCTCTAGGATCTTCTCAGGTTTTTCTCATGTTCTCTGCAGCTGTTTGAGAGGGAGCTGCGCCGGTGGGCGCGGTATGAGAAGGGCATGTCTCTGAGCAGCCACGCTCTGTATGACAACAACCAGGTAAACAACAACAAAAACACCTGAGTGACCCTTTCATCATGTTTTCTCTGATTGGTCAGTTGGAATCAACCACAGCCTACAGATGAGTCGGATACTGAAATCCTCAAATCCTGACCCTGAAGAAACATCTTCAGATACCTTCATGTCTCTTCCATTCATGTGAAAATATGCTAGCCTTTAGGGGGGTTCGAATTAGCAGATCAGTGCTCTCCAGGTTTTTTTATGCTTATAAAATAGATGAAATCCTGTAACGAGACTCTTTTCCCACAGAGAAAATATCTAAGAGCTTCTTCGGAGGAGGAAATATTTGCTCACCTTGGTCTGGAGTTCATCCCTCCATCAGAAAGAAACGCCTGAAGAGATCTTACTAAAGGCCTGAGAGCCAGGGGCTTTAAACACACACACATGGAAGACATGTGTGTGAGCAGAGGGTTTTCTGGCTCCAGTGTTGATGCACATTTTGTGAAGATGTTTTTACAAACAAGTTTTAATAAACTGTAGCCCTACCGCTGCACCCGGCCTTTAATAAAGAATAAACATTTGGTTTTTTAAACGAACACAGCCAAGAAAATCTGAAGCCCAGATTTTGAAAATGCGCTGCTACGTATAAAACATTTGTGTGTTTGTGTTGACTTTTGAACAGATGATATTTTTAAATGAAAGTTTTATGAAATCTTACTGTAAAATCAGTTGGTGTATAATTATTGTGAGGAGGGTTATAATGAATTACAGTAATGCCTGCAGGTGGGGTGGAGGCATGGATCACTTCCATACCTGTCAGATGGAAGATTGGGCTGAATGTCACTGAAGAATCCAACTTAGAGATGCTCATGCCGACCAAGGTTCAGTGTGACCCTAATGGGCCAACACATCTAACCACCCAGCAGCTCAAATTGTCCAAATGCAAGAATTTCTGACCTGATTTTCTTAAGACAGTAAAAGTTTAAGTCCATCCATGCTTGCGTGTCTCAGACTCAACAGGATATGAATAGATGTGCAACTGCAAAGCAGCGATTGTCACCAAAGAAAAGGCCGCTGAGCTACACTGTACATGCTGCACATAGTGGAAGAGAATAGAATAAACCTTTATTTGTCATGTTCTGCGTCCCTGTGTTCCTCAGCCCCTTCCAGGTTTCCTCTTTTTTCCCATTATTGGATCTCCCCTTTAAGTTCTTGTTTCAAGTTTATGAGCTTTCCTATCTGTAGTATTGTATGTTTATAGTAGTTTAGTTTTCCCCCTTCAGTACTTTTATGTTCCTTCCCCACTTGGTCAATTAGTCTCCCCTGCTGTTCAATGTATTTAGTTCTGTCACTCCTTAGGTCATTAGTTATTTATCTTTGGTTCTCCTGTGCCCTTATTCTTCTGTTTAGGTTTATTTATGTATAGTCTTACAGGTTATGGTTTAATCCCCTCCTCCGCTTTGTTTTTCCTTCCCATTTATTGATTTCACCAGTCTCCCTTCAGTTCTCTCTCCACACACACCTGCTCCTCGTTTCCTAATTTCCCTCTGGGATTAATAAAGTATCTTTGAATTTGAATCACTGCCCTGTGTATATAAAACCCTGTATTGTCCTTCAGTGTTTGTTGGGTCATTGTCTTGTCTACATGTTTGCTGCTTGTGCTCCAATGTTCCCTGTTTGTAGGGTTTTATCTCTGTTTTTTTGGATGCTTGGATTGTTGGGCTGAAGACTTGGATTCCAGTCCTTCTTTTGTTATTTCACCTCCCGGTCTCTGGAATAAAGGTTTTTCTGCAACTCCGTGTGGTTTTGGGTTTCCTGCACCTTGGGTCCAACCTCCCCCACCTCAGGCTTGTGACGTTATTATCCCACAAATGAGAAATGTGTTCCACAGCTCTTGTAGCAAAATTAATCGAGGTGAAGACACAAAATAGCTCCACATAGCAATCAAACTAAATGTGTATGTTCAGAAAATGTACAAAGATGTGTACTCCGATTTGGGGTGTGTGTGATCCTGGTGAAGTATACACCTGTACAACCAAGCTGCAATCGAGTAACAGCAATTTAACAGATAATGTGTCAAGCAAGAGAAGCACAATAACTAGGGCTTCAGAATGAGGAAACCAACATCCAGTTGTCATATTGAAATTACAGTTTTTGTTGTGACAAACCCACATTTTCCTCCTTCCTCTCTTTGTGTTTTATGATCACATCTTTTAGACACATCCCATAATGGTTGTGATTCAGCAGCTATCATCGTAAGCAGGAGGGAGTCTGTTAGATTAACCTGCAGGTCACTCAGAACACAACAGCCTGGGATTCTTTCAGTTATTGTTTGTGCACACTGATATTTCAATGACAATAGTGATATTTTAACCCAAAATGTAAGGAAAATTACACATTTTCTGAACTCAGTCCTTTGAGAAGCAATTTGTTAAACATAAAACTGAGGAATGAATGAATATTCAGCACGATGAACTAAAAGGAATCTCAGTTGTAAAGGAAAGAGGAACCAGTGAAAGACGACAATCTCTCTGAGCTTTTCTGCTCAGATTCAGGTGGAAGTTTTCATTCTACCTGATTGTTTTTATATCAAACACTTCATCTCAGATGTTTCTCATTACTAGCCTGAAGCTCCTGGAGAATGCAAACTATCCTTACATCCATGCTGATGAAACATTGAAGGCTTCAGGACGGCCTCAGAAGTTCGGCATCAGCATACCAACACTAGAACAGGTGTGTGTGTGTGTGTGTGTGTGTTTCCTCTGCAGCTCATGTGGAGCCTTTTTTAAGTGTAACAGTTTTTGTGTCAAACAGTGGCTATCCCCACAGACACATCTGTGTTACAGTGACCTGCTTTCAACCGTGTCATCTACACGTCTTCAGAGGAACACCCCACAGCGGAGCTCTCACTCAGTCCTGAAACCAAACCTGGAGATCGTCATTTTTATTTAATGTTTTTGATGCTTCACCTGCAGTTAATGGCTGTTCTTTAGCTATAAGAAAACACTTTTGTTTTGTATTTATTGTGATTTTGGAAACTTGTGTTTAGTACTGAAACAGTGGGTCCAGCTCCAGTTTAGGACATTCAGCTGCAGTCCAGTGATGTCTGAGGTGTCTGATTTAGTATGAAAATCACATCAGGCAGATGATTAAAAAATAAGCTGTTTGAATGTAAGTATTCTGGGTTTATTTTTTTAAAGGGCAGATAGTATAAGATATTAACTTCTCTCCTCCTTTTCATGGAAAATGTCTGTAGTAGCAAAGTAGTAGTTCACTTTATAAAAACACAAATGGGTTGGTATATAAAGGTTTAAAGGAAATAAGGTGAAAAAAAAGGTGAGACTAAAATACCAATGATTCCACCTGTCAGAGTGAAACATGACAGAGCTCTGTAAAGGGTTTGTCAAACTTTAATTTACATTTCATTTATTTTTTCTTTTGAATTGGTTAAAATAAGTATTTATTTGCTCAGATCAAATATTATTCTGCAAATGCTCACAGAAATAAATATGGCTGCCACACATCCTAGTGTGTAATCTTGGTGCTTCCTGCCTCCTCAGATTTGTGCCATCTGTCACCTCCATGCGGTAAAAGTCAGACCCGGCCATTAAGCCCGGTAGGACTGGAACATCTGATTTAGGACCAGGTTGTCAATATTGTTGACAAGTTATTTGTGACTGTGACCTATAATTGTTTTGCCTGACAAAATCTCTCTTGAGAATGATATTATTTTCTCAATGTGATCTTCCTGGTTAAATGTTAAATAGAAAGCAAGAAAAAACAGTAGTTAGGTACTCTTACTCAAGTTCTTGTACTTTACTTGTCTGTCATTTTGAGTCTGATTCTAACATTCCAGATGCAGTTTACTTCATCACCTTTGACATGCAGCAAAAATTCTAGTAAATATAATTCATCATACAGAACATTAAATAACAACAGGCCTGTTTATGTAGAACATCATTTTTAATGTTTTTTATCTCACGGACTAACTCAAGCCCTGAGCGGTTTTCTTCAGCAGAGACCTGTGAGGAGCTGCAGGTTTCCTGTCACTGTGTGTTTTTGAGTCAGTGTGAACCAGTAGGTGTTTCCTAACAACCTCATTAACCTCTAAACACCAGTTTGACATCAAAGACGGCGATGCTGCTCACACCTCCATCTCCTCTCAGTCCATCACGTCTCTCTATGAATCAACTCTAGTGCACAAACAGCTTGGGTTTCAGCTTTAAAGCACATGATGGACGTGTGATGTGATGTTCAGCGGCATCCTGGGGGAGAGCTGGTTCTATTTTCCGTTCCTACATCAGCATTAACACAGGAGTGTGTTTGACACTGAATGTGTGAAGCAAAAGGTCTATCTCTGAGCTGCTGTGCTGTTATTTTACTGTGAATGAAGGATTTTGTTAGCCTGGCAGGCCATCCTATATATGTGAATGCAGCCTATTGGCTGAACATCCAGTAAAGGGAGATAGAGCTGTGAGCAGATGGAGACACATGTTTGGCTCAAAATGTTCAAATTTTTATTTGAAATTTCTGATTTGGTACATTTGACACTTTGGTGACATGTTTCAGAAATGGCCCCGTCACATGGGACCAGTGAAAATATGACAGTTATACAACTACAGAATAATTGTATTTTTGATTAAATTAATTTAAAAAGTGATTTAATTTGTTTGTAGTTCATCCTCACTTCATTTGGTCACCGATCCTTCCTGAGCCCGTATCATACATTTCACATCCAGAACTGTGTTGGTGTAGATTCTCTGTCATTCAGGACATGATGATTTTAGCTGGAAACAAGTGGACCAGAACATTTCAGTTGCCTTCAGTTTAAACTAGACTCACAGAAACTAATGACAGACAAACTAATGGGTGGCTGGAGACACCCACAACAACCCTGTGATTACTTGTGCTTAATAATTAATAAAATCTCTTTATATATATATATATATATATATATATATATATATATATATATATATATATATATATATATATATATATGTGTGTGTGTGTGTGTGTGTGTGTGTGTGTGTGTGTGTGTGTGTGAATACAATATATATATAATCATATAAATATAAATAATTCTCAACATATAACCATGTTTGATAAGTATCACGATGAATATCATACAACTGTTTGTATTTTATCATTTGTGTTGTACAAAAATCTTCTATATGAAAACCTTTAACCACAACTGTTTCTAAAACCCAGCTAGATGGCCTCCTTTTCCTCTTTTCCCCTCTGGACAGATTGTGTGATGGGTCCTTGTAGTATTATGAACTGCAAGTTAAACTGAAGCAAACATCTTTGCTAGGAACTAAATTTACTGTGTATCTTCATTCCTTTTGCTTTTCTTTATCAATCAGTTGATTTTTCCTACTCGAAAGTTGGAATTTCTGAGTTCAGAGAAGGCGAACGCACCATTAACTTATGTTAATGGAAGGTAAAATATCAAGCTAACAACGTTATCTTAAACAGTTTATTTACCTATAGAAAAACCGGGAGCCTTTGATGAGATTGGTCCACAATGGTGGGCCAATCACAGAACTCTATCAGTTTGAAACCCCTATAGAGAGCGGTGATTGGCCCACCAGAATGCTGCTAGGGGCCAAGGAGTTTCCAATAGATTGTTCCTAGACCAAACTTTGCAAAGCAAGAGTTTGTGCTCATTGTCTCTGCTAATTGTAGAGTAAGGTACACAATTTTATTTAGGATCAAATTTGCCGTAGAAATTTATATGGAGTAGATTCTGTCATTCAGAATTTCCTTTGGTCTGGATAGTGATACTTCTATTGAACCAACAAAGAGTTGTACTTCCTGTTTCCTCAGCACTGCAAATGTTTTATAAGTTTGTTCATCCAAAACTTCTTCGGGAGTAATCTCAGAGTCCCTATGACTAGGAAAAATCCAGCAGGTTAACAAACATGAGACTCTGACTTTTTTGTGTATAAGGGGTAATCAGAGTTAATCTGATCAGAAGAATAATTTAGATGAGATTATGTTTAAGGGAACACCTTCAGGTGATCTGCATCACAACACAACCTCCAGCTCCCACGTTATTGTCAGAAATTTGAATTTCACAACCTAGCCCCTGAGCCTCTGCACCCCCTCCCGTCTGATGAAGGGAGTCGCAGTGCCTGCTCATCCACCGGGACCAGTCCTGTTGGCCCCATCAAAGCCCAGGGAGCCTTTGATGAGGTTGATAGGGATCAATGAGACAGGGGAAGAGGTCTTAACTGACTGTGTTACAGACGGGGCGGGCAACTGCCAGAGACTGCCGGCAGTGGAGATCAATGATTATTAGGTGTCATCAGGGCCTTGATCTGCATAGAGGAATCCATTCGGCATCAAAGAGACACATTCTGAGGTGTTTGGTAGCTACTGGGCTTCTAAAGCCATGTCTGGAGCGTCTCTGCATTGTTCTGCTTACTTGTGTCCATGAGACCGTTAACAGTAACTGAGAGTGTAAAGCACCATATTGTCATAACTTTCATCTTGTAAAAAAACAATTCATCTAGGTACATTTTTGCAAGTTTCAAACTGATCATGAATGTGTTAAATAAAATATGCATGTGCATGTATTGTTTTCTAAGTACGATTACCCTGATTAGTTACTGTTACCCTTACCGACCTTTAGAACGGACCCTGATTTTTATTTTGGACTTAATGTTTTTAGAAGAGTGTGTGTATTTCGTTTAATTGCTGAGTTTGGTGAAAACTATCAGAAAACGACGGATACATCACTCACCCTGTCTGCTCATCCAGGTCTGTTTCATGGGGTAAAACCCCAAAGC